CGCACTTTCCGTTGGCTCGGGGATGGTATGCAGATGTTAGTTGATGGTTCGTACCCATCCGATTCATATATCGCTGTAAGGTCGCTGCCGTGAAATTTGATCCACGGTCTGTGACAATTTCAGATGGACATCCAAACTGCATAAAAATTTCCTCATAAATAAAGTCAGCAACTGCCGATGCAGTCGCTTCATGCACAGCACGGGCTAAGGGCCAGTTGGTAGCATAATCAATTGCGGTGATAATCCAACGATTGCCATTCTTGGTTTTCGGTAGGGCTCCTATGAAGTCCATTCCCCAGCGCTGAAAGGGCAAGGTAGGCTCTAGAGGATGTAGAGGTGCAACAGTGGCATCTTGACGGGCTAACAGCTGACATTCAGGACAAGCTGAGACCATTGTTATAATATCAGCACGAAGGGTTGGCCACCATACACGAGTTGAAACCAGATCGAATAAGCCGTTTCGGCCAAGATGACCAAAGCCAGCATGATACATATATAGAGTATCAGCTCGATTGACGAAAGGAACAAATGGGACTGGGCCGTGTTCTGTTATACGACACAAAGTATCGTGATCGACTTGGAAATGAATTGCTTCATCTCTTACTAGTTTAGCAGATTCATCATCTTCAGGTAAGGATCCATCCTTGAAATAGGCATAGATGTATAAAGGCCAGTCAACATTATCAGCGGCAAAGTCTTTTATAGATGAAGTAGTTGCAAGAGAGGCAACTGTTGGTGTAGATAAACGAGACAAAGCATCTGCGGCTGAGTTATCGACACCTCGACGATATTGAATATCAAGATTGTAGGGCGCCAAAAATTCAATCCATCTGGCCATACGACCGCTCAGATGAGGTTGATTAAATAAAAAGCGTAGGCTAGCGTGATCAGTGAAGACGGTTACTACTGATCCTAAGAGGTAAGAGCGCCATGCTCCACATGCTCGGACTATGGCCAATAGTTCCTTTTCATGGACTGGAAAATTTTTCTCAGAATTAGAGAGCTTGTGTGACACAAAAGCAACCGGGTGAAGACGGTTATCGATCATTTGTGAAAGAACTGCTCCTGTAGCAATGTCAGAGGCATCAGTTTCCACAAAAAATGGCTTAGAAAAGTCTCCGGGGTAAAGAACTGGTGTTGAGGTAAGCAATTGAATCAACTTGTCCATGGCTGCTTGATGGCTAGGAGTCCATTGTGGTAAAGGTCTCTTTTTGGCATTGTTTTGTCCTTCTTGCTTTAATAAATCAGTCAAGGGGCTTGCAATCTTGGCGAAGTTGCGTATAAATCGCCTGTAGTAATTTGTGAAGCCTAAGAATGAGCGTAATTCTTGAACATTGGATGGAGTGGGCCAATCTTTAAGGACTGCAACCTTGTCTGGATCGACTTCAATACCTCGAGAGGATATGACATGACCCAAGAATTTGACTTCAGATACACCAAAGGTACACTTGCTGGGCTTTGCGTGAAGGGAAGCCGATTTCAAAGCTTCTAGAACCAGCTTGAGATGTTGAACATGCTCTTTCATAGAAGAAGAGAAAATAAGGATGTCGTCTAAAAAGACAACAACGAACTTGTCCAAGAATTCCTTTAAGACATCATTGGTTAAAGTCTGGCATGTAGCAGGTCCTCCTGTGAGACCAAAAGGCATGACTACGTATTCGAAATGGCCAAATCTTGTATTGAAAGCAGTTTTTGGAATGTCTGCAGGGTGAATACGCACTTGATTAAAAGCACTTTCTAAGTCTAGCTTGGAGAAAACAGTAGCACCAGTAAATCGATCGAAAAATTCTTCGATCAAGGGAAGTGGGTACCTATTCTTGATTGTGATTGAGTTCAAAGCTCTATAATCAATACACAGCCGGAGGGAACCATCGCTCTTGGTCACGAATAGAACAGGGGATGCCCACGGGGAAATGGAAGGTCTGATAAAGCCTTTCTTAAGTAAATCATCAAGTTGTTGCTTTAAAACTAACAACTCTTTTGGGGACATCTTGTAGGCTCGCTTATAGATCGGGCGTGCGTCTACTGTATCAATGTGATGATCTTGAGGTCTCTGTGGTGGTAGAGTCGACAATGGAGTGAAGACAGAATTTTCATATTCGTATAAAAGCTTCTGTAGTGTAGGATCAATATTGTTGTCTTTAATAACTTCCGCTAACGAAAGAGCAGAAATTTTCGGAGTCGATTGTTCATCTTGAAGAAAAACCAAACCCAGGTCTTGTTGATTTGACACAGCACGCTGGATGGCTCGATGAGTACACAGCGAATCCATTTGAGGTTCCGAAGAAAGAACCTTTAGGGATGAGTCTTTGGAAGAAGCCTTGTATGATGCTCCATTCACAGTCCAAGTCAAAGTTCCTTGAACATAATCAGTATTTGGATTATACTTCTTTAACCAAACCAGGCCAAGGTAAATGTCTTGACTTAGGATATCAGCCACGCAAAATTCCTCGTCATGAGTAAAGTTGCCGATAGTAAATACGAGAGTGACTAAGCTTGTCAACTTTACGTTACTAAGATTGGCTGTAGTGGCGATTGTTGGCCGATTGAGTTTTGTTTCTTTTTTTATGAGCGAAGGATCATATGCGCGGATCCTGTTAAGCGCTGTTGTAGAGATCGCGTTGCAATTGCATCCGCCGTCGATAAGGGCAATCAGCTCAGTTGAGCCGACGTTCGTTTTGATGAAGATCTGTTCAGGCAACATTTTGATGTGATCTTCTAGTGGTGCTGATTTATCTGTCATTGTAATAGGCTCAACGGTATGAGCTTGTAATTGATTAACATGGGCAGATTTGTCAGGCTTATTATCAGGCTTTGTAGGGCAAGCGTACCCTTTGTGATCTGTCTTGCCACAGATATAGCATGACCGGGGACCATTGCCACCGTTTTTGTAGCATTGTACCTCAGAATGGCCGTGCCTGCCACAAGTAGGACAAGGTGGACGTCTTGTTCTGAGGGAATCTATGTCCATAGTAGATTCCGCAACATGGTCATGGTCTTGATGACGGTCTTGATGACGGTCTTGGTGTTGTTGTGAATTATTTTGATGAGAATTGTTTTGATGAGAGTTATTTCGATGATAAGTGGTATGTGAGGTTGAATGTCTGACAAAGTCATTATTTTTGTAAGATGCTTGATGTGGAGGAGGAGTATGAGGTTTGTCATTGGATCTTGATGCCTTGTCTAAGAGTCTCTTTGCGTGCCAGTTATGAGATTCTGTGCGACAAACATCTAGGACTTCATTCCAGGTCGTGGCGTTCTCTTTCTGAAGCTTGCGCTGGAGCCATAAATCTGCGACTCGACGGAAGTTCCATACTTTTTCTCCTTCGGGAATTTTATCACGAAGTGGATAGTATGCTGCCTCGAACTCACGGACGAATTCCATAACATCTGAGTTCGGTTTCATGGATAAATTGTCGTACTTGTAACGTAGCTCGAACTCATCATCCGCCTTGGCAAATTGTTCCTTAAAATCATGAGCGAATTTTTTCCAAGTGAGGATATTCTTAGTCTCAAGATCGTCAATGTGTCTAAGACTCCAATCACGTGCGATCTTTTCCATATGTAGAGCAACACGAACTGTAAAGAAGTTATCATTGACGTTGGAAATTTTGTACAAAGCGTCCATAGCGCGTAACCAGGATGAAACATCCGTCTTGCTATCGAATCGTTCAATTCCTGCAAGATTAAAATGCTGATTGGTTGTAGTTTCCATATTTACATCACCATCGGTGTCAAGAAAGGAATTGGAGGATGTGGTCGTGGTAGAGGAGCTTGCGGTGCTTTGAACGTTGATATTGGATGGGGGTTTCATTGTTGATAAATAAAAGGTCTTTGTTTGAAAAAAAGGGCAAATAAGGGGATGAATAAATAAAAATGTGTGTAAACAAGTAAAAAGGTAACAAATAAGGAAAGAGATAAATGAAACGGAAAAAGAAAGCTAATTTTTTTTTTTTTTTTTTTTTTTTTTAAAAATATGCGCGAAAAATAAAAGTGTGTGGTGAAGGTAAAGAATTTGGTTGAGGAAAAGCAAAAAGTTTGTAATATGATCACAACAAAAGGATGAATATGTACAATCAAAAAGTGTCAAGAAGAATAATAATGGAGTAGTAACTAGGTCGCGTTAGAGGTTAAAAGAACCTTTGCTACCATTTGTCGTAGAGCATCTACTAGTGATCTCTGGAAACTAGTAGGTAATGATGAAAAATGAAGAATTGGGCAAGAGCCTCGTGGTTTTGGGATATGATAGTGATCCTAAGTAATGCTTTGAATGATTTTGAGGATGCTGCAAAAGGGCATCGATAATAAGAAGAGAGATCTTTAATAACTGCTAATTTTCTGAGAATTCATAATGAGAATAATGAAGATAAACTCACCTGCAAAAGGGCATCGATAATAAGAAGAGAGATGCCGTTTTTGCAGTGAAGGAAAAAGCTACTTAAATACTATTTAAAAATGGTAGAAAATAGGATGATAGGAAATAAATAAATTGAAAGGAAATACATATTTAGGTAAATGAATAGGCATCATTTACGACACTTTCATATAATGTGCGACTTTAGCTCAGTTGGGAGAGCGTCAGACTGAAGATCTGAAGGTCGTGTGTTCAATCCACACAAGTCGCATTAGTTTTCTTTTTCTTTTTAAAATTGGAAGATATCAGTGTAAAAATCCAAGTTCATCATGATGGATCTTCTACTTTCCTCATACCAATGCCGGTCTTTTTATCTATCTATTCGGTTACATGCCACGTCGATCATCTAAGCCTCCCACAGCAAAGCTTCTCACGTGAGTCAATGACGAATTGTGGCTGCGCTGAGACGATGGTGGTAGAACAGAGGCAAAAGATGGGAGTGAGGGTGTTGCGGTATTTCCTTTTGTTCACAAGCGCCCGACTCTTTTTTTTCTTTTCTTTTCTTCACTTTTCTCCACCTTTCTTCAGCAATACATCGAACACTCCTTTTCATTCATATCATCATTACCGTCATCTACTCTTCGCAATGGCTTTGAAACGCATTAACAAGGTAATGTATTGCTCTCATTCTTTTATATGACCATATTTCCGTCTGTCTTTTTTTTTTTTTTTTTTTTTTCTTTCTTATTCCTTAGGCTCTAGACTCAGCTTAATCATACTCTGTCTTGCTATTACGGAATGGACATCCAAAGCACAAATAATTATCCACAGTGATTTTCATTAAGCTATTTCTTTTATACGTTATTACTATTGCAGACATTCATTTGTATACATGTATACATGCACCCAGCAATTTGTCTGTAAACATCAATGTTGCTGCGGTGGAATTGACGATGATGTCTTTTTTTAACCCCCCCTCTCCTTGCATTGAGGGCTGATTTAATTTCGCACTCTTTGCCCTCGTTATCACTTTTATTTTCTTCCTTCTCAATGACCTCCTTTTTTACATACATATTTGTTTGGCCACTCCTACGTCTTATCACTGTGGCTTGCCAATAGAAAGCCGAGGATCAATGACCAATTGTTTCTGTTAGAGCATCAAAATGGCAATTGTCATAGTTGCATGAACTTGATTCCACACTAAAATTGCTGCGCCTGTTCCTGCGTTGTTCAGTGGAAGGAGACACACAAGAGAGGCTAACCAGAGTGCCTTATGTAACTACATGACTTTTTATAGGAATTAGCTGATCTCGGAAGAGATCCCCCCTCATCCTGCTCTGCTGGTCCTATTGGCGATGAGATGTTTCACTGGCAAGCGACCATCATGGGTCCTGTATGTATTTTTATCTATATTGATCAGATGACTAATGCTATTTCTGCGGCAAAGCAAAAGGAGGACTGCAAAGCTGCGTGTGATTCCTATTCTTTGCTAATCATTTTTTTATTTATTTAATTACTACGATATGCTTTCTCCTTTGTCACAGAGTGATTCACCATATGCTGGAGGAGTTTTCTTCCTAGCAATCCACTTCCCCACCGACTATCCCTTCAAACCACCAAAGGTACCAAGCAAATGTCGACAATGATTTTACACAGCTCAGCCCCTTGATTAAACATGGTTCGTCCGTTAATCGATGTATGTATATGTCTCTTTTTATTCCTTCTCTCTAGGTCAACTTCACAACCAGGATTTACCACCCTAACATCAATAGCAATGGAAGCATTTGCTTGGATATTTTGAGGGATCAGTGGTCCCCAGCTCTCACTATCTCCAAGGTCCTGTTATCCATCTGCTCTATGTTGACTGACCCCAATCCTGATGATCCTCTTGTTCCCGAGATTGCACACACCTACAAGACTGACCGTGCGCGCTATGAGACGAACGCGCGAGAATGGACCAGAAAATACGCCAGTAAGTGCTGAATGGATCCTTGTAGGATATTATGCGCTGCGCCAATGAGCTTTTTTTTCTTATCATAGATGCTAATTTTTTTTTTTTATTTTCAATGTTTTGACATTTTTCATCAATGCTTAGTGTAAGGCATGTTTGATAGTTTAAACAATCTGCAGATTTAATAAAAAGAAGTGAAGCTTGCTTTTAAATTTGTTGAATTTGAATTTGAGTAATAATATCTTTCGAAATCAACGCCTAATGAACATTACATTAGTTCGTCACAAAATTTTTTTTACTTGCACAATTGAGACAACCACGCTCTTCCGTTGTTAACTGATTAATGACAGGACTGAGTTATGTTTGCGGACCATATTCTGTAAATCTGCTGCAATACCTTTCCTTAAGTAGAAGCCGCATATTATCAATCGGAAAGAGGCTCAATCTCTCCCACGCGCCTATCACTTCGGTATTATTCTGTCGACAATTTTAACAATTGCTTCCACTCGCTCTATTTTTTTTCTTTCTTTCTCTTCAACTCTCGCTGCCTGTAGTTGTCGTAGCAAAGATGGTGAGAAGAGCCCTTCGAAAAGCTGTCCAAGCTGGAGAATCAACCTGATATAAATTGGCATTCTTGGATGAAAGGCAGCTATACAGTGCGTACAATCATCAAGCGCCATTAGGTACAGAGAAGCCAAGTTACCGCAAGAAAATTCACTTGAGTCGAATTCCTGGTATGGTTATTTTATTTCTTTTGTCCTAAGGGTTCCCTTTCCAAAGTTAGAAACATATTTAGCAAATGTTCCACATAGATGTAGAAATGCCACCAGTTAAAGTAAAGGACAGCAAGTCATTGGCTCGCTAACGGCGAAAAAATGTCTGTAATTAGACCAGGCCACTGATCAAACTTTTGCATATTTCATACTTCGCAATGTTAGTGGCTGGACGACGCTCGCACATTGTACCTATAATTGTTGACCTTTGTAGCTTTTTCATAGCCTCATGAATGTTTTATTCAATTTTTCGCAGAGACCCAACTCGCCGCATGATCGACTGATTATGGCATTATGAATAAATAACACTCATTTGTTACTATCATTTCGTCCTTGCCGCATTGTTGAATGGTAACACAGCACATAGCTCTAATTGTAAGAAGGCAGGCTCTTTCGTATGGCCTTTTCGTGGTCACCCATGGTCAAGCTTGCTAATCAGTAAATATGACAAAGGTAAGAATAATGGCGCTACTCAATTTAGAATATAGATCATAGGAATGAAAAGGGAGAATGTGGAAGAGGAGAGCAAAAGAAGAGGCAAAAGGGATGGGCGAGTTAATGCAAATCAACGTAAGAGTTGTTTTCTTAGTAATAAGATCAATCCTTTCCCATGCTTGTTAGATGTTCTTAAAAAAAGTGTGATTCACGTCTAACTTGAATAGCCGCAGCAACTTTCATATATATAACTAGCGTTTTTGTGTCAAGATGAGAGATATGCTGGAAGAAAAGCAAGAAAAGCCCGTTATCATTCATATTTTGATGAAGGTCTGCTAAAGCCAGGCGGGTGAGAAGGTCTGAATTATAATGACTTGCAAAAAATACCAAGTTTCGAGGAAATAGATCTTTAGATGTAGGATTGGAAGTAGTCTACCTCGATTCTTAGTTCCACAATAAGAATCGAAGAGACTCCCAAAAGCGAATAGAGGCGATCCTTTATTTGTCTTTCGTGTCCTTAACTGATAACGGTATGCATTAACAGTAAGGGTGCCAACTGCAAGGTTAATGGGATCTTTTTGTGAAGATTTTTTAAAGGAATACATTACAAAAATGAAAGACGAAAAATGAAGAAAAAAAAGGAGGGTCAAATTTTCCACTCGCCGATTGCCGAAAGGGAATAAGCACCGAAACAATAGGCGTCACCGCATAGTATGATCAAGCTATTTCTAGCCAGGGGACCAAATAGACTTAATAGCGTTGGAGCAGTGCACTCTTTGGCCTCTTCCATAGCCCATAACTGCACTGTTCCATTGCTCCTGCCCTATCTTCCAGTGTCACTTAGTAGAACAGCACCGTTAGGGACATTGAGGCTTTCATTTGTGGCAGGAAACGACGTACCGTCTTGGTGTCCTACTGGACTGATATCTATTTAAGATCTGCAAGGGATGGGACTCCATTGATTCATACTTCAACCTATTTAATATTCAAAAGCAATTGCTTCTTTGGCAAACAAGCTCCATCTCTGTCGAGTTTCAAGCTGAGATCAGGAAATACGTTTCAATTGTTGTATTGTTTAAAAAATCTACTTATAAGCGTGGCCGGCTACGCACGTTTGACTGGAGTATGAAGCATTTATACAGCCACTGATTGGAATTCTAGATAGAAGGGATGTCCAGTAGTACATCCATAAGGATCAAATCAAAATTGAGTCGGCAATATAGCCATGGTATATACCAATCATGCCCAGATGGCCAAAGAGGCTTGGGTCCAACGAATTCTAGTTACCAATTGATTTGTAGCCTAGGAACGCAAGTTGATTGGTCAAGTTTTTATTATTTTAATTGAGGTACAAGCGAACCTCCTGTTCCCCAAAAAAAAATTTTAAAGAACGTTTGTCAAGCTCAAGCAGAGGGAACAGGGACAATTGAGGATTATGCGATTGTAGGAGCAAGATCAATTAAGAAAAGATCAAGGATGAAAACAGGTACTTTGTGCAACGTGACATTATAGCTCTTGGTGTTTGTATACCAGAGTGGAATAGAACATTCTGTCAGTAAAAAGGAAGCTTCTTTTATGCTCATGCTTTAATTATCAGCTCATGTAAGCAGATTTATTTGGTCAGTGGTTTTGTTAGTGGAGCTAAACTCTAAAAACCAAGCATATTGTTGACTAGAACATGTACAACAGAAGCTTCCAGATGTTAGTGTTTGCTAATAACATGGGTTTTCGCTATGCGACTTTCAGAGAAGATATTTTTCTGACAACTTCTGCACCTCAATCCGCACAGAATTAGCGGCTCAGGACAGCAGGAAAATGCAGATGACCAGTTTGATCCTCACCTGGAAGAGAAGGCATGGGAAGGACATCGGAGAGATGCGTCAGGATTGTTTGTGTAAAACTCGGTACAATGGTTACTGCGAACAATCTCTGGAGCATTCATTGGCGAGGAATCTCTTTTTAAGTATCGAGATAAGAGATTCCGAGGAAGGAGCTGTAAAGAAATCTCCATTATTAAATCCCTGTATACCATTTGCACTAAATCCTATTAAGGTAAGCTCAAATATCGCTTCTGCTTCTGTTTCTCAAAGATCGGGTACGCACGCACCCTTTGATAGAAATATCAGCGTGACTCCTGTATAGGTCCATGCACGTATAAATATCGCGCTTCCTCTCTTCCATATTCCCACTCTTTACAAAAAATATCTCCATTTCCTACTTTTTCTCACACCTCAACTTCATCAACTCGTAACCCATTTCCCATAGTCCATATTCATAACTCCAATATGTCCAAGTCCCTGCAAGTCGCTATCCATGGTGCCAACAATTTGAGTGTTGGTAAGAAGGACGATCCCTATGCCATCGTTACCTTGGACTTTAAGAACAAGAGCGCCCATTACAAGACTGAGCACAAAAACAACGGAGGAGCCAATGTTGTATGGAACGAGACCAAGATTATTGACGGATTTGACTCCAGCGTGCACGAAAAGCTGTATGTCGAGGTCCATGACAAAGAGACACTTGCTGATGAACCTGTTGCCTTCGCTGCCATCCCCTTGAGCCAGGTCCTTAGTGACTCCAATCAATCTTACCGTGCCAAGTTCGACCTCTTCACACCCGATGAGGAACAAAGGGGAACCATCACCTTGACCATCTCTGTTATCGAGCCCGGTCAGGGTTCTCCAGTCAATTACGACAACTCGTATGAGGGCGCTGAACAAAAGGGAATCTCCCAGATTGATCCCCAGCACAAGAGTCGCATCAGTAGTTTACTCACCAAAGAGAGGGCTGGCGATGCTACTGCTGCTGCTGCTGCTGTTGCTGGTGCTGCCGCTGCCCTTAACTTCTTCGGTAACGCCTTCGCTAATAAGCCTACTGAGCCTTAAGGGCCTGAAAAACATGTCTCTACTTCTTCAAAGTCCTCTGGTTGGCTCAATGACAGGTTGCATGACTCCTGTGTCTTTTTTATAGCCTCACCCTCACAGTATTTTTTGTAAATAAATAAAAAAAAAAAAAAAAACGTTTCCCGAAGCGAGTATTTTATTGCCTGGCCTGCTTCACGCCTCTGACAAAAATATTCCAGGGTGTACGCACCCTGTGTATAATGATAGGTAATAGACAGACGACACATGTTGGGGATTAATGTGCATTTTGAATTTGCGCATGTCCATTGTTCTATTTCAGTAAAACCTTTTTTTATTTTGTTTGGCCCTTTGGGTTTTTGGCTGTGGTGCAATTTCCCACAGAAAAAATAATACGCTAACATTTTTCGTACGTTATTACATCAGCACTTTGTAGAATTGCTATTGGTCTCGAAGCGAAAGAATTGACGAAGCTTGGTTAGAGCCTTGCGCTTCTTCTTTGTAGAGACATCAAAGCCATCCATTAGTGCATCGTTGGAAGGGCACAGACTGATCATGACATTGTCAACAGGACCTTGTGCAGAGCCGGTTCGGGTGGGGTGATGCTTGTAAGGGTGGTGTTGATGCTTGCTGTCATCACATGTGTTGGGGCTGATAGCATTGGCTCGTTTTTGACAGACTGATTGTACGCAATTGTTACCATTTCCGTTAGCATTTGCATTAGCGTTGGCAACAGCAGCAGCAGAGAGAGCTTCGTCTCTTGATGCAGGCCCTATAGGAGTGCTAGGAGAAATTGTAGCCATAGTCTCTGTTGGGGAACTAACCGGCGAGGGCAAAACGTCACTCATTTGGCCATCGCTATCACGAAGATTGAGAGGTGCAGTCATCTGGGTTCGTGCATGGTATTGAGATGCAGTTGCAGCCCCCTGTTGCCTCAATCCTTGAGTACCAGGAGGGTGGTAGGAATGACGGGTGTTGTTTTGCGTATGACCAGTGTTAGTGCTGATTGTTGGGATCGTTGGAGGGATTGTCTTACTGATATCATTGTTGGGATGATAAGTAGGAAGTGCTGTCGACCTTGTCTGTAATTGGCTCTGGTGATTTTGCAGCTGTTGTTGTTGGGCACGAACAGGTGCAGGATGAATAGTGGCAGGGGTTGTAGAGAGGGCGGGAAGTGAGCTCACCATAGAGTCCGTGGCTTCAGCACGCATCCAACGGGATCGAAGAACATCTGTTAAGGTAGCACGACGTTTGGGATCGACTGTTAACATGCGATGGATCAAGGAGCAGACATCGATGGAGCCCTCCCGAGGCTTCTGATAGTTTCCGCGTTTAATCTGTGCAAATAGCGCGGGTAAATCGCTAGCATCGAAGGGGAGGCGACCACAGACAAGGACGTACAGGATTACCCCGAGGCTCCAGACATCAGTCTCGGGACCGATGTAAGGTGTACCGCTAACCATCTCTGGTGCTGCATAGAAGGGTGAGCCACAGTAAGTGGTCAAGTGGCGGTCCTTATGCCAATTGTTGCCGAATCCGAAATCAGCTACGCGTACGTTCTTTTCGCTATCTAGAAGAATGTTTTCAGGCTTGAGATCACGATGGACAACGTTGTTCTATGTAGAAGAAGAGATCACCATGACAGATGGACCGTCTTAGAGAGCTGTGATTTAAAAAGATTTGAAATGTAATAGAAAATCAAGGTCTTTTTGATTTTACCTCATGACAGTAATGAATAGCAAGGACGATTTGATGAAAAATACGGCGGGCCTCTTTCTCTTCAAGCGATCCTTTGTTGGATATGTAGTCGAAGAGTTCTCCTCCAGTCAAATTCTCCATAACAATTAAGATTCTGTAGTCGTCTTCCATTACAGTTTTCACGTCAACAATATAAGGATGTCGTAGCGTCGCCATCAGACGTGCTTCTCTTGTCGCATGTAAGCGCTGTTGCTCACTCTTAAATTGCGACTTTTCCAGAATTTTGACGGCAACCTAAGAATTAAAAAGACTGTCAGTTTAACCACACTAAGCTTTTAAAAATATGGAAGCGCTGATGAAAAAAAAATAAAAATAAAATAAAATGGCTGTTACCTGCTCTCTAGTGATGTCGTTTTCTGCAAGCAGAACTTTACCAAAATTACCTTGGCCAATAGTGCCAATATAGGTATATCCTTGGATCTCACCATATTTGCGCCTAAAAGAATCCTGATTGCATTTATTATAGCCACATCATGGTCGTCATTATTATTATTATTATTGAGGTAATTTCGTGCATAAAAACTTCCTTTAAATTAAATAAATATTTTAGTACCTTGCTGCTAATGCATGTATTGCTAAGTTTTGATTGACGTCCAGTAGAAGACGGCTGAGGGATGGAGACAGAGGTAGATGGGCTGTTGTCGTTGGAGGATGACGAGGGGATAGGAGCCTTTTGGTTGTGAAACTGCTGCCGCTGTGTTGGTGCAGTATAAGATTCTTGATCGTGTTGGACATGAGAGCCCTGTTTGTAGTTCTGAATGTGGCAAAAGGAAGGCTTGTGATATTCACTTGAAATGCTCGTGTTGTCAGCACTGGGTTTTTCAGAAGGTATGTTTGGCTTGAAAGTGTCAAGTGTTGACGAAGGAACCGTAGTATTACTGGTGTTATTGATGGAGCAATGGTTCATGGTATTATTACTGCTATCGGTACTGCTGTTATTATTATTGTCGCTGCTACTATTGTGAATGGTTGTATTTTCAAGCTGAGGATGTCTGTGCTCTGCCGAAGTCATTTTTAGCAACAGCTCTTTCTGTGAAATTGGAATGCCATAGGCAGAAGTGATGCAAGCATGCTGAAGATTAGGACCATGCTAAGGACTTTCAGACATTTTCACGCACATACATAAACGATACAGTGCCGGCACTTCACCTCTCGTATGCTTTGTGTACGGGCCGCTAGGCGCCGATCAATACGCGAAGCACCATAGGTTGCTTCAGTATCACTGGGTCTTCTTCGATAACTCTGTTTATAGAAAGTAATGAAATGAGGTCAAAAAACAATAATCGCCACAAAGTCTCGATAAGCATGATGCAAGGAACTAATAATATGAGATATACCTGATATGCCTCACTAATCCTCATACCCTTCATAGCCTCCTGTGCCGTGAGGCGTTCTGCGGCATACGGATCAGGGCGTATGTAAGCTGCGTAATCACGACCATGGTCATGAGTCTGTTGGCTATGAGCATGCGATTGATTGGGAGTAAGAGCAGCAGTGTTCATATTGATGGAGAAGGCGTGAGTACAGAGCGCGTCAGAGGAATAAGCAGGATGAACGGTAGGGGAGGAGGGGTATCTTGGAGCAGCAAGATGTAGTATTAGCTTGTTGTATCCGTAGGACAAGGGACGCGCCAGAAACGATAAAAAAGTTGTATTTCTATTTACTCAAAAATTCCTATGAGTTATTATAGAGGAGAGAATCAATACAGAAGTGAAAGAAGAAAATAAAAAATAAGAGGGATTGAGTAAGAGCAAAAGGATGGAAGGTACGCCTTCAAAGTGGAGGGATTTGTGTAGTACAGTTACTGCAAGAATAATGGTATAAAATACATATGTTTTCTTCAAAGGTTTGCAGCAACAAGTCCATGCCCGGTCGAGGTTGTAAGGTCGCGTTTATGGAGTAATCTATTGAATGAGTGGATGATATAGTCGGAATCATAATATCCTGCTTCTTCCCCTCTTTCTGTTTGTGCGCGTCATTGAGTCCAAGTCTTGCTACGAGTAGCTGGGTTGGTTGTGCATGTCTGTGTGTCAATGCATTACACAGCAACGACTTTTTTCCTTCCGTTGTAATCCTTCCTTGAAAAGGATATATCAGAATATTGTCACCCCTTCATTTCATATACACAGACAGATTGACAGATTCCCATGTACCCATGTGGCGTTGAATATCTATCTGTCTGTATGTTCAAAATTATATCACCAGACCGGAAAAAAAAAAGAATGGCCGCTTGACTCGACTCACTGTCTTTTCTGGAGGTTATTTGCTTGCATCTACTGTTCATACTGTTGCTGTTGGCTTCTGGCGATCGAAGCTGATGACTATATTTATCTACAGAATATAAATAGACCCCTTTTACGCTTTAGAAGTGTGATTCGCTATTCGTTAGCTACGTCCACAGTACTGTACAGCCTGCATGCACCCTGTAAAAGATAACCTGACTGGTAGATTACCAGGATAAATTTGCGTGTTAGAACCATTTAAAATTAATAAGCTTTATTTTAGGGTGTTGGCATAGTGGATTACATTCTACACACCAAAAATGACCTTAAACGGGACTTTTGTGAATGCCGCCATGTGCACTATCGGCAGGTTGCTCATCGCTCCAATGTTATGAGAAAGAATGTCCTTTAGCATCTCTAGCGTCTGCCAAAAAAATCCTTGTCTTCTCCGTTTAAACTTTTGATGATGCCAAAATTAAGCTTGAATGCGCGACAAATACGCGTAGATGTGCGCTCTTGCAGAGGTGGAGTATCCTGAGTCATGCGATCGATTACATCTGAAGGTTCTAGGAGGAGATCCTGGTCTGGCAAATCAGGGCTATTCCGATGCCGTTCTTGGCTCTTCAAGTCATAACCTAGTTTTCCTTGTCTCTGCTAATTTTCTGTTCGCCGAACCCGCACCACCTGAATATGTTCAGGTACGAATATGGGTGCCAAGAATGCTGCTGATTCCCATAGCAGATGGCCCCAAGGTACACAATCCATGGCCACGAAAACCCCCATTTCATGACAGATAGCTTGGAGTAATACCAATGTACTTGTGCACCAATTGCAGTATGCCAGTGGCGCGAACTTTTTCGCCATAATAACCATAAAACAGTACATACTTTAATATGATTAGCAGAACATCGATGACACTGGTACACACCACTACCGGTATACCAGCGATATAGCGCTGGCGAAGATAACTGATAGTTGCCGCTGAACGGAGTGAATACCAACTCATCTGCTTCTGGCTCTATTTTAGCGCGCAGAACAAGATATTACCGCTACTACACCCAAAATGTCAAGGATGTCCGTGAGAAGAATAGCGGACCAAAGAGCCCAAGCCTCCGCATTGATGACACTGGGGCTCCCTTTATTCCAAGTGTAAGGCGCTCTCTCTCGAGGGGTTTCCTCATTAATCTTCATCAATGAAATAGCAATAAAATCTTAGTACTAGAAAACCATACCTTCCAATGGTGAGGTCCACAGGAACTGCTCAGAACACTCGGAGCCCCAGCAATGATGTAAAATATATTATTGGATGCCTCAAGAGCCTTTTGAATGTAAATCTGTCGAGCTTTTATATTAAGGATGTTCTGTAAAGGCGCGTCTTGAGGTGAGTGTTACTACTAGCAGTCATGTTTTATGAAGATCCTTCTTTCCTCCCATTGCTTATGCATATTTCAGCCATCAGCGCTTTATCTTGCCAGTTTTACTGCACGAACTGAATAAAATGAGGGCTAAAGAGAGGGAAGAAAAGAAGAGAGCAAGGGAAAAGGGCACTGCCAAAGCATTCAAAAGTGCGAAGGAGGAATTTTGGCCCTGTGGATCGAGCTGGGGCCCTATGGTATTTAATAGGCAAAATAGCAAGTGTGTTTTGAAGCGAGGGGCCTGAACAAACTAGCCACATATAAATCAGCTGACTTCTCCCTTAGGCGTCAATGACGTTGAAAATGGCGTATATATGGCCACATTTGCGCTATATTCATATACGCGCGTTTTCCTACGCGCATTGCGTGTCTAAAGTATACAAATGAACTTGACTATCCAGTTAATTTATTTTCCCTCATCATTCCTTTACCAGCCTAACTAAACGACAGCTTTTCTTTCTCATTTGCCATGGCCCTTACTGATATCAAGACGTTGGCACAGGAACTCAGTAAGGAGTACAACGCCCCTAACCCTGACCTTGCTAAGTGCGGGCAGTATCTGTCAAAGCTCAAGGTGCATTTGCGAAAAGTGACATTTTCTTCGGAATGTCTTACAAGAAATAACTTCGAATGGCCGTAGTACTGATCTAGATGTATCTGTTTATTTTTTACATTTTCGAGGTAGATTGCATTGATTGAGCTTCAGTACCTGACACATGAAGGCAAGCACAACAACATCGAAGAACTGACCTTAGCACGTAAGTACCTGTGTTCATACCCCCAATGAAGACGGAGTGTTGTTATTAATGAAAAACCATAGTTGATATATATTGCTGATGTTCATTTGTTGCGGCTGTCTAAATTATTGATAAATAGGTGATGTGCTCGAAATTGGCGCACAATGGAGTGTTCGTACAAAGGACATTCCCTCATTCGAGAGATACATGGCTCAACTTCAGACTTACTACAATGACTACAGGCAAGGGCAGTATCTATAATTAATGTGTTTAATAAGTTCTAAGCGAAAACGGTGAATCATGGAACATCTAATTAACAACAGGATTTATTTATTTATTTATTTTAATTGTTCGATCCTTGCAGCGAACTACCTACTTCTCCATTGAAATACAACTTGATTGGCCTTAATTTGTTATGCCTGCTGTCGCAGAACAGAATTTCAGACTTTCACACTGCATTGGAGACGATTGAATCTCAAGAGTTACTTAACAACCCTGCGATCCAACACCCCATCAAATTAGAACAATCACTCATGGAGGGCAGCTATAATCGTGTCTGGAGCTCAAGAGCGGATGTGCCTTCGAAGGAATATCTTTTTTTCATTGACATCCTGATGGACACTATCAGGTATATGTGAAATCTATTGCATAGTTGTCTAGAATACCTCCTATCCTTTTTTTTTTTTTTTTTTTTTTTTTTAATCGGCTAGATTGTCCAATTGTGTCAGTTTTAGTAGAAGGATGTCCACAAGTATTGATGATGATTTTAATTTTCATTGGGAAATATCTATGGGAATACATTAGAAACGAAATCGCAAGTTGCAGCGAAAAAGCCTACAGCAGTCTGCCTTTGAAAGATGCAGGAACCCTTCTGTTCTTCACAAACATGGAAGACATCTTGAACTTCGCAAAAGAGGTAAACTAAATACTAGAGCTTGTTTTGTTTGTGTTCCGTATACTCTCTCGTTTAATCGCTCACTGAATATCAATACTTCCATTTCCGTGGTTTTACGTGCCTTTCACATCTACAGAGGAATTGGAAAGTCAACCCAGTTGAACAAAAAGCTTACTTCCACTCAGATGCAGACGAGAGGATCAGTATCCCAGCCAACCAGATTATCAAGCAGACCATGTTTTATGCTAGAGATATGGATCGAATCGTTTAAGCTATGGTTCTGCCTTATTACTAGGGAGAGTATATTAGGGAAATAAAGGACTATTAGAAGTAGGAGAGTGGCAAGGCTGCCTTAATGCTGTATTCATCAAGGAATAAAGCACTGGAAAAACGAAAAACGATGTAGACTTCAATCTTTTTTTTTTTTTTTTTTTTTTTTAATATTTTGAGCCACATCAGATAGGCATCTTTTTGTTTTATTTTTCTAGGAGTGTTTCTGGACCTTCAATGAAAAATCAACGAAGGAAACGCCCTGGGTCATGGATCCCAAACTAATGATGTCGATGGCTATTACGAAATGTTGCAGCAAAAGTGGTTAAGATAATGTTAAAGCTGCTTTCTATTTCATTCACAAATCAAGCCTGTTACATGACTTACAGTCACAGAAGTAATTTTCGATCGTCTGTTCAGTGACACCTCCACTGCACTCAACTAAGACTTGACGTCCCTTGGCAGCCCAACGCTGCTTGATGTTGCCAGCAGCGACCTTGAGAGCGTCACCCTCGAAATTATCCAACATTACAACGTCAGCTCCTGCTGCAATAGCTTCGTCCGCCTCTTCTTCTGACCGACACTCGACCTCAATCTTCAAGGAAAACCCGCCAACGGCCTTTGCCTTCTCTACGGCCGCCGTAATAGATCCTTAATGAGGCAGATGTTAATTGATACAAGATGTTTAAGAGGTTGAGTACATTTTCACTTTTTTTTTTTTTTTTTTTTTTTTCTTCTTCCAATACTGAGATCATATACCTGTGCTCCAGACATGGTTATCCTTTAGCATGATCATGGACGAAAGATCCATACGGTGAGTGTCTGCGCCTCCAACCAACATCCCATACTTTTCAACCAGACGAAAACCTAGTAACGTCGTATTTTAGTATTGTATAAATATTGATAAGAAAGGGAGGAAAGTCAAGTCCAGTTCATTGTTTGAATTGTTTGGTATTTCAAACATAAAAAAAAAGACAAATCGTTCTATTATCTACCTGGCGTAGTCTTCCGAGTACCAGCAATGACACCCTTAAACCCATTCTTCTCCTTTAAGACACGGAGACGGTATGCTTGGGAGGCAATACCACTACATCGTGCCATAATATTGAGTGCAGTGCGCTCTCCAATCAAGATCTGACGGACAGGGCCATAGACATGTGCACAAGTCTCGATAGGTTTGAGAGCATGACCCTCAGAGACATGCCATTCAACACTGACAAGATGTAAGAAGGGAGACAAACATATCAAAGGGAGGTAAGATGAGCATTATCAAGCTGTATATCTTGAACCCAAAATGAACAAAGGATTACATACCGACAGCCAAGCTGCTCGAAAATTTCGGTGAAAAATGGCACACCTGCCACAATACCCTGTTTAGGAACCCAGTGCACAATGGATAAAAGCAATAATTGATCACTCTGTTTGGCTTGAGACTTGTGTTAAATACATTGAATTGCAAAAAAAAATTACCTCACTCTTGCCATACAGGATGGCTGTGGTTTCTTTTTCTCCCACGACATAGCCGCCGTAATCGAATGAAGGAATGTCCTCTTGCAACCATTCTGTAATCTTTACCTTCCAATTAGGAGGAAGTAGATGAGTCAAGGTGCTACTAGGTGCTGGTGTTGAGGATGCCATGTTGAATAGTATACTTTTTTAATGTGAAATGGTTATGGCTGACAGAAAAGAATAATTCTCATTTGACAAAAATATCCTACGCATTTTATTTCATGCTGGTGGCTGGGATCAGCGCATTCACATTCGAATTAAGCACTACATGTATGGTCTGCGCAATGGGTAAATAGCAACTACGCGAATGAAGTATTGCATGCCAGGCCTGTGCAACAAATGATATCTACACACGAATCTATAAGTCATCCATAGGTCACAGTAACTAGATCTTGATTACAATGATAAGAATGACTACCAGTACTAAGATAATCATCCAAGACTCACAGCCTTTTGTTCCTTTGGCCACCTTTGCCAGCTGTCTCCGTGCAATCCCTAGATGGCTCTCTGTTCGGCCCACGAGGTGATCTGTGTCTTCCAAGAGATCCATATGTGTATCCAGCTCACCACCAATTATCAAACCCAGTTCCTGTTGTCGATTCAGGGACTGACTTAGGCGATCCAAATTTTGATCCTGGTCTGGGACACACAGATAGATACATACATGCATAAAAAAAAATGTGTCAACGTCCACATTACCATAGGCAGGCTGTTTTGGATTAGTTGTCAAAGCAGCCTGGAACAAAAAAAAAAAGAAAAGAAAAATTCGTACCATCCATAATTCTTTGGTGTAATTGAAGCATCTGGCCATTGTCAAGATTATCTACTTCAACTTCGTGTTCTGAAAACCGCACTACTTTTGACCGAGTGTGTTTTGTCGAGTTTTGGTTCAGACCAAGCAGCACAGCCCTGGTGAATAGTAATTCGTTAATTCATTAGCCTTATATTTCTTAACTGACCATTCGAATCAGTGCCATTTTTTTTTTCTCACCTTGCATTAGCATCGTCCTTGTCCTGAAGCAGTGCCTCCAATTTCTCTAGCTGCTGCTGTAATTTGATGAGGATATCTTCTCGATTTGCAAGCTCTTTAGACGGCCTATATTTTCAGAAAAGAGAAGTGATTTCTTGGCATATGAGTTGCAAAAGTCAGGAAAAAAAAAATATCACGCACAATCAAACACGTACAGTGAGGCAGTTTGTTCAGCCTGAGAAAGTTCAGCTTCGAGATTTTGTAGTCCTTCTCTGAGACGTGACATGTTTTTCTCGATAGTTTTGTCCTGTGAGGCATAGCTAAGGCCATTGGCCTTGCAACGGTTTCTCTCATAGACTGTGACAAGGGTGCTATCGACGATAAGGCCTACCTTGGAGCCCCAGTTTGCTTCCATGGTCAAGCGAATGTGGGTCTTTTTATAGACAAGTGAATATGTGTCTTTGAAGCGCTTTGTGGGAGTGTTCTGCTGAAGCCGCAACAATAAGACGGAAGCCGAAAGGCGAGTAAGAGGCGTGACCAGAGTAAAGATGTGGAGTATACAGGTCATGAACAATGAATGGGCTATACTTGTGACCAGAGTCGTTGACAGTCCCGTCGAGAGAGGAGGACTTTTTTTCAGCCACATGCTTGTTAACACGCTTTTCTTTTTTCAACTCTTCATTCTCTTCATTGTTGGGGCAGCATCGGTATCAGCTTAAGGCGACAATGACATGACGTCTGAACAATTCCATTCCAAAGATGTTCTCATCAATGAGGATCTCGACTTTTCATCATTGGTACAACACCCAGTACTTTTGAAAGGTTTAGTTGACGCTGGATACCAAAAGCCATCGCCTATTCAGCTTAAGACTATTCCTTTGGGCAGATTGGGGTTAGACCTGATTGCGCAGGCAAAATCAGGCACAGGAAAGACTATTGTTTTCAGTGTCATTGCGATCGAAATCATTCTCTCTGGATTGTCAGCAGACTCGACCACAAAATCAGATCGGGATCCCAATGCCTCAGCAGTTCAGCACCAACGACAGCAGCAACATAATCCAAAAGCAGTGATTATTGCACCTACACGTGAGATTGCTGTCCAGATCCAGGATGTTATCCGTAGTCTTCTAAAAACAGGTCTTGAACATACTGTGACGTGTCATTCCATGATCGGAGGAACGCCTATTCAGCAGGACAAGGAAAACTTGAAGCGATGCTCAATTGTCGTAGGGACACCTGGACGAGTGAGGTCATTAATTTCTACAGGGCATTTGGTGACAAATCAAGTTCGACTACTTGTCTTGGATGAGGCTGACAAATTGATGGAAGATGTCTTTAAACAAGATGTCTTTAATATCGCAGAGAGACTGGGTGCAAACAAACAGGTGATGGCGTTCTCAGCAACGTATGATGACGATCTCCTGAAACTCTTGGACCAATTAGTCAAGAGCCCCGTATATGTGATGCTAAGCAACGGTACACCAGAGCTTGAAGGTAGTAAAGAAGCATGATAGCATTGTGCATTTTATCAAAATACAGTTGGTGATGCAATCCTTATTCCCGCCTCCTGATTTTTTTTTTTATTTTTATTTTTTATTTTACTTTTTACTTTCAGGAGTCCTTCAATACTACAAAGTGGCGACAGTGGATGATAAGGATAGCGGTGGATCAATATATTTGAAGCAGCTGCGCATATTGGATGCCAAGTTTGCAGAGTTGGAGCATCTATTGACGCACGTACCTTTTTACCAAGGCATCGTGTTTCTGAATCACCGTGGACGGGCTCAAGACCTTGTCAAGGTTTTAACAAGAAAAGGGTGGCCAGCTATGCATATTGCCTCCGGTATTCCCCAAGAAGAGCGATTGGAAGTGATGAAGAAGGCACGAAAGTTCGAGTTGAGAATATTGGTGTGCAGTGATCTGGTAGGCGTTGTTTAATGTTCATTTAATATCCTATGTTTCTTGCGCATGATTTGATGCTAGTTAATAATTATTACTCTGTGATTCATAGATCGCGCGCGGGATTGATATTGATCGTGTTAATTTGGTGGTAAATCTTGATTTGCCTAGAGATCCGGAGACATACTTACATCGCATTGGAAGAACGGGGCGATATGGTACTACGGGATTGGCTGTGAGCATCGTGGACGAACAGGAGCTTAATACAGTAGAGATTTTGAAGTCGGATTATAGAATTACGATTCAACAGTTGCCTTTAGAGCCAAGTGATGCCTACAAAGAACTCAGTCGGAGTATCAATATCCGGCATCGTACAAAACCATTGCAAAAACCTGAAGATATTGACCAATTCAAAAAGCTAGAGGCAGAAAGGATATTAGGTGAACAAAGAGCACAAAGTGCAATCAAGATGACCGAGGTGTATGAGAAGGGTGATAAGGATAATAGATTTCAACGACACTGTCCGCCTCTGAATTCAAAGCGCAAATCTCCGAATGAAGTATTGAAGAATACGGGAGATCAGTACTTGGATAGCGCTGAACAGAGATTGCCTAATAAGAAGTCGAAAAGTCCAGCTCACAACAAGCCATTACTTCTTACTCCGGAAATGTCTCCTTTAGTTGCTAATTTTGACACAATTAACACACAAGCCTCGGTTTCTCATCCTGTCGAAGGTGAAGAGATAGTCGGGTCCGATAGCGATAAGGGAGAAGATTCGAAGGAGGAGGACAAAGAAGAGGATGAGGGTAAAGAGGGGGGAGAGGTAGACCGCGATGATGTTGCGAACGAAGAGTTATTCACTCTGCATTTGCCAATGCCAGGATATGCATCAGTTTATCCTAATGTGGCTCCAACTATGAATTTTCCATCATTGATCCCTGTGAGCCCTATATATTATAAACCATTCCCAAATTATTCATTTCATCCAGCTTATCCTTATGGGCCACATGTTCCATCAACAAATCTTTTGCATCATTTATGGACGCCTCCACGCCCTACAAGAAGATATTTTCCACCTGACCTGCTTCTATTTCCAGCCAAACTTCCATCTATTAGTCACTTCCGATAGCACTGGTTTCCAGAAAATAAAATAAAAATAGATAGAGATATATATAATGTGTTCATTCAGCGCTTTCATTCAATCGTTACTGTAAATACGAGATCACATAGCAGAGGTTTTCTAGAAATCTGTCCTATACAAATCCTTCTAAACTTTAAATGTCATCAATGTTTCTAGTTTCAAGCGAAAATCCTAATTTCTTGAAACCCTCTGAGATATCCTTAACCTTGGTAGAAGCACTGGTGACAACGACTAGTGAGGTGTCTGGACGGAAGACCTTGCTCAGGTACTTATCCATCGCATGCTGCAATTGTTCAGGGGTGACGCGTTGAACACGCTCCAAGAACTCCTTGTTGTAGTTAGAAGAGACCTTTTTGAGGACTTGATTCACGAAAGCTTCTGTGGCCGCGCCTGAGATAGTTTCCTCCTTTCGGACGATTCTGTACACGATACTGGCCTTGGCACCTTCAAGCTCCTGCTTGGTGAATCTGGATTTACCAGAAGCATAATCTTCTACGATTTTATATGCCAAGCTGAAGGCGCGCAGCGCGTCTGGTGAGCGGTAGATGGTGAATGTAAGAAAGCCTACCAGTGATAAAAATATGAAGTGTTATTGCATATATATTTATACACTTATAAAAATGAAATAAAGAGTATTAAATTTACCGGCCTCTACGTCAACACGAAGGTTGGCTCCATAAACAGCACCGCTTCCACGGAGCTGCTTCCAAAAGGGTCCCTCTAGAGTATCGAGACACTCAGAAAGGACCAAGAGGGCAGCATAGTCAGGATCTAAAAAGTCAGTAGGACCATGTGTGACATGAGAAGCAAAGGAGCTCTCGATTGAGGGCATATTGACAACATAACCCTTATTGCCAGGGGTTTGGCCCGCAGCGCTCCAAACCTGACTGGAAAATGGAATAGGGGCAAGTGTAGCAGGGGTACCAGATCCGTTCTTTAGCCCAAAGTACTTTAACCATGCTGTCTTTGGCTGAGGTTGCTTCAGAATGTCGCCTTGAACCTGGATATGGATGTTGGCAGGATGTGTCACTTTTTATAAACAGATTAAAAAATGAGCGTTAGAACAATTGTTAGACTTCCACTGCCCTGTTATTGCTTGGAGATAGAATAGCTCTGGAGTAAACTTACAGATCTCACGAAGCTCGTTGAGGGCTTTGATGACAGTCTCTGGCTCATGCTCTAATTGTTTGATAACTTCAGGTAAGAATTTAGCCTGCTTGAGCACGTTCAGAGCTGAGATATTGGACTTTTCGTAGTCGTACGCGAGAACATCCATACATGCTCGAGCCATCTAAAGAGACATAGTACAAGAGTATAACATTAGTGTGTAGGCATCTCAGTAGAGAAAAACAAAAAGCACATAGGGTGTATGAAAAAATAAGCAAAATGCAAAACTAGTAAGGGATCTTACCCTAGATCCATCACGTTTTTGACCAGGGATGTCGTTCAGTAGTTTGGTGGTAATGACCTTCAGACGATCCACGTCAAAACGAGTGTGCCAAGTCATTTTGTTTAGCCAGGCAATGCCTTCATAATATTTGGTGCGCTCTATCTTGAGAATGACCAATGCTAACTGGCGGAATAATTGGTTGACACCAACCCCGCACCCTTTGCTGATAGTATCATTGTCCAACATCTTAACAACCTGCTCAAAAGGGATTTCATGGCCTGAAATGGGGTCAATCAAGGGGAGAGAGAAGAAGGATTCAAAGTATATGTCCAAATATGGGCGCAAGCGTGCGGGAAGGTCTGTTGAAGTGAGGAAGAGAGTAAGCTCAACAAACTCGGACTTGATGTCTAACAAATGCCACAAAAAGACAAATTCAATGATCAATATCTGGATGCCGCCTATGATTTCAAGCATTGTGGCTATAGTCCTTTATAGTCATGATGTAGTTTGCACTCACGATCAAACTCGATAAAATAAGAAAGCTTGGCGGAGTCATTGTCCAAATGCGTCTGAACGGCATTGTTGCTTGTGTTTTTTTAAAAAAAGGATTTTTTTTTTTTAATAATTTGTTTGGAGGAGCCACTCCTTCGTAAAAGGGTTTCAACTTCAACTTACAACTGAGATTCAGGTTGGCTACGGCCAGAAACAACCTCGATCATTTCAATTCCCTTCACATCAGGGATGGGGAAGTTGTCTATTTATGTACGCACGATCAGCATCGACACTGCCATTAGTCTTGATAGCTAGGGAAAATACTAGTATAACTAAAAACATAAATAATAGATATCACGTACCAAATATCTCTGTAGGAACTGGAATATCATTTTGGGCTCTATGCTTCTGAAGCTCTTCTTCCAGTTCTTTGAGTCTCTTCTCACCTAGGCGCTCGCGTTGTTCTTGAATACGCTTGGCCTCATCTGCGGCTAGTTTTTCTGCGTGTGCAGCAGAGGGTTTACCAATGATAGTAGCTCTCTTGGAGTTGATGAAGTACCTGCCAGGAAAACGGGGGAAAGATAATATATGTAAAGGTAATGAGTCTTCATACAGGATATGTTTTTAAAACGTTCTCTAAATCGCAATGATCCTGATTTGAAATAACTTACTCCTGCAGATACTTGACCCAGGTTGCATTGTCGAATTTAGCAACGGCATCCAAATTATCTAAGTCATTCACAAATTCTGCGAGATCGCTATCATCTGATTTTCCATACAGGAAGTGAACTAGGCATGGCCATGCTAAACTCATGTGATCAGTTTCGAGGCGATCCAGAAGCTTAAGCTTTTCGCGCTTGATAACAGCAGCCATGCGGTCCATGTCGAATCCATCCTGAACAATCTTCTCAATGATCGAGAAAAATTTTGGTTCAACTTCCTCAAGCTTCTCTGTAGGAACATTCTCAAAAGAAAGGTGGATCTCTGCACGAATGCGGTGTTGAGTTTGAAAGTCAACAGCTGGAGATGCCGGGGAATATGTACAAAATGAATAATTGAATTCAAGATGTAATCAGTATTTGCCAAGTGTATTGGGTTACGCATAAGGATGAAGGCATACTAAAAGCATACATGTGCAGTAAGGGTCCTCAATCTCGACCATCTCCTTCTTCAAGATAGCGACGGCAGAGTCTGTTAGATAGGTTTCAAGGATATCCAGCGCTTGGAAAGTCAAGAAGTCCTAATGGTTATTTAAGCAGGTAAGATTCCTGTTTATTGTTTACCTGGACTTTTATACCTGCAAAAAATAAAATAAGAAGATACAGATATAAAGCATACAGTGATTGGAGGACCAAACCAATTGATGGCAACCTCGCCCATGTCCTCATCCTCCGAAGGGAAGGTAACAGTGGTTTTGGTAGTTTCATTCAAAAGCGGCGCTTGTGGAGAATCCACCCAAGGACTACAATGACGAGTGAAAAACATCAGCCAAAAGTATTTATATCAACTGTATTATCAATAGGTTAGAATTCAGGGTTAACATACCGCTTCATGGGAGGAAGTGGTCCCTTAGAAAGAATTCGCTCTTCAACGGGACCAAGAGCGTCCAACAACTTTTGATGGTCTACACGTCCAGAGATGATAAGGCACAGATTGTCGGGGCGATAGTAGTCACGATGATACTTATTTTTTGTGTAGAGAATAAATGAGTTCATGGAATTGTGAGTCTAAAAAACTGTCGTGCTCAGCAGATTAGTGACATGAGTACGTGGATAAGGAAACATACTTGGCGAACTAGTGTAGGCAAAATAATTAGATGTCAATATTTCATTCATTCTCATCCCCAGTCATCAATTCTGGCCATTGATGTTAGACAACAAGAAATCGGATGCTCACTCTTTTCGGCCTTGAGGGATCGCAGGTTGGCCATGAGACCACCGGTTTCGTAGCGGTACCCAGAGCTTTCAGGGTACATAGTGCGCTGGCGACTTTCAAGTTACAGAAATATTCGAATTTAGACACTCGTCAAACAGCTTAATACGATCATGTAGTCATCCCGGGTAAGTTTTTTTTTTTTTTTTTTTTTTTTTTTTTTTTTAATGGATGCAGTTTCCATACCAAAGTTCCATAATGGAGCTAGCGCTATTTTCACGCCCTTGCATCTCGCAATAAACAACACCAGCGTCCTCGCCATCACCGTTGATGTTGTGCACCTCAGTGTAATATGCGGCCTCAGTCATTGTGGGATAGAGGATATGATCGATATAAACTGTTATACAAGGAAAAAAAAAAAAGAAAAGAAAAAAGGAGAAAAAGAGAAGAGGAGAGTAGAGAAAGAAGTGAGTTATGCCGTCATCATACCCGTGCATTAATCTATCTAAAGATCAAGAATGAGAAGTATGTGAGTACTTGGCATGATGTTCAAGAATCCTTCACTTCCTGCAGTGGCGATAGCTAGTTGGATAGTCAAAACAGAATAGGAGAGGAAAAAGAGTATTAGCTTTGATACGTATCAATAGATAGATAGCTTTCCGGTTGTTGGCGAAAAACTTACTATAGGCAGTGTGGTCAACGTCAGTCCCTAGAAGGAAATACATTTAACAGATGTCGACAGAAACATTAGTACAACATTAATAACTCCTTTTACTCCTATAACATCAAGCTCATGCTTCTTTATGCACTTACAGGCATTGGTTCCGTTTGCAAGGGCTCGGTTGGCAAGACCATCAAGCACTCCCTGGATACAGTAAGTTATATATTAACATCACAAATCGAGTTAAAAAATAAGGTTTGCGCGACGCGATTTTTACGTGGCACACGAATCACGTTTGTTCTCACGAGTTTTTTTTACCTTAAATGGGTACAGCTCGCTCCCAAGGAATACAAAGCTGGACAGACAAAGAGGAAGAGAAAAAGTTTATCATTTTAGCAAAACAATTATCCTTCAATAAGTAGGATATATATATGTCAGACACAATTGCTTCGTACTGCTCGAGAGTGTGAGGACATCCGTCATCATCGAAAGCTGCGATTTATGAGTATTTAATTGAAGAAAGGAATATTCCAGTTAAAAACATCAACAAGTGTGCGCTCACAATTGACATCGAATAACACTGATTAATTTGCTGCAACTGGGCTTACATTCAGTGGCCAGAGTGAAATATCCATTGACAATAGGTCCTATCAAGCAAAAGATGTTTGAGATATACAATACAGAGTATTATATAGCCAAGAGCAATGAGTTATCCCCAGTAGAGAGATTCACATACCTTCGTTGTCGACATGAACAACACTAAGGCCTGACTTGTTGGATCTGAACTTGGTGATCTTGTGGCCATTGACATCAACCTCTTGGACGACCTTGAAATTAGATGTCATTGTTAATGTAGGTTAATAAAAGTGGGTAACTTTTTATCGTAAGAGAAAGAGGAGGGAGTTGAATTTCAGACACAGTTCGTCACCGAAAGAAAAAGCCATTCACTAATCTACATGTTGCAAAGTAGGCTTTTATGATACACGCACTCAGACAACTTAATTTTTTCCCTCTCTTTTCTTTTTATCTCTCTCCTTTTCTCTGCTTTTACACTAACACAAAGTTATTATGGCTGAAATCGATCATTCCGCTCTTGAAGCTGTCCAAGAGGACATGGATCACATCCATGATCTCACCACAAAGGCTGAGCTCGAACTGGGTAAGCAAATGAAATATAAATGAATGGCGAAAAGAGATTCAATCAACAGATTTCTGATCAGTTCTCATTATTGAAGAAAAAAATCAAATTATGTTTCGAATGGCCTATTTGCTAACACTATTGCAGCCAACAAACGCAACGAGTTGATGGCTCCTATTTACAAAAAGCGTCAGGAAGTCATTGCCAAGATCCCTAATTTCTGGTACACTCTGTTCCGGATGCACCCTCTTACCGCCAATTTTATCGAGGAAAGAGACCTGCCTGTATGTTTTCTTTTTCTCTCTCTTTTTTTTTTTTTTTTTTTTTTTTTTTTTTCGAGAATGAATGTTCAAACATTGATGTCTCTATTTCTGCTCTTAGATATTGGAGCATTTGACTGATGTGTTTGTCAAGCACGATGATAAAGACTCGCGCAATTACGAGATCATCTTCGTAAGTTCAGCTACAGCCCGAATTCAAGTCTGTGGTTTGTAACAACAATAAAAATTAATTGAACAAACGTTCATGGATGGATATTTTGTTTCATTCTTTAGACCTTCAAAGAGAATCCCTACTTCTCCAACAAGGAGTTGATCAAGAAAGTGGTCGTGAAGGATGATGATGAAGAAACTTCTATCGGCGAGGTCTTCGAGATCAATTGGAAGGAAGGCCAAGATGTTACCAAAAGCCAGAAGCGCAAGAAGGACGATGACGACGAAGGTTCATCTTCCTTCTTCGCTTGGTTCAAGGAAGAAGACACTTCGATTGCCGATATTTTTGCACTCGAGATTTTCCCTCAGGCTCTTAGGTATGTTGAAAAAGACCCTCCGACTAGTTAGAATAGTTAATCCTACTAATATAATAAGGTATTACGCAGATTTGTACTCTTTAGTAGTTCTTGCATTCATTAACATTTTGCTTTTTACGTCGTCGACGCATTAGTTTGTATGCTGAGGGCCCTGATGAGGACGATGAGGATGATGACGACGACGAGAGGTCTATTGATCTGGATGGTATGTGATATGAAGTCTTTGCCACTCTTTTTTTGCTTATTTTTTTATTCTAATTTTTTTCATCCATATATCTTCACTTTTCATGTGTAATTAGATGAAGATGAAGAGGAAGAAGAAGAGGATGAGAAGCCCAAGAAGAAGAGCAAGAAGTAAACATTATTTGATGTTTCCTGCACATAGTTTTGTTCCATAATATGCTTGCAGTTGTCCATAGTATTATTCCCAACAAAAATAAAATATTTAAGTCGAGACGGCCGTGACTATTCTAGAGCAAATTGAACAAAGACGTTCTCACACTTCACCACCTGTATCAAGACAATACACGTCTCCGTTTTCTCTGACGGCATCTCATCTTATCGCTCCGCCCTTTTTCTTTCTCCTCTCTTCAAATTGAAACACATTCAAGGACTTTCATTCCATTGCAACCTCGGTTCAAACCTGCAGACCTAAAAAGGAGGGGGAAAAAAAAAAAGAATAGTAGTCATTCCTTTATTTTTCATATAGCATACAGTCGACATGCTGGAAGGACTAGTTGCTGGTCTCCTGAATCGATTCATTGGACCCTATGTGACTAATCTCAACGTCAGTCAGCTCAACATTGCCATCTGGAGCGGTACGTAGTTTCTGACCATACATCGAAAGATATTACACAGATAGTTTTTGTTTTATTTTTTATTTAACACGGCGCCTATTACGAATTATGATGAGATATTCTTAGGCGATGTCAAATTGACAAACCTCCGCCTTAAGAAAGATGCACTTGACAAGTTCAATTTACCAGTCGATGTAGTAGAAGGTCAGTCATTCTACCGTGAGATATTTTGTTTTCGATAGTACCATTATAAGGCGTTAAGATAAAAATAAGGCCTAACACCTTGTCATCTATCTCTACAGGTTACCTCGGTGAGCTTACGTTAAGTATCCCTTGGTCTAATCTTAAAAATAAGCCCGTCAAGGTTTATATCAACAATGTGTATCTTTTATGTGTTCCCAAGGGCGAGTCAGATGTAAGTGATACATATTGATATGACCGTGTGGCGAATGGATGGAAAACTTTGTACTTAACAGATATATGTCTGCAATACTGTTTGTGTCTCAATATAGTATGACGCCGATGAGGAGGCCGCTCGAGCCCAGGCATTAAAAGAAGACAGACTGGCCAATGCAGAACTACTGAGCACAAAGCCAGCTGCAGGGATGGATGGTAGGACTGTCATCTGTACATGATTGATTATCCGGAGTAATAGTGGTCTCGTGGATTTTTACATGCATTTGCTTGTTTGATTACTGAAAGTAACATGATGAATGGTCTAAAACATTTAATAGACGAGGAAAAAAAGAATGCTACTTTCCTAAACCAACTCGTCACAAAGGTCGTTGACAACCTGCAGGTGTCAATCAACAATATCCATGTTCGATATGAAGACAAGATGTCCGATCCAAAGGTTAGTGAATACTGAAAGATAGTATTGTTGTGATACCGCGATCCTGATCTTTTTTATAATTATTTATAATTGCTAATTATAATTTAAATATATGACCATGTGTTATGTCATTATGTATTTGCTCTAGCACCCTTTCTCAGCTGGATTGACTCTCTCGCAGCTATCAGCTGTTTCGACTGATGGTGACTGGGTTCCTACCTTTATCCATGATGAAGCCAATACTATTCACAAGGTTCGCTGCTGTGGCGTTGTCAGATACGTAGTTTTTGCATGTTTCAGGATGGACACAGCAACCTTTCTGACATAAGTTTCTTAAATGGGCTATTATATTCGCAGCTTGCCACATTAGATTCACTGGCTATGTATTGGAACACTGACTCTCGGTCGCTAGCTGGAAGAGACAAGGATGACGCACTGAAAACTTTTATGGAGCTGGTCGCAAAGGCAGAATATATACCGAAGGAGCATCAATACATTCTTAAGCCTGTATCAGGGACAGGAAAGGTCAAACTTAACAAACGTTATGGTGGAGATGTTCCCAAGACCGGCGTTAGCCTCAATTTTGACGAGTTAGGATTTGTAGTCGATGACGAGCAATATAACAACGTCCTTCTGATGATGGGGCTATTCCATTCGTTCATGAGGCAACATGAGGTGATGTATAACTCTGTTCAAAACTTCCATCAAGAATAAGACCTAAATGGTTCTCAATATACTTACCTGGTTTCTTTAATCTTTGTGATGTCTCTTCTAGTTCAGGAAATTTCGACCACCAAAATCTGTCACACCATCGCAAAATCCTTTGGCATGGTTCCGCTACGCTGGAAATGCGGTGTTATCGCAGATTCATGAAAGGAACCGCAAATGGACGTGGGCATACTTCGAGGAACGTCGTGATGACCGCAAAGCCTATGTGGAACTGTACAAGAACCACAAGCTCGGCCGAAATGATGTCGAGGATGAAGAAAGGCTCAAAGCGCTGGAATGGAAGTTGTCGTATGATGACATTCGCCTTTATAGAAGTATCGCCAAGGGTGTATTACGCCGCGAAAAAATCTTGATCGAGAAAAAACAGGTGGCAGAGCAACCTAAGGGCTGGCTCAGTTCTTGGTGGTATGGCTCTAACTCTAAAAAGACTCAAAAGTCTGAGGAAGAGGAAGATGCAACTACGCTTACGGATGAGCAGAAGCAGCAGTTGTACGATGTTATCGATTATGACGAAAAAGCGGCTTTGCAAGCGAACCTCGAAGAGGCTAAAGATACGATACTGTATTCTATCGACGCAAGACTGCGAACAGGGTCTTTTGCGCTTAAAAACGATCCTCATGGCGCAAACAAGATTATATTCAATGTTGTATTTGACACTTTCCTTGCTAACTTTCTGACGCGAACTGACAACTTCGTTGCAGGTATCGCCCTTGGAGGATTGACATGCATTGATGGTACAACTCAAAACACACTGTACCCGAAGATTGTGCGAGTCAAGGAGGCTGAAAGCAAGAAGAATGTTCTTTCCAAGGTCTCTGACGGTGATACCATCTTTGGTGGAGAAAGCAGTCAGAGTGGTCAGGCCCAGGCGGAGGTTGAATTCAACCCTTTCTTCTCTGTAAATTTTGAGCAGAATCCTCTGGATAACCACGCTGATAGCGTTCTGGAGGTTAAAATGAGACATCTTGAGATCCTTTACAACCCAAAGACGGTCGACACCGTGATGGAGTTTTTGAAGCCACCACCAAGTGAGGCAGACAGTATCAACGCTCTCTTGGAGGCTGCAGGAGACACTCTCGAAGGTTTGGCTGCTCAAACTAGAGCAGGATTGGAGTATGCGTTGGAGGAGCACAAGCGCCTTGATCTACGCGTGGATATGGATGCACCTGTCATGATCTTCCCAGAAAGGTGAGTGTGTGAATTAAAGAAAGGTTAAATAATCTCACGTTAAGAAACGGTACTAAAAAATGTACTCTCATTATTGCTGTTGTCCTTCTAATAGCTGTACGGACATCAATGCACTTGTTGCAGTTCTCGACGTTGGTCATATCTTTGTCGAGAGTAACTTAGTCTCAAAGGAAGATATGGCGGTTGTAGAGAACAATCACAAGCGCACCATGACAGGAGCTGACATGGAGAAGCTTGAAGAGCTTATGTATGACCGATTTGTGGTACAACTTTCTAGCACACAGGTAAAAAAAGTGTACCAAAAGCAATGGTCTATTGCTCTGTTTAAACTGGAAGGTTTATTTCATATGATACTCATATCCTTTAACTCACATTACATGCAACATGTTTGAAAACAATAGCTTCTTGTTGGTCAATCAGTTGAGCGGTGCTTGCAGCAGATTAGGAAACCGGACAAGGGAAATGATCTCCATGTCATCGATAAGATCAATATGACATTCCATGTTCATCTCTCGATATTGCCTCAAGCACCTAATCTTACCAAGATCAAGGTCTTTGGTGATCTACCCTTGCTTCAAATCAACTTCTCGGACCGCAAATATAAGACACTTATGCGTATTGTCGACTTGGTTGTGCCAAAAGATGATGAGAATCCTGCGCCTCCACCGCCACCAAAGCGAAAAAGCTCTATGAACATTCCTTTGCTTGGGAAGAGCGCGTACAGGGACGATCTTGTGCTGGGAGATACTACTGAAGGAGAGACCGATGATGAAAGAGTGGTAACTCGCCGCGGAAAGACGTCTGAAGACAAAGTAAATTATTTCGCATTATAACTTACTACCAGAAAATTAATCATGGGGTAACGACTATATGGAACTTATGACTATGACTCATTATAAAATAATGTTCCATTGTTAGGAGCAAAGCCAGGCTATGCTATTACAAAAGACTTTCCAATTCAGTTTCAAGGTTACCAAATTTGCAGTAACGCTCAAAAAGGCTCCTCAGGATGTCAATGCCCCAGAGCGAGTGTTGGCAGATTTGATTATTGAGAGATTCAAACTTGAATTTGCCCTTAGACCTGTGGATATGGCAGTTGATATTGTTCTCGGATCTCTGTATGTTGAAGACAAGGTGGACACAAATCCACTTTACCCGTATCTGATTTCATCCGATGATGCTGGAAAATCGCCAGCGACAGAGGGATCGGATCTTGTTCATGTCTCTTACATCAAAGTGAACCCAATATCACCCGATTACTTGACCAAATACAAAGGAATCGATGCTACAGTCGACATCTCCTTCTCGACGGTCACTATGATTCTTACTCGCAAGAGTGTCCTTACTCTATTTGATTATGTCTTAACAACCTTTACCGGGCCTGCACAAAACCAAGCTCCAGCAACAGCAGCCGCAGGGGACCAAAGTGCCATTAAGGCCCCACAGTCGGATTCCGACAATAAAACTCAACCACAGGACACCATGAAGGTGAAGGTTAAAATGACAAGTATCAATTTCATCTTAAATAATGACGGCCAGCGGCTTGCTACCATGGCACTTTCACAGTGCGACGTTGCCGTAATGATGAAGTCACCAACAATGCGCGTCAATGTCAAGCTAGGCAACTTTACATTGGTAGACGATATTAACCCTGGAAAACAGCAGATCCTGGCGATTCAAGGAGAAGAGCTTGCTGATTTTGCTTATGAGACATTCAATCCTGAATCATCCTCCTATCCAGGATACGACGCTTCCGTGTTCCTGCGTGCAGGTTCTTTGCAATTGACATTCCTTGAAGAGCCTATCAGGGAACTACTCGATTTCTCAACGAAATTTGCGCGCATGCATGTCTTGTATGACTCTGCTCGAAATGCTGCTGTAAATCAGGCTCAAGCTTTGCAAACTACAGCGAGCAAATTCCACTTTGACGTGCAGATTTGTACCCCAATCGTTATTTTACCTAAGGATGCAAAGTCACGGAACACCATTGTGGCCAATCTTGGAGAGATTTCCATCAGAAATGAGTTTGCTGATGATGCTCATATTGAAGGAGGCTTCCTGGATCAAATGAAGCTTGAAATTCATTCGATCAATCTTATCAGCCAGTTCTACTTTAACGATACTGTTCAAGAATTACAAATTATTGAGGACGTTGACATTGACGTCGATGTAATCCGTGCAAACCATAAAGATGGTCTTTCTCGACCTGATATGGAGCTTATTGGCCGAATGTCTGATGTCAGCATGAACCTGACAGAGCTCCAATACAAGACGCTCTACGGTATCTCTATGTCTGTTGCCCGTGCATTTGGTGGCGGCGGCAATGTCGATACCGACGCCCTCGCTGCTTCTGCTGGAATCCCTTCGGCTCCACCACCACCACCGGCTCCTAAAGCCAAAGATGATAAATGGACATCGATCGATCTAGTATTCAGTATGCCTCAGGTTGCACTCGAGATTTATCAAGGAGATGCTACACAAAAGGAATTCCGTGAATGTAGCTTCTCAAAGTTCTCGCTATCCAAGACTGACTTCAAGTACAAGATGATGACAGACTCCACCATGAACGCGGAGCTGACCATCCAGGACCTCATCATTAATGACACTCGACGCGACGTCAAGACGAGGTTTCGCGAAGTCATCCCTGCGAACCTGCATGACAGTCCACAGATTTCAATGTCTCTCAGTACATTCGATGATAATAGCATGCTTGTGCTGCTCAACATTGATAGCCCAAAGGTTATTTTCCATCTAGAATATATCTTTGCGCTACAAAGCTACTTCATGAGTGCTTTGAATGCAACTACAGAGGCAGAGGTGTCTTCGAATGACAGAAAGCCTTCATCATCGAATCAAGTATCCCGAAGAACCTCAAGCTCAACCAATCCAAAAGGAAGGCGCTCATCGAATGCTGTTCCCATTAAGCCTCCAGAGCCAGCTATGCCTGGTGAACAAAGTTCTTCCCTACATTATCGTCTCAGCGTTGTCTCTCCCGAGATTATCTTGTTGGCTAACGCTGCCAGCTCGGCTACAGATGCCATTATTCTTTCCGCTCATCAAGTGGTCATATCACAGCAGGAGACTATGACGCTGATCGTCGATCGTGTCGGAATGTTTCTATGCAAGATGGACAAGAGAGACGATACTAGTTTGCGGTTTATTGACAATTTTGATATTGCGCTTTCAATGGGAAGTCGCTCTCCAACCCCAGGCCATCAACTTACCAGCATTACATTGGATGTCAGACCATTAGTTCTGAGGCTCTCATATCGTGACGCAATGTTGATCATGGACATAGTGAATAAAGCTACTGAGCTTCAGTCCAAGGCCCAGCCAAGTACCACAGAGCGAGCCCTCACCCCTCCTAAGCAAGAGGCCAATGCTGGACCTGCACCAAGGGCAATAGCGGATGCCGATCGACGCGCGATTGTCACTTCTGTTGGAATGAATAGTCCTAAACCCAATGCAAAGCGCCTGATAGAAGAAGCATCTTTTGTCTCAACTCGCGAAACAGTAAGTGCACCGGAGAGCGTATTTGGTATAATCAAAAGTGTTTGTTCTCTCTATTACAATACCCCAACAATAATTAACTGTATGTCTCTTAATAATGCTTTGATAATGATAATTCTAGCTTAAGGGAGTAATTCAAGGGGTGCAGTTGATTTTGATCGATGACATGTACAGTTTGCCTATTCTGGATCTCAAATTAGATCGCTTCGATGTGGAGGTTAAGGAATGGTCATCCGAAATGAAGGTGGATACATCTCTTCGTACTAGTATCAACTATTTTAATGTCAGAAACTCGCACTGGGAACCTTTGTTGGAGCCTTGGCAGTTTGTGATCCATGTGTCTAAGGTGGTGCAGCCTCCCAACATGCTAATCGACATCTTCTCGAAGCAGGATCTCAATATTAATATCACTCATACATTTATTGAGACAGCGCTCCAGATTATGACTACAATTCAAGAAGAGCCTGAGCAAATCACGTCCATCAACAGGGAGACATTAGTACCATACCTACTTAAGAATCGGACAGGCTATCCGTTGCATGTCTGGGCTGAATCCGAAAATAATACTGATATTGTAGTTCATAAAATCAAGGACGGCGCAAACCTACCATGGCGCTTTGACGACTGGAGGAAGATGCGTGAGACTGTTGCAAGCAAGAAGAATACATTAGGCATTCAGTTTGACGGTGTGCCATGGGAGAGTCTTAAAGATGTACCTGTGGAACGCGAAGGGCGCTATTTGTATGTCCTCCGGCCCAAGCTCAGCAGTGTGTCTCACAGAATCGCGATCGATATCCACATTAAGAATAACGTCAAGGTCGTCACGTTTAGCTCGGCTCTTTTAGTCGAAAATGCTACTTCTCTACCTATCGAGGTTGTTATCGTTGACGAGAAGAAGAAGCATCTCTCCAGCGCAAAGAAAATTGCCCCTGGTGAGGACTTTTCTGTTCCTATCGAGGCCGCCTATAAAAATCGATTACTCGTTCGCCCTGACCCTGGATTCAATTATAATTGGAGTTCAGAGCCCATCTTCTGGCGTGAGCTTGTAGCACAACAGCACAAGCAAGAGAAATATAAAGTTGATGGTGAAGCTGTCGGTTCAGTCAGCTGCCGACCTCTAGATGATCCTAACCAACAATCCTTCCGATTTCAAGTGCGCGGTGTCACTGATAATTTTGATCCGCTTAATAAGGATTATCCATACATGACAATCCGATTAAGCGCTCCAGTCGAAATTGAGAATTTATTGCCATACAATTTGCGGTATACAGTCATGGAGAAGACATCACCCAAGCACAGCGGCACAGTACTGTCATCCTATCTTAGGAAGGGAGGTATCTCTCCCTTGCACACCGTCGACGTGCGCAATTTAATGTTGTTAAGTATCGCGATTGAGAATACGACCTTTGGGGCAAGCGAGTATGCAATCGTAAGCTCGCATGACCCGAGTGAGCTACCTGTTGAGAATACCTTGACTCTAACTGATCCTGATGGCTTGAAACTCATGTTGGGCATTCATCGACAGTAGGTTCCCTTTTTTTTTTTTTTTTTTTTTTTTTTTTTTAAAAAAAAAGGATGCATGCACAGAAAAGAAAAAGAAAATTAATTTTTTATTGGTTATAATACCTCTTAGTGTTATCCCTGGCTCCGGAGGCGCTGTGAAGTTCAGTATTTACTGCCCATATGTTATTTTAAACAAAACCGGACTGGATCTAGTCTTTAAAGCCAAATCCTTTATGCAAAATGCCAAGATTGCTGCTGGTCAAGGAGGAAGCCGCATAGTTCAAAACAAGGCCCTGCCACTTATGTTTTCATATGGCAAAGCTGAGAATGGCAACCGTGTTCTGCTCCAAGTTGAAGGCAACACTCAATGGAGTCGTCCAGTGAGCTTTGAAGCCGTTGGTAGCATCATGGAGATTGCTGTACAGGCCATGGATAGAAAAGAGGAGATCCATTTGGGAATGAATGTGGAGCTTGGCAAAGGCAAATATGCGTTGACTAAAGTCGTTACAATCACTCCTAGATTCATCCTCAAGAACAACTTGAACGAGGATTTGAACTTCAGAGAGTATGGCTCCAACAATGTAACTTTATTACCTGCTCAACAGCGTGTGCCATTGAGGTATTTACGCTTAGGACAGGAGAAGTTGCTCTCTCTTCGCCTTCCTGGAGTCACTTCGCGGTGGTAAGAAGCCTGAATTTACGATAGGTGTATTCCTTTGAGAGAGATAGAGCAAGGAATTGAAGCCTTTAACACATCTATGGTCCTTAATTTTATACATAGGACTGCTCCTTTCAATATTGATGAAATGGGTAAGATGCATGTTACGATCCTTCGTAGTGACGGTGAAATCGAACTGATCCGCGTCCACGTCATGATGGAGGTTGCCACAGTCTTTGTTGTCCTCAACAAGGAGGAAGGAAGATGGCCATATCGTATCGACAACAGATCATCGTGGGATATCTCTTTCCGTCAGCATGTATGTTCTATTTTTTTTTTTTTTTTTTTTTTTTTTTTGCAGTTAGTTCGTCAAAAGTCGGTGATGTATCTCGACTCTTTTCTTATATCTGAATTACCAACCCTCATTTGTTTTTCTCTAGAGCCCTGTACGCAATGAGTCCGCATCAGCTTCGTCAGCATCATTTGCCAGCTCTACGGCCAAGACTTACAAGCTCAAGGCTGGCGAGACCATGGCTTACTCCTGGGACCTGCCGTTCATGAAAGAAAAGGCTCTTGTTTTGACCGTGAATGGCCGAGAGCGCGAAGTCAGCCTTCAGGAAATTGGATCTTTAGTTCCCTTTAAGTTCCCAGCGGGTGATGCCAACAGTATTATTTCAATTGATGTTATTGCGGAAGGCCCTACACAGGTCTTGGTGCTTGCGGACTACGACTCAAAACAGAGTATGTTCAAGCAACGGTCTTCCAGCCAACTGACCCTCGTAGAGCGTGAAGATGCTGACAGAGATTTTTCAAATAAGGACCTGAACAAGGAGGGATTTGAAGTCATCGACGTTGATGCTGTTGTGACGTTCAGTTTCCAAGTGCGTCTCGAATGTATTGGTATCTCGATCCTGAATCAGCGGATGCAAGAGTTAATGTATCTGTCGATGACTGGATTGGAGATGAGGTACACGGATTCAAATATGTATCAGTCTATAAACATGATGGTCAAGTGGCTTCAAATCGACAATCAGCTCTATGGAGGATCAAGCCCCATCATCCTATGCCCTACACAGACGCCCAAGGATGGCAAAGATGCCTCAGCACATCCAACACTTCATAGTGCTCTTGTACGCGCCAAGGACGAAACTCACGGAGTGGTCTACTTCAAGTATTTCTCGGCTTTATTACAGGAGTTGACAGTAGCAATGGATGAGGATTTCTTATACACACTACTCGAGTTTTCCAAATTCAATGTTCCTGGATGGACTGCAGATCCCAATAAGGTCCAACTATGTGACGAGAGCTTAGATCTGCCGGAACCAGCAGCAAACGACGATGAGAATCAGTTATTCTTTGAGGTATTACATCTGCACCCTATGAAGGTCAACTTGTCATTTATGCGTTCAGACAGAGTTAATATTGAGGAGGCTCAACAGAAAACTTCGAGCCACAACCCGATCATGTATATTTTTAATGTGCTCACTATGGCCATTGGAAACATTGATGTAAGTAAACCCAACCCGTTCATGAAAGTTGTGGTAGTATGTAAAATTGTAGGCGTCGTAGGATTATTCAAGATCCCAGAATAACTTCTATTTTTTTTCTTATAGGCTGCTCCTATTACCTTGAATGCCCTTCTTTTGGAAAATGTACGCGCCAGCGGACCAGTGCTAGTGGATTTGTTGCAGAGACACTATAGTCAAGATTTTTTCTATCAGTTGCATATGATTGTTGGGTCAATTGAGTTTTTGGGCAATCCCGTAGGTCTGTTCAATAACCTCAGTTCCGGAGTGGCTGATTTCTTCTACGAACCCTACCAAGGTTTTATCATGGGAGATCGTCCACAAGACTTTGGTTTAGGGATTGCTCGAGGAACATCTTCGTTACTCAAGAAGACAGTTTTTGGGTTCTCAGATAGTCTTGCAAAGATCTCAGGATCGGTCGGAAAGGGATTGTCTGCAGCAACTATGGATAAAACCTTCCAAGAACGACGTCGGATGGGAAATCAAAGAAATGCACCTAAACATGCTCTTTCCGGATTATCACAGGGCGCATCTTCACTGGCTCAGGGATTAGTCAGCGGAGTGACAGGCATTGTAGAACAACCTTTGACTGGAGCACAGAACGGTGGAGTAGAGGGCTTTTTCAAGGGTGTAGGTAAAGGCCTGGTGGGGGCTGTTACCAAACCATTAGTTGGTGTATTTGATTTTACTACGAATGTTACATCTGGTATCCGAAATACGACGACGGTCTTTGACAAGGACCAACGCCGCAAGCGTATCCCACGACATGTACCTAAGAATGGCATCTTGACGCTGTACGACAAATCGGAGGCGTTGGGGCAGTACTGGTTGAAACAAGTGGATAGTGGCAGATATTTTTACGATGACTATATTGCGCATTTGGTGCTGAAGGGTGATAATATGATTGCCATGTTGACATCAAAGCGAATCATGGTGTTCAGAGCAGAGAGTCTGAAAGTTGAATGGGAGCTCGAGTTCTCAGAGATCCAGAGTATTGCGCCATTCCCGAGAGGAATTGCCATCACGAGCCGCCGAGGTGGACAGGAGAATTTCATTCCTATCTTTGAACAGACAGCATTGCAATGGTTCAGTGGCAAAATTGAAGAGAAGGTCAATCAATTCAATGCGGACCTGAAGCCTCTAGAGTAAAAACATACTTTTAGCAACTATTCAAATAAATAGTAAATATTGTGGATGCTCTTTTATTTATATTTTAAAATGCTCATGCTCTGCCTATTCGCAATGATAATGGTAATAGTGGTGATGACAATGAGAATGTGATGAGTTGCTGTACTGTAGGGATATTAAAAAACTAGTGTGACTATGTATGGATAGGTATGGATTTGCTTCTACTTGTCTACACAGCCATGGAAGAGAATTTTGCTAAAATGTCTTGCTTTTCTTGACCAGTGAGGCTTTGGAAGATGCGATCGAAGCCCTCAACAACAGCGGCACGATCTGAAGTATACATCCTTAAGATTTCGTCAGCAGTGCCTACTCTGGCAAGCTCCTGAATGAAATGATTAATCTTGTTTGCTTCGCTCTCGAGCCACTCGAAGACAATGCGGTCTTCAGTTTCCCAAATCTGTTTCAGATCACTCTCGCTCGAATGGGCAATGTCGCGACCAAACCATCCCAAAAGGGTTACAGTTTGCTCGTCACGAGTTTGTGTCTTCTTAGCAGCTACCATTCTGCGACGGACATACTCCTCGGCCAATCTCCTACGTACACGCCAATAGAAGAAGCGACGGGCGTTAGTCCAGTCAAGAGCCTCGCGGATTGTGCCCTTGGCCTTCATACGGCCAGCAGTATCGTGAAGGTCTGCGAACTGGATGGCAAGCTGCTGATAAACTGGTAACAATTCTTGCTCACGCTCTGTGAGTTTGCTCTTGATCGCATCGCGCTCTGCGCCAGCAAGAGCAGGGTCTTCGTATTGATTCTTGAGGGCGCGGTACTTTTCATCCAAACGTTCCATGGTGGCCAAGAGTTGAGTCTTACGGAATTTGATTTCCACAATACCCTCGGGTTCAAGAACGCCGGCCCTGGAACGCTTGTCGGCGTACATCTCCATCATGTCCTGGTTAATGGTAGGATCGACTACAACCCAGGCACCACCACGAAGCTCTCCGTTGGGGACAACATAGACAAATACGGGCTGCTTATAGGAACTGAGGGCATCGACGATGTAGGAACCATACTTGAGAATTTCATTGTACATGTCACGCTGACCACCTGAGAATCCACGCCAGTTAGCAAAGATCATCAAAGGAAGCTGTTCACCCTTGTTAAAGTCGTTGATTGCTTGAGCAGTTTTGTAGGCCGAGTTGGGATACCAGACGTTACCGGCCTCCATCAAGACCTGCTCAACAGAGTCACCGTTGGCGGGATCAGCTGGAATAATGTGCTCAACTGATCGAGTCTCAACTGCAATTACGCCCATAGGGATACCACCCAGACGAGCACGTCCAACCACAACAGTTCGAGCCCATCCGCTCAACGTCTCAGTGAACGAACCCTTGTCGAAGAATCCTGTCTGGAAAGCTGCTCCTTCTTCTTCGGGCTCCTTTCCTACTAACATCCAACGGGGGTCGTAGGCAACCCCCCTAGGAGGTAAGTAGTCGATATCGCGGTCCCAAGGATCGTTGCTAATTATGATGGGCACAGGTGCGTTCTTGCGATCAGGGACATATGAAAGCCAGTTAACGATCTTGCTGATACCCTCATAATCATTCTGGGCAGTCAAGTGTGAGACACCGTTCTTATACATGATTTGGGTACCACCCAACTGCAAGTTGGAGGTGTACACATCTCGACCAAGGACTTTGTTCAATGCGGGGGCACCTGTCAAAATGATGGGTTGACCTTCATTCTGGATCGTGCGCTGACCCAGGCGAACCAAGTAAGCGCCAATACCTATAGTGGATTAATCGATTATTAAATATATTTTCGGGTTTTTAGGCTGTTTCAATGAAAACGACATGCATATATACTAGACAGCTTACCAACAGAGCGGCAGGTAACCAAGGTGATGGTAAAGATATCTTCATAGGCACGAGAAGTTGCACCGGCGATCAGACCGCTTCCACGCAGATTCTCTACTCCAAGGCCATCGACAACACCAATGACATCCGTAATTTTGTGACGAACTTCACCATCCTCCTCGATGGTCTCAGTGATAACACTCTTTTTGCCTGCGCGTTCTTCATTAGCTTGGAGCTGCTTTAAACCAGCATCAGTAAGGTAAATGTACTTGAATCCCTTTGCAGGATTTTCGGGATCGTTCCAGCACGAGTTAAACAATGAGATAACCTCATTGGCCAGTCCGATCCTAGCGCCAGAGTTAGCAGAGAGATAAATTCGAGGGATACCCAACTTTCTGGCTAACTCGGATGCCTTGTAGAAGACAAAATCTTCCTCAGGGCCGAATGATCCGATGTTGTAAGTAATATCGTTCGCAATCACAATGATCTGGCGACCTTCAGGGTATTCTGGAGTGCGAAGAGTGAAGATCCAGGCCACCATGCCACAAGTATTTGATCCAGCCTCGCGCGCAATCTCCTGAAGCTCTTGTTTATCATCCAGGACCAACTCGCGCATTTCCAGAACCTGAGAAGGTGCCTTGAGTGAACTGTTCTGCCTCACAGCGTGGCTCCATTGTGTGCGAATAGCTTGACGGAAGAGTTCGCCAAAGTCATACACATAGGTTGTGCCCATCAAATGAGCCTTGTAACGCCTGGGCTGGAGCCACTCCTTGGTGGGGTAGGGCTGGTTGACAGGAAGGAGATGGTAAGGGCCAGGGGTTCCAACAGACTTGAAGATTGCCCCCTTCTCAGTTTGAACTTCACGGTAAGTATCCACATTTAAGACGTATCCAGAGATGCTTGAAATAATAAAGCGAAGAGGAATAGGGTCCGTAGCCTCAGCGCCATTGGTAGATTTGGACTGAACATTGAAACGAATCTCAGCGCCGGTGACACGGAGGCGCCAGAGACGCTTTCCATGGCGGTCGATAAATCCCTTAAGAGCAGATTCGACCTCGTTAGCATCCAATTGGAAAGTAGGGATAAAGTTGATGAACAGATGGTTGCAGTCGCTCTGCTTATAGGTCGCACCCACGATCTCGAGAGCATCCAAAATATCATTCAGCAAACGATCTGTCTCTGAGATTAAGTAATCAGCGGTACGAACGCTTGAACGCAGGCGACCAGGACGGACTAGAGCGCAGACGAAGAAGCGACAATCTGAGGTGTTCTCCTTGCCCACCGCATAGTATACATGAACTTGGCGGTTGTCAACAAAGCAGGGCTTGATATCAAAGTTGGAGAGACGTGACAGTTCGAGACGGTAAGCCATAGCAGGCTCGATGTGTCGGATGGTCTGATCCTCTGCGTAGTTGTTGCGCTCACGGAAGGTGAAGAATGAAGGGTAGTTGCCCTTGCGGAAAATCAAGAATGTTATACGACGGATACCATGGGAGCGGAGACGCTCGGTCTGACCTTTGGCGATGGGGGTCAAAAGGTTCAACCAGTAATTGTCATCGTTAGGATGAATTGACTCGGACTTGATGACGACGTTCAGGACGTTATTGTGGGCGCTTGTAGTTGTGACATTGTTTAGATGCTTGTTGGACTTGTGTGAAGGGAAGAAGTTAAGTATGCTCTCGAATTGGTCCTCCAATTCTTTGATTTCACGAACAGCAAGGATACCACCAGTGCGGACAGGCTCAGGATCCGCTCTATTGATAAGATAGCTCATGTCACTAACGCTAGCCACACGGTTGGGGCCAGATTCGGATTTGTTTGGGGTGTTGAGCAAGAATTTCCAAGTGATAAGCAAAGGCTGGTGTTCCATATGATAGTTAATATCTAGGATATCGTAAGCATGGTAGGCGCGACGACAATAAACCTCGAATGCAGCAACACGGACATGTAGGGATTCATGGTAAAAGAAATTGGGTAACACGTCGAACACAGTGTAAGTTGTATCAACCAGCTCCTTAATATTCTCATAATTGGGCATACGCTCCTCGTGCTCGCCACCATAGATCTCTTCTGTCACACTGGAACGGAGAATTTTCTCCATCTGATGCTGACGCTCCTCAAAGCTCGGGAGCTGGACGTGAATCAACAGCTCTCTGGCCTTGAGAGAGACCTTAGAAGTTAAACGACCAGTCAGCTCAGCGAGCTTCTTCAGTACAGGCGAGAAGAACTTGTCGAGGGCGCCACCAGAAGATGTGGGCTTGATCTGGTCCAGAAGCGCGAGCACCAAGTTGTTCTTGGCTGCCACACGTGAATGTGAAAGCGCTATACGGATCACCTTCTCGACTTCATCCTTGTTCTGATCACGTAAAGCTAAGATTGTTTCCTCCTCACGCGAAGAATCGTCAAAGAGTGATTCGACTTCGTGGTAACGGTTCAAGTAATGGGCAATGAAACTCCAAGAGTGCGTCTTGAGACCATGTTGATACTCTGAGATGATCGAAGTCAGCGGGGCAACTGAAGCCAAGAAGGATGAAGCATCGGCGGGCTTAGAGAAGTTGGCACGGGCGTGCGAGTCGATCAAGGCCTGGAGTGTACGGGCAGGGAAATGCTCATGATTCCTCATTGACTGCTCAATCTCTTGGTGGAGCGCAGCCTCCAGTTTGGGCGGTAGTCTAATTAGATTTTGCCACGGACAATACAACAGCAAGTGGTTAATAACATGAAAAGAAATCCATGGGCATCGGAGTAACAGTTATGAATCGAACTACTGTGTGAATCTAATTCAAAGTTTTTTCTTTACCTTCCGCTAAGGGCTGCAAAGACCTCGTTAAACTCCAAGTAAGGTAACTCATGGTTCTGAAGAACATCGAAAATATCTTTGAGTGTGGGCTGGATCACTGCTTGATTATCATAGCCATCCATAGCGTTGTCGAGAATTAGGCGCAACTCACGGTAGCGTTGGTGAGGCTTGGCTCCGTACAAAGTAGGCTGTCCCATAACAGGAAGCTGACCTTCGAAAGGCTTGGCGTGGCGAACGCGCGAGGGGTCATCCAAACTGAGAATGCCTATGATATCGCCAGCCTCAAGGGTAGTGCCAGGCTGTTTAATGAACTGGACAATACCATCCTCGGTAGCAATCAAAGGCATATACATTTTCATGACCTCAATTTCGGCATAGGCTTGTGTGGCAGTGACATGGTCTCCTGACTCGACCAGATAGCGCACAAGCTTGCCTGGAGAAGGAGAGCGCAGTTGAGTAGGATCATTCTCTTTCTCCAACAAACAAGTCTTGCCATCGACCATCAACCGTGTAGCCTGGACCTCCTCCAAAGAATAGGTAGTATGAGCCTGAAAAAAAAAAAAAAAAAAAAAAAAAAAAAACGTGTTAGCTTTTTTTTTTTTTTTTTTTTTTGTAGCCAACGAAACAAAACAAAAACAAAATCAACAAAAAAAAAAAAAAAAAAAAAAAAAAAAGGTACCAACCTTGCCATCCAAAAGCACTAGGAGCCCTCCATCAGTCAGTGGGCGAACCGAGGTCGAGATCATTGAGCCATTAAGATAAAGAGTGTAGGAGTTGGGTCCCGAACGAGTGGCTGTAAAATTATAACGGACGCCGTCGTATATAAAGTCGAGTTGGGTTACCGAGCGTAAGATATCTTTGCTGGGCACTTGGCCCTTTTCCAGAGACTTCTTGTACTCCTTGAGGCAGTTCTCAGCGATATTATGAGCCTTATTAACAGCACCACACATGACAGCCAGCATGGTCTCAGGACGCTCTGCAGTCAAATTTTTGGAAATCAAGCTATCAAGCCAGCCAGTATTAATAGTGTTTTCTTCAAACTCTTGGGTCTCCAATAAGCGAATCAGGTACTCGACTGTGGTGCGGAAATCACCACGGATTGAAAGCTCCTTGAGAGCCACGACCATGTTCTTTCTAGATTGACCACGATCTTGACCATAAGCAAAGATATGTCCAAACTGCGAGTCCGCGAACTCGTGAAGGCCACCAGCAGAGCTCACAGAGAAATAACCCCAGACATTGGTTGAAGAGCGGAAATTGAGTTCTTGCATCATTCCACTTGAGGGTTTGAAACCAGCATCGGGATTCTCAGCGGTGATACGGACAGCGATGACGTGCCCTTTAGGAGCAGGTTTACGCTGGGTTTCGTATGAGATCTGTTGAGCGAACTCAAAATCGATTTCGGACGTTCCAGTGGGCTGAAGGCCATACAGAACACGGATGTCTTTGATCCTGTTCAAAGGCAGACCCATGGCAATCTGAAGCTGGGCAGCGGGCAAATTGACACCTGAGACGATTTCAGTCGTAGGATGCTCGACTTGCAATCTTGGGTTAAGCTCGAGGAAGAAGAACGTGTCTGTGGAGTGAGAGTAAAGGTATTCGACAGTACCAGCAGAAACATAGCCGACCAGTTTTGCGAGACGTACAGCTGCCTTCTCCATCGACTCGAATGTGTCGGGCTTGGCGATCGTAACTGGGGCCTCTTCAATGATCTTTTGATGGCGACGCTGGACTGAACAATCACGTCCAAATAGGGAGATGGCGTTTCCATATTGATCAGCTAACAACTGAACTTCTAAATGACGAGCATTGCCAGCAAGTTTCATGATGAACACTGGTGATCCAGGAACTTCGCCCAGAACCTGATGAAAAGCTTGAGAAAACTTGTCAGGATCTTCGACCTTGCGAATACCCTTTCCTCCACCACCCTCAGAAGCCTTGATCATAACAGGAAAACCAATGGAATGGGCCTTCTGAAGACCATCCTCTGCATCTTTAACACAAGCAGCCTGGTAGACATCATCAGGAACTGTGACGAAGCCGTTGGCGTCGATGGTGGTTTCTTTGATACCAGTACCTGACCATCCCATAGTAGGCACATCGGCGGATTGGGCTACGATGGTAGATGAGATCTTGTCGCCAAGTGAGCGCATGGCCGATCCGGGAGGACCAATGAAGATAATCTTCTGAGCACTGTCACGGAGAGCGTCTGGCAATTTGGGATTCTCGGAAGCATGTCCCCTGTTTCCACATTGATGTCATGGAGCAAAAATAGATAAAAGAGTTGGGTGTGAGGATTGATCATTTTCAAGACAGAAAGCATTTCTCTCTATTGGTTACTGTACCAAAGATCAGTCGTATTGAGCAAAATCATGAACAGAAAGTGCAGAACACAAGATACACACACGCATACACACACATCCACACTTTGTCGAGTACAATGCACTTTCCACTAACTAAGGAGCAACCTTGGTCCAGAGTTAATTCTTCTGGAGAATTGTCCGTTGTGACTGCACAACAAATTTAGGTCTGTCCCCATAAAAAAAAAAAAAAAAAAAAAAAAAAACGTTGTTTGAGGAAAGAAACAAGGGAAGAGAAGGAACCCAGTTTTGCAATGGTTAACCAGAAAGGGATCTCTCCAATCTGCTGTATCCATCATCCGCTCCACTCATAATGCGAGTACTAATAATGTCACTGTTCACTCGTTTCTCTCCAACAGTTTATTTAACGCAAATGATTTATCAGATCACAACATCTGGAACTTTGACTTACCATCCGGCCCACACAGCATGGACCCCAGTGCGCTCAGCAATGTCGACAATGAGGTCTACATTAGCATAGTTGTTATTGTTGGAGCCTCCTGGTACTTCGATGTACTGATCAGCCATACGGATATACTCGGCGTTGACCTTGAGATCTTCAGGCGTTGCCATGACTGTGAACTGAATCGCACGTTCATCACCAAAAGTCTCATATGCCCATTTACGAACGGATCGAATCTCCTTGACGGCAGCAATACCGTTGTTAGCAATCAAGATCTTTGTGATCACGCTATGACCTCCATGTTGACTGACAAAGTCGCGGACGGCTCCGGAAGGTGCGTTTTCTAATGCATTTCCTCCTACATAGGTCATTTTAACAATTGGTTTTCTAGTAGTTAGCTCAATAGATAGAATGATCAATCCAGCATACAAATGTTTTTGAATAGTAACCTCAAATCCCAAAATATCTCCGAAAGTTTGAATATTTTACTTCAAAGTTATTCTCTCACGTTTCCAAAAACAGCAACTGGGCTATGTCTTTAACCTACCGATGAAGGACTGTAAGTTATTTGGCATAATAGAAATTTTTTTTGATTATGAAGATAACAGAATATGATATTAGATCTGATCAGGTCGTCTTTTTTTTTTTTTTTTTTTTTTTTTTTTTGGTGGAGTGGTGTGTGTGCTGACTAGGGTAAACGAAATGATATAGGAAAAATGCAGTGGACAACAAAACAAAATAAAAACAATGAATGAAGAAGGTGAGAATGCAACGAGAAATGAGTGAGTGTGTTGAAATGAACAAGAAAAATCGAAAGAGTTGAGCAGAGCAGAGCGGAACAAAGCAGAAGAAGGGTGAAGAAGAAGAAGAAAAGAAAAAGAAAAGAATCCCTTCAATTTAATACGGACTCAAAGAGCAATTGCTTTTTGTCCCTCTCTGCTTTGGTGGGTGCTGAGGAAGAACAATTAGGCAGGTTAGTGGCTTATTTTTCATTCTAATATTTCATTTCTCTTCCTTTTCCTTTTGTGGGCACCCAACAAAAAGAAAAAGAGAAAAAGAAAGAAAAAGGTGGCAAATGACTTTTTATCAAAGAATGGTTAGAAAGAGAGGAGAGATCAATTAGCCCAAATGCAACCACAACAAGCAAAATATATCTCGTTATTTTTCCTTCATTGATATAGAACATTGTAGCCTATTTGCATTAGCATTTCATTCATTTGAATTTATTCATATCACTCCTTCAACAGTCCAATGTAGCCAGTTAAAAAAAAAAAAAAAAAAAAAAAATGGATAACAAAGGATCTTTTCCTTTCCCCCAGCATCAACTTTTTTTTTTTTTTTTTTTTTTTTTGATGACATGCAAAAAAAAAAAAAAAAAAAAGATATCAAAATAAATGATAGTTATCGGAAGCACGAGCGATGTGCAATTAACGACAGGAACAGCGCTATTCTTTGTACGCCATGCACCCCCATTCTCTTGATTACTGGAAATTAGAGTTGTTTAATTTTTTGGTGGGGAAACAGATCTTATCTTTCAATGGTCAATGCAAAATATATTATAGTAATTGTAAATAAAGTAAAAGACATGATCGAAATCGACGGTTGGGTCTTGTAGTTACAAACCCATAATGATCGGAGAAAGCACTTTCCCACCCATCCCTTTACTTATTTTCCTTCATTCCCATCTTCAGTCATTTATAAAAATAAAGACGTTATCATTCAGAATTATATAATTTTTTTTTATTTCATGTTACAACATCCCAAAGGAAGTGAAATATGGTTATCTAACCATCATATTCTTTCATAGTCTACTTCCGATCCTACTAATTGTTAATGCATAGCTTCGTTCAAAGGAAAATCTTATTCAATCCGTCATCTGTATAATATATATATATATATATAGTTCCGAAGCGTGCACGAATGCTCAGCCCATTTCTTTTAAAAGCATAGTTTACATGTCATTTATAATACATTCATATATACATTTATATATATATATTTATCTTGGTTGTTGTGTTCGACAGTGGGTTGTTATCAAAAAAAAAAAAAAAAAAAAAAAATCTAATTCCAAAACATGCACAAACGCACAGCCCACTCCTAGTAAAAAGTATACATTGGTTGCAAATTGATATTTATTCGTAATAGCATAGACATACGCCATACTTATCGTACTTGAAGCATGCCTTTGCAATTGCAATTGCTTCATTCGTCTAAACAAGCCTTTTTCTTTTTCTTTTTCTTTTTTTTTTTTTCAACACATTCACATGCATCATTCAGGTACGGTTCTTAAATGATACCCTTCGATCATGACTAGTAATTATCTGATGATTAATGGTGGACCATCAGTAGTAAATACCGTGTTTTATTCTGTTTCAAGACTTCTACTCGTTTTCATTAAAGTTTGTAGTAGTGAACATTCTGTTGCCAATACTCAGCACAAATATAAAGAATAGAGAGTTCCAAAAAAAAAAAAAAAAAAAAAAAAAAAGCAGAGCAAAGTTTTGTAAATATCTGTACATGTACTTCCACGCGGTGTTACTGTTACTTTCCACTTTTCTCCACAATAAATATAGTTCGTGTGCCACATGCAGTAATACAGTAAACAAATGGACTCTTTAAATAATGCAGAACAGTGTCATGGACGAGACTACGGAGATTTCAGTTAGTGATGTTAAAGGAAGTCAGGGTCAGTATTTGAGGAGTCCAAAACGTCAGCTCGACCACGGGATTGAAAACAGAACAATGAGCCGAGTTCTGTGTACATTACACATTGTCATTTGTCATTCACATCTTGTTTTACCCATCCTCTTCCTACCATGCAAACTACTCTAGCTATAGACAGAAACAACCAGGCTGTTGAACTGCCCGGTACCGCACGACCTGGCCAGACTGGTATGCGCATATCACCTGGATCTTCGCGTTAGATATTTGTTTAAAGACATTTTTCACATGTCTCTGACCTTTTATATATATATTTTTATAGGCATTTTTCGACGCAAAGGAGCCGAGAACGGCCTCCTCTCCATTCCGCTTTCTCATCCTGAAATCAAAACCGTCTATGATGGCTTCCAACACGGTGCGTTTAATTGATATTATTGAGCTTCGGTACTTCAGCTAGAGGACAATGAGTAGAGTTTTCTAACTTGAAATCGGATTCATCCCTCTAATTAATATTCTACAGGTCTTAACCTCATGCCAAACAGCCCCGCTCTAGGTTATCGTCCATATAATCCAGTGACAGGGACGTATGGTGGGTATGTCTGGGAAACTTATACCCAGGTGAATGATCGCATCACCCGGTTCGGTAGTGGTCTAGTCAAGGTTCATCAAGAAGCCCTTGGATTGGCTGCGGTGGCCCAGCGATGGTCTCTCGGTATATGGGCTATTAACAGACCTGAATGGACCATCGCATCCGAGGCGTGCTCGGCCTACAATATCGTCTCTGTTGGCTTGTACGATACCTTGGGCCCTGAGGCTGTCACCTTCGGCGTCAATCACTCTGAGTGCTCTGCCGTTGTCACAAGTGGTAATCTCATTTATATATATTTATATATTCTTCTATGAGTTGCTTGCAAAAAGAAGTTTATACATTGATGCTCACTATTCTTATATACTGTTATTATTGCTACTTCATTTCATTTCTCTCATTACTTTAATGGCAGCTGATCATGTCGCAAGTCTACTGAACGATATAACCAAGATGCCTGGGCTGAAGATCGTCATCAGCATGGATCCCTTGGATTCCTCAAACCAACCCGGTCGAGTAGCCGCTGGGTCTGTGCTTAGAACTTATGCGAAAGATAAGGGTGTTCTCCTTTACGACTGGGCTGAAATCGAGGCTATCGGTGCTCAATTTGGACGTAAGCATACTCCTGCAAGTCCGTCTGACATCTACACGATTTGCTACACCAGTGGGACAACAGGTTTACCAGTAAAGATAGCATACTATACGAGTTTTTTTTTTTTTTTTTTTTTGCTTTCTATTGACCTGCAACAATGATCGTCTCATCGTCGCTTCATAGAAAGGAGCCATTATGACCCATGCCAACATGGTCGCGGTTATAGCCTCTGCCGACATAATAACGCCCTTAGAAAGCTCAGATATCCTTATTAGCTATTTACCCTTGCCACATATCTTTGGACGCCTCGTAGAAATCTTTACTTTCTCTTCTGGAGGCAGAATTGGATATAGTACAGGCGACCAGGCTACATTATTGGATGATTTTGCGCATCTGAAGCCAACGTTCTTCCCAACGATTCCTCGTTTGTTGAACCGAGTGTATGCCAAGGTTTATGCTGCCACAGTAGGCGCTCCCGGTTTGGCAGGTATCCTTGCCAGAAAGGGCCTTGAAACCAAGCTGGCGAATTTGAAAGCTGGGAAGGGTGTCACCCATCCATTCTGGGATCGCATCCTGTTTTCAAAGGTGAAGCAGGCTATTGGTGGCAATGTGCGCCTCATCTTGACAGGTAAAGCCTGGATACCCACCAGACAGTTTTTTTTTTTTTTTTTTTTTTTTCCTTTCCTGCACTGAATAAATATTTATTTGTATATTTGTTTAGCTTCGGCTCCCATCTCGGCTGAAATTTTGGCCTTTACCCGAGTTGCCTTCTGTTGTGAAGTAATGGAGGCGTACGGGCAGACGGAGGGCACAGGGGCCGCCACTAATACTAACCCAGGGGAGGTAGACGCAGGGCACGTCGGGGCTCCTAATGCCTGTTGTGAGCTCAAGCTTGTTGATGTTCCTGCGCTTGACTACTTTGCGACAGATAAACCCTACCCTCGTGGCGAGATCTGTGTCCGTGGACCAAGTGTTATTTCTGGGTATCTTAAAGATGAAGCGAAGACGAGAGAAACTATTGATGAAGAGGGATGGTTACATTCTGGTGATATTGGGGTCTTGAGGCCCAATGGAACCATTACTATCATTGACAGAAAGAAAAACGTTTTCAAGGTAAAACTACTTGAGAAGATCATTATAACGGGCTCTAGAATTTTCCCTTGATCTTAACTCAACACATCCACAATTGCCTTCTTCTCTCTTTTTTTTTTTTACACGTTAAACAGCTCAGCCAAGGAGAGTATGTAGCGGCAGAGAATATCGAAGGAAAGTTCCTAGCACGAATTCCATTCATCCAACAGATTTTTATCCATGGTGACTCGCATGAAAGTTGCCTGGTCGCTATTTTGGTCCCTGAGCCAGACATGTTCATCCCATTCGCTAACAAGATTCTTCAGGACGCCAATGTCGTGCTGGGTGATTCTGCTACCTACAAAAAAATATGTAAAGATCAAAAGCTGCGGAAGGCTGTTCTTCAAGAGCTCATCAGCGCTGGCAAGCAGGCTGGATTGAAGGGGTATGTGAGCTATCCTGCTGCCCATTGATGCCACGATAAAAACGCCGTTGTATTACATCTCTTTTCAGTTCTGACATTCTAATACTGATGACTACCATTTCTAGGTTCGAGATACCCAAGACACTCTTATTGGAGACAGAAGCGTTCACGGTTGAGAATGATATGATTACTCCAACTTTCAAGCTAAAAAGGCACGCTGTTGCTAAACACTATCGCGAGCAAGTCACGGCACTCTACAACGAGATTCACCAAGCAGAGTCAAAGCTCTAAAGAATATGTACATCTTGTGAAATAAAGTAAAAAATTTACTTTTTTTGAAATATTAAGGGGGGTGTAAAACCCAATATGATCTGTGTGTGGCTGCGACTGCGCCCTATTTGTTTACCTTGATGTTTCTTGTTCGTTTGACACTTTTTTTTTTTTTTTTTTTTTTTTTTGCAGGAATTGCATTGTTCTCCCATGCATAACAGTCTACAACATTTCGGACGTTCAAGTCTGACACTCCCACTTACGACAACTGCAACGACTATACGAAGGATACCTCACCTGGGGAGTACTTGTCGCTTCCTTCACCTTGAAAATAGAGCCCCTATTCAAAGTCATTTCAAAGGTGCCGAAGGTAGACTTGACAGTAGCTCCTTTTCAAAATGGCCACAGCAACAACGAAAACAAATGCAACGGCATATTGCCCAATACTCCTCCGTTTCTACAGTAATACGTTATCCGGTCAAGACTTTGTCTTTAGATGATCTTGATATCAACACACTGCCGCCGCCACCCTCGAGGAGTGATAAAAACAAGGAAAGGAGTTGTAGCAGTACGACATATGACACAACGGAGTCTTCGGAATCAGCCTTTGAGCGCAAGGAACCAGCCCTTCTGGACCCTTCCCTTACTTATCCACAATCGATCGTTGATTTTCGAGAATTATACAAGCAAGTGCATGATTCAAATGACCCAGCAGATATGGAGAGGGTACTGACAGCCTATAGAAAGCTCGCAGACGATCCAGAGTTATTGGAGTTGCTACAACCGATCGACTTTATGGTGACGATGAACAGCTGTCGAGAACTACTTCATTGTATTCCACGGATGAATCAAATATTATATGGAGATATCAGCAAGACTAAATATCGACACCGAGTCGAGTTTTACAACATTGTCCTCAAAACATTTGTCAAGCTATCTGATTTCAAGAGCGCCAGCAACTTAGTCGATACAATGCGAGCGAACAAAGAGATCGAGTTTAATAATACAGCAACTTATCATGTACTCTTGAACATGTGTCGGCATGAGCGCTCCTTAAAAAACGCTAGAGGCATCCTAGGACAGATGCGTAGGAACAAAGTCGAGATGAATGATTGGACCTATCTCACTATGCTTTCGATCTGTTCAAAATGCAAGAATCCTCGACTAGCACAGGAATATTTTGATGAGATGCCACTCGTGGGTATTCAGTGGAATATCAATCATTACAATGCCCTCATCAATGCATATGCACAGGCTCAGGATCTCCAGGGTGCGAAAAGGATATTTAGCCAAATGGAGGAAAGTGGGATTGAGGCTGATCATTATACGTTTGTAGCCTTGATCACAGCCCACAAGCATGCAGGCAAACTTGCAGAGATTACTGAATGGATTAAAAATTACGGAGGTGCAGGAACGAAACCCAATGCCAAAGTCCTGTTAGAGTTGGGGCATGAGCCATTCGATATTGTGAAGCAGTGTGACAAGAATGGTGTCGAGTTGACACTCAAAGACTGGAATACATTGATCATTCATTCAATCAAATCCAATCATTTCGCCAACATCGGACGTCTGTTGCACCAGATGTCAAAGCGTGGTTCCCGTCCAAATGTCTATACTTTTACAGCCATGATTGATGCCAACATCAAAATGGGGAAATACCAAGATGCGAGAGAGGTCTTCAAAGCTATGGAGCATGCCAACATTCAGCCCGATGTGATTGCATATTCGGCCATGATCTCTGGTGCGCTCACCCACGGAACTGTTCAAGAATCTCTGGAGACTCTCAAAGCTATGGTTGATGATGGAATTCTACCCAATTTACACACCTTCAACTCTTTATTATCGGCTAGTGTGGGAGAGATTGGGATTGAGGGCTTCAAGATCATTCGTCAAACTATGCAGGAACTTAAAATCCGACCCGACAATCGATCCTTCAATGCCCTTCTATCGGCGTACGCTCTACGAGGGGATATGGAAGAAATGGAGCAGGCCCTAGAAGACATGAGGAAGTCTAGGGTAATTCCCGATGCGCTGACTTATTCAATTCTCATCTCTGGATACCTTCAGAATGGGGACCTTCGATTTGCAATGCAATGGTACTACAAGATGATCGAAGGTGGGTATAGACCCGCAACATTCGTGTTCAATAATCTAATGGCTGCATTGCATGGATCAGGTCAGGGTGAACAGGTGATGATGTTGTGGCACGAGATGGAACGTCTTCGCATCAAAAAGAATAGTCAGACGTTTGAAATCGCTCTTGAAGCTTGTGAAAAGTTTGGTATGGACAGCGAACGAATCGAAGAGGAATTGAAAACATATCTCGCTACTCGTGGACAATTTTCTATAAATAATCGCAGAGATGTTTAATGATAATAGTAATAGTATATAATATATTATATGTATGGAGTTTTGTTTTTAAAGAGAACATTTAATCGTTTGTAAGTTGGCAAAGGCCAGTCTATGTCACAAAAGAAAAAGAAAAAGAAAAAAAAAAAGATTCAAGTGAAGATTATTCATTGACTGGGAATGTATCCCTCTCAATTGTTCGTTTGTGTGGATATTTTTGAACATCCACTGTGGCTTCAAAGATCTCAATGAAAATCTTCGTAGCAACAAATGCCCCTATGCAGGAGCAGCCTTCTTTACTTCTTCCTCATCCCGCTTATTGCGTGCCTCCTCCTCACGCGCAGCACGGGCTTCCATTGCTCTACAAGCCCAGTCCTTCATGTCAACTTTATCTTCCTCATACTTAGTTAGGAAAGGATGATCCTATAAATATGTACATAATATACAAGAGTTAGCATCCAATACCGTAGGCCTCGACACTACGAAGCACTCTATTAAAAGAAAGAGAAAAACAAGAAGCAAGCAGCCTACCAGCAGTTCACCATATGTAGGACGCTGCTTTGCATCCTTGAGTAAGCATAGTGCGACAAATGCACGTGCTTCTTCAGAATAAGTATCAGGGAGAGCGGGAGGAGGGCTTCCGACAATGGCATTTAACTGTGCAAAAACGCTATTATACTTTTCAGGGGGGTATGGGTATGATCCTTCTGCGGTTTCCAGAATGGAAAGGCCAAGAGACCACACATCGGATTGGACAGTGTAGGTTTGACCCTGTGAGATACGTTCAGGCTTTGATATAATAACAAATATAAAGTTGCACATGTAAAAAAAAAAAAATTAGTATGATAAATAAACTTTGATGAGTGAAACGGCAAATCAGGTGTTTTAACGTACTGCCATGTAGCTTTGGCATCCAATATGGGTCTTGGCCATAGACTTGATCAGGTGTCCAGAGACACCAAAATCACAGAGCTTCACTTGTCCTTGAGAATTCACCAAGACATTAGTCGGCTTGACATCTAAAAAAACAAAGAAATAAAATAAAAAAAAATAAAAAATAAAAAAGTTTACATATCAGTTTGATGATAACTTTATCAGTCCCCACTTAAAGAACTGCAACTTGGGGTCCTTAGGGCAGTACCTCGATGGATAATAGACAACTCATCCTTGAGGAACTTGAGCCCCTTGACCATCTATTCAGCATTTTCAGAATTGCATCAAGAAGTCAGACAAAAAACATCCAATTCAGCATTATGGATTGAGAGCACTATTATTACACACAAGCTAATTTTCTTCGGCCTCAACAAGCACAAAAAAAAAAAAAAAAAAAAAAAAACGTCCGAAAAGAAAAATAAATAGAAATAGCCAATCATCCACGTTTTGGTCATACCGAAAGAGTGATAATTGAGAGAATATCTTCAGGAACACCGATCTGGTAGAGTTTGTCCAGCGATCCGGCATCCATGAATTCCATGCAGTAGTATACACAAGTTTCGATAAAGAATGCGCCATAAAACTCGACAATATAGGGGCTCTGGGACTTGTGTAAGACATCTAATTCCATGAGGATCGAATTCAGTTTGCTCTCATCCAGTTCCAGTCGAATTTCCTATATGCATACAAAAGCATCATTTTAAAAAAAAAAAAAAAAAAAAAAAAAAAAATTTAGTGACGATAGAATTAAGTAGCATGGATTCATAGATCCAAAAGAAAGTGACTGCAGCACCGCCATATCTGGTTTAGTCAGGGCAGTCATTTATTGCAATTTAGGCAATTGCACATTGGAACATGGCTTCGATTTGATCATTCTTTGAGAGCACACGTATGAAAAGACCCTGTGAGCTCATCAAACTCCAGTTACACGTAACATTCTCTCCTTTAGTGACATGAACATTTTAAACATTAGCATGGTGATAGCAAGGTAGAGGGTGGGAAAGACAGACAACAAAGGAATATGGAAAATATCACACGTGGGTCGATTCACTAAGGAGAAAGTATCCACACCCCCCCTCATATTTGAACGAAGCTACAGGGAAGAATAAAGGGGCGTGCAACCGCACCAAAGAGAAATAGAGAATAAAAGTAAAAAAGAGAAGAGAGAAAAAGTGGGTGTGCAAGTGTGATACATGTTTGCGGTATTGTACACGCGTGTCGGAGAAAGGAATGGGTGGCTCTTTTTCTTCCCAATCAAGAGGTAAAAAGTAAAGTACAACAGATAATAAAGTATCTTTGCCATTAAAAGAAAAACATTGATGACTCAAAAAAACAAGCGTCCACTCCCTCGGCTATTCACACACGTCAAAAAAAAAAAAAAAAGCATACACATCCATTCGCAGATAGACAGGAATTCCAAAAGGAAAAAAAAATACGTGAGCCAAAAGAGTCAAGAGGAAAATGAAAGCAAGCAAATGTGGCGATTGGTCCAAAATATTGTCGTATTCTTTTTTACAAGAAAAGAAAAATGGTGATCTCACTTCCACTGGAAGACAAGAAGCATAAAACAACAACATCTGACCAAGAATGGCTGTCCAACTTTTTTTTTTTTTTTTTTTTTTTTTGTTGCTATCCAAGCAAGCCGAAATACAATTGATACAATTACAACAACGAATCTTTCCCCCCTGCTGTATGAGCACACCTCGCATGAGTTTGGATCAGGATTGGCTAAAAAAAAATAAAATAAAACAAAATGGCACCACTGGAAACAGCAATAGAAGGCAAAAAAAAAAAAAGAGGGGTGGATGGGAAATGCAACAAAAAAAAAAAATTCGATGAAAAAATGACGACGGTGGCACTAACAGAGATACCCAGAGAGAAAGATCGGCTCTTGAGACACTTTTTCCACCCTTATCAAAAGTTCATATCCTCACCCCCCCCCCTTCTCGCTCGTTTGTCCCTGCATCGTCCTCGGAGTTTTGCCTCATCTCAATGCACCTTGTTATTGATGCCCTTATTCCATTCAACCCGATCACTGAGTGTAATACTGTCTAACTGCTATTTTACCTTCATAGCCATAATGACATTGGTCGGTTTATGGTACACCTTTTGGACAGTCCCGTATTGCCCTTTACCTAGCTCCTCGAGCAGCTTCAGTTCCTCCATATTGATCTTGAAGCTGTTTCCATTGCTAAAGTCGACACCGTCGGCATGCAGAATTGCTTTCCCGTTGAAATTGAGTTTTCCGGAAGGATCGCTTTATTTTTATACATTTATTATTATTATTATTATTATTGTTATTTTTTTTTTTTTTTTTTTTTTTCATGTCGGACATAATGTTAGTTGTTCAAAGTTGATCAAGGTTATTTAAAAGACACGATTAACAAATAAAATGAATAAAAAAAAAAAAATTATAAAAAGACGATCAGACAAAGAGAGTAGGAAGAAGGGAAATCAGTGAGGTGTCATTAACTATTACAACATGCATTTAGATCAAACCTGTCCTACTTTTTCTCTCTTGGATTACAAAATGTCAAAAAAAAAAAAAAAAAAAAAAAAAGGAGCAAATGTTCAATTGTAATAACTTCATGAACTTACACAAAGCGAGAAAAGTTAGCAAAGGGTGTTTCTTGCTGAACGGGCGCACCGCCCATATCCGACAATTTCATACGGGGAGGACCACGACGTCCTTGCGAAGCATTACCGCGAGGTAAGTTAGGCAAGTTGCTGTTCATAGTGCAGTTGCTTGTTAGAAAGAGTAGGATGGAAAGGCCTTCGAAGACGGTAGTCGTAGTTATGGTAACAGTGGTGATGTAGTGATTTAAACTTATATCAAGATACAGCAGAGGATCAGAGGGGAAATTGAGCTGTTAAAGAATAGGTTAAAGAATAGATATATGATATGAGCGTGAGTGTTGTGTGAGCCAAGCAGAAAGGAAATGAAAGAAGAAATAAAAGAAAGAAAGAAAGAAAACAGAAAGAAGAAAAAGAAAATAGAATGCTGAAGCGTGTTGATGTGGAGTGAAGAGGAAGAAGAGGGAAGGGGTTCAGCAGGAGTGGGAGTTTTTTTTTTGTCGCTGTCGATTTGTATATATATGTGTGGCTTTTATATAGTTACTGAAGTGTGAAACCCCCCCCAAATTGACCGTGTTTTGGTGAGTATGTGAGCATGTGCGAATAGGATATTCATGACATAACAGTCAATGCCAGGCGACACGTTCTCTTTTTTTATTTTTATTTTTTTATAAATTTGTTATTCATCAAAACCTCAATTATCATTGACGGTTATGATGCTTTGTTCAGAATGGCATACACAAATCGAGCGGAGTCTATCGCTTCAAAAAATTGATCCTGCCATTATTATCGCGGGCTCGCCGGTTATCAAACGATGGAGGAAAGCCTCCATTTCCTTTCTTCCCGTGAGATCCTTGAGAAGGTTGAGACGAATGTTGGCCATGTTGCACCTGTTGGTGCTGTTTGTTACCATGGCTGACAGGGCTACTATTCCCTGGAGATAACCCACTGGTATTGGAAGCATTTTGACGTACGATCTTGGGTTTCTTTGGCTTGCTATTCAAATCTTGCTCAGGCTTTCTCTTATTTGAGCTGACTTGCTGTTTTTGCTGTGAAGGCAAAGATCTCGAGCTGGGGACTACTCTAGCCTTGGTGGATGGATTAAGCGTACTCATAGCAATAGCAGCAGAGGATTTTATTGATCCAGAGACATTGGAGGCATTTGATTTAGGAGCTTCTGGCAAATGTCTCCAAGATGGATTAGGAATGGATTGGCTGCGGCGCAAGTGTTTGGGCTTCATAAATTCCTATTTCATTCGAAAAAAAAAAAAAAAAAAAAAAAAAAAAACTTAGCATGCAATGGTCTTTAGAAAATGAAAAGCACTCGCACTGAATACCTTTTTTTTTTTTTTTTTTTTTTTTTTTCCCTTTACTTGCCTTAACAATCGTGTGGATGTTATTATGAATTGTAATGGTCTTTGTGAGATTTTTAATGGCTTCAGCATCTTGAGGTTTTTTGGCCTGGGCAACTGCTTGTGCGTCTTTCAAGCTCGAGAGCTGTCTTTGAGTTAGGACATATAATGTCTTGAACCTAAAAAGATGAAGTTACAGTGAGATTTTACGCGTTAAACAAATTCATTTATGGGCTACCAGCCTGAAGCAGGCCTGAGTCAATGTTTATACCTTGAAGTCAATTCCTCATTTTCTATAAGCTCGGGTTCCTGTAAGGGCAAATATTAACAAATAACCTAATGTGGTTAGTCTCAACTCGTAATTCGGGCATAGTTGAGTTACACAATGACAAAATCACACGCTCCACATGGAGGCATTGTGAGCTCTAAAATGTAGAACCTTTGCTGCAATGTAGAATAACAAGATTGTCAGACACTCCACTTGTGCAAGATCGACTGGTGTTGTGTTACTCTGTTCAGCAGGCACCGTTGCCTATATAGTAGTATTCGATAGCATAACAATTGCAGGCCAATCTCATCAGTAAACTATATATATATATATATATTTGAGTTATCACTAAGCTGCAACTGATGCCATACAACCAAGATATCTGTCAAGAGACTACCCGCGGACTTTATAATTGTTGGTGAAGGATGTCCTGTCAACATGCTATCCGTATATAATCGGAGAAGTGATGTTTTCTGCTTGTCCATGAGTTGATCAAAAGTTTTGCGAGGAAGAACATTTACAGCGAAAAATTCAAGCAGCGGGTCCGCTGTAATAGTTCGCTACAAATAATAAATCAAGTATATTTGCATGAATAAATGCGAAACAAAAGTCCGTATATAGCCACACTTGTAGTAAGTTAAATGGAGATTTACCTTGAACAGCGGCATGGAGAGCTTCCCAGCTACCAAAAGCCGCTTGACTGATTCTTGATCTTTAATCTAACAATGGATGGCCATCAGAATCGTTTGACTTGATAATCTGTTCATCACAATCATGCAACAAAGATAGTCGCTTACATTAAATGGATTTTCTGAAGTGATGTGAGCTATATAAGCCAAAGAGAGCCCAGTCAAGTCTAGTCTTCCGCTTTGATAAGACTTTGTTTGCATGATTATTTTGGCAAATATTTCTAGTTCTGAATTCGAAACAGACCCCATAGCCTATAATAATGAGGATATAGATAGCAGTGCATTGTTAGATGTATTACAACATATCGATCTGTGATACATAGCACATAGCATGAAGGAAATCAATACCTTTTGCATTTCTTCGAGGAAGAACAGTTCAATCTCAGGGTCTTTAAGAAGGGTGTCTTTTGAGGACATGACCTGGTTGGTTATGAAATCTAAAGATCTTTCACGTAGATCCGCCCCTTTAACACCTTGACGGAAAAGCACAGCCAATACCTCTTATTACATGGAATAAAGGGTAAAAGGAGTATTAGTATCGTCAATTTAATCTCGGGAATATTTTTATACAAGCGATAATTTTATAGCCATACCACGAGGACTCTGAAGCATCAATGTATGCAAAGCGCCCTGCACAACTACCAAGTCTTGGTCATCTATAGTACCAAAAAAAAAAAAAAAAAAAAAAAAAAAAGGAATAATGTCAAGGAATCAGGAGAGTAGTGTCAAGGATACTGGCCATGTTATATAGTCAGTAAGTTATGATCCATGTGATGAAAAATACCTAGCTGAAGTAACTGGCATAGAACATCGGCAATCTTAATGGTATGTTGTGGTCCATCCTTACACAATGAAGGGAGGCTTTTAATAGCCGATTGGCGGATCTATAGCGCGTCGATTTTGTAGTGATTAACGTTAATTCCATCTTCAAGGTAAAGCTGTTTTCCACGCCCATGTAATTCCACGTACTATATTTGAATCATCTTCACAAAGATCAAAGATGCCATCAATAGCCTTTGTATGGAGTGTCGGAAAATGTTTGAAAAAGGTAGGAATAAATCTAAAAAAGAAAAAATATCGAAATTTGTCATGTAATCCCTCCTAAGTTATTTCCATGAAAAATAGTGGCGACACGGTGTGTATAAGCACTTGCTTCGTACTTACTGTGATGCTAATCTCTTTGCGCCATCTGATCCTTGGGATGCAGCTATGATAGTGTTGTAAGCATTCAAGTGCTGGGGTAGTAATAATAATAAAAAAAATAAAAAAAAAAAAAACTCAACAATCTTAGTCCTTCGATCCTTTTAATCCTGTTATGTTTCTGAACGCCACAGTTGTCGAGTTGGGATTCCTATATGATACCTCTGATGCCTTGTCTTTTGCATCCATGATTTCATTATAGGCGTTGTAGATTGCATCCAAATCAGCCATTTTAGTGATTGAGATAATGTTCTATCAGCACAAAATAATGAAGGTACGAAGATAGCGCGTTAGAAGGATGAGACATCGCATAATGGACCTCCTTTTTTCAAAGAAGACGTGGAGTCACGAAACTGACCTGAAGCAAAGAAAAACTGAATGATTAGAAAGCACTGAACAATGTAACAAAAGTCTAAAATAGAGGGGAAACCACGGGCCACAGTGACTGTATTAGCCAAATTCAACACGTCACCTTTGCTTTTTTTTTTTTTAAAGAAAGAAAGAAAGAAAAAAAAGCTCGAGGTGGATTGCCTCATTCTGTCCACGCCATTCATTTCTTTTTTCCATCTTTCTTTTATTATTATTATTACTACTCATATAACTAGCCACACATAGTCAACCACAGTAACACCATGCTTATCACAATCAAGACATTGAAACAAGAGTCATTCAAGGTCGAAATTGATCCTTCTGACAAGGTAAAAAAAACACGCATGGAGCAGCTTTCAAAGAAGGATTTATTGCTGCAGTTAATGCATGGAAAAAAAAAAAAAAAAAAAAAAAAAACGATTAAAATGCCCTTATAAAGGATTATGTAACATGTGTCGTTGCATTTGGACACTACCCTCATGACACTGTCATATTCTAATATTTCTCATATTCGTTTTTTGTTTTTGGGTGGGCTTAACTTTCCATAACTTAGGTCCTTGCTATCAAAGAAAAGGTGGCAGAACTTCAAGGCCACCCAGTCAGTAGCCAAAAGTTGATTTTTTCTGGCAAGTTGCAACAAATGCAGAGTGGAGAATATAAAATAACTGTATTGTATTCGAGTTGTCGAATGGATATCAAAATAAATCAGCTCATTAACCATTCTTACTTCTGTCTTCGATATTTTATTAGGCAAGATTCTTGCGGATGAGAACCCAATTTCGCAGTATGAAATCACAGAGAAGGATTTCTTGGTGATTATGGTCACCAAGGTACGCAAATGAACTCTACTAGTTTGACATGGAATGTATCTTGGAGACGAACATGGAACAGGAAGTACCCAATTTTTTATAACCGGCTCCACCATTTTTGTTTGATATACTGTATTAGGCTAAGGCAACTTCGGCATCATCCTCCAAGCCTGCTGTCACTGCAGCTCCATCTACATCTAACGTAGCTGCTGCATCTACCCCTGCTCTCCCTGCACCGGCCGCACCCGTTACTCAAACAACAGTTGAAGAGACTCCTGTAGCTGTTGCACCTGCCACATCTCCGTCCATCGGCCAGAACCCCACTCCAGCAGCTTCTACTGAGCCTGCTGCTCCTACTAATTCAGCTGATAATGCCCTTTGTATGTTCACGTCAAATGTTTAGCTGGAAGCATAGCTTCTGTCTTCTATTCTGCTCATCACGCTCACCCTTTTTCGTTTATCATCTACTTTTAGTAACTGGGACTCAATTTGAGACTGCTATTCAGAATATGGTCGATATGGGTTTTCCCCGAGACCAATGTATGCTTGCGATGAGGGCTAGTTTCAACAACCCGGACAGAGCTGTTGAGTACTTAATGAATGTGAGTGTACAGAGATCTCTTGGATCATCATTGATACCTTTGCTGTGTTCTAACATGAATGCTTGTTGCTTATACATGTGTGTGCTATTAGGGCATTCCTGAGCACCTTCAGGCCCAAGCTAGCGCCCCTACCCCTCGTGCCGCAGCCACAGCAACCCCTGCTGGAACTGCTGCAACTACTGCTCCTTCTTCTACGTCGCCTGCGTCTGCTACCGCAGCCCAGACTGCCTCTTCTCCTGCTGCTGCTGCTCAGCCACAAAATCTTTTTACAGCTGCTGCGCAAGCAGCAGCCAATGCTAGACGCGGCACATCAGGAGAATCTGGGCCTGGAGGAGAGGTGGAAAACTTGGCTTTTCTGAGAGATCAACCTCAATTCCAGCAAATCCGCGAGTTAGTCCAGCATAACCCTGATTTACTCCAACCTCTCTTGATCCAACTTGGACAGTCCAATCCTCATATGTTGCAGCTTATCAATCAGAACCAACAAGGATTTCTGCAACTCTTGAATGAAGGATACGAAGGTGATGAAGGAGGCGCTCCACCACCAGGTACCAACCACGTCTACGTCACACAAGAGGAACAAGAAGCTATTCAGCGTGTAAGTTTAAGTTATACATGTCATATTTTACTAGTCTTATTTGATTAGCGCTTTATAATATCCGCAAAAAAAAAAAAAAAAAAAAAAAAAGCTGTGTTGACCTGATCCTATGATTTCTGATTTGACAATTTTTAGCTTGAGAATCTTGGATTTGATCGTCAGACTGCTGTGGAGGCTTTCTTGGCCTGTGATCGTGACGAGCAGATGGCCGCCAACTACTTGTTTGACCATGGCAATGATGACTTTGAAGAGGACACTCAATAACTAAGGGTGGTTTGTATTACATTACGACGACATCCTATCATTTTTTTTTTCCTTCTATGAATTGCATTAAGGAGACTTAATTTGTAGCTCGAATTTGTATCTGGATTCTTATTTCAGAAAAAAAAAAAAGTAAAATAAAAGTATGTAGAAGAAAAAAAAGGTATTGGCTTTCTTAGTTTGTTTGTAAGAGATAAGGATAATTGAAATGCGGCCGTAGTTTGACTCGAATGAACTAGCTGCTGGTAAGAAGTTATAGCTGATTGTGAAAAGGTTTTTTCACAATCCGTAATACAAAACTGTCATGAAAATATATACTTAACACTGCGCCGCAAAAAAAAAAAAAAAAAAAAAAAATACTGGTCATGTGGAGTGTGCGAACTACAAATTCTTCCTTCTGCATGTTTGTATACATGTATACGACAACGTTTGTTAGTGAGCACAAAGAGAATAGCTATTGATTTGGCAACATTCTTCCAGGATGCCCCTGGTCTCAAAGTCGAATGTTCCTTTGGTGATCCACATGTTAACCATTTTATTGTTTACAAGAACTGGGTCAAACACACTGATAGTTTGTTTTTCAGTGAGAAGAAAAAGGGACGCCGAAAGATTTCATTGTAGTTGCAATGCAAAGCTCTGCTACGACACATTGATCACTGCTAGGCCAATAACAATTACTCACCATCAAATCAAAGAAAGAATAAATAAAGGGACCAGACGCCTAACTCTACACCCGAAAATGCTCCCTTTTCGTTTAGTGTGGGTTGGGTGTACCGAACATAACCCTATTGGAACGGGCACAAGAGCCAAAGGGCGAACACAAAATGTCTGTGTAATCACAAAAGAAATAAAATGGGCCTTACTTTTTTTCTTACATTCCACCATTCTCATTCTCATTCTCATTCACTTCTCTTCTAATTCCCTCCTCCCCCTTCACTCTTTTTCTTATTCTGCCCTCTGTCTATTTTGATCTCCAATCCTTAATATATAATTTGTATTTTTGTTTGCTTCATCTTTTTGTATTCTATATCTTAAACTCATAATCATCTAAAACGCAATGGGGAAGGACTCAAAGGAGCAAAAGATTGATCGCTCCGAACAGAGGTAAGCTCCCTCAAAGACCCCTTTTGGAAATACCCAATCCCTGGAGTGTTGTGATGCAGCTGATCTGATTTATGCATTTGGCATGTGCGTTAGGCTTCGAGAGCTGGGCTATAAGCAGGAACTGAAGCGTGAGCTTACCTCATTCACAAATTTCTCAGTCTCCTTTTCTGTCGTCTCCATTCTCACTGGCTTGACCTCTCTTTATGGAACGGCTCTGAACTCTGGCGGACCGGCGGTCATCATCTGGGGCTGGGTAAATGTTTTTTTTTTTTTTTTTTTTTTTTTCCTTCAAAGCAGCTAACAGTTTAAAAAGTCTTCCATTACTAACATTTGGATTATATTTTATTTCTTTCTTTTCTTCTCCATGGCAATGACATCGGTGAAAATAGGTATTTGTTTCTGCTATGTCGATGTGTGTAGCAGCTTCGATGGCAGAGATCTGTTCCTCTTATCCAACAAGTAAGTTTGCCTCCTATTATACACTACGGTATTTATGAACTATTAGAAACCTTTATTTTAGGGATCCACCAGCAAGTCGTACAAAGTATATGGATTCTCATATATTTATGAATCGAAGGCGCGGGCGAATTAGAGAAAAGGAATCACACAGAGGCCCAACTTAATCATCATTTAGATTTATTTTAATTTGGCAACCGGAAGACCAGCACCAACGCTTAGCTGCATACTCATACGGTTCACAAGAGTGCTACTGATGATAGTTATAAAGAGCAATTAATCCTGAGGATGACCTAAAAAATCATGAGCAAATATTTTGGGATGATACATGACTAAACTAAAAAGAACCCCTCTCTACATTGTGTTTGTTTTTTTAGGCGGCGGTCTGTACTATTGGAGCAGCAAGCTCGCTGATGACAAGGGTCCTTTTTACGCCTGGGTTACAGGATGGTGGAATCTACTTGGACAATTTGGATGTACAGCAGGAATCGATTTTGGATTAGCGCTTCTGTTCTGTTCTGTTATTTCGCTCGCAAATGGATGGGCATATGAACGATGGCATGTAGTCCTGGTGTACTTTTTAATCTTGATCGTCCATGGCCTCATTAACACATTTTTGATCAGGTTCATGGCAATCATGAATACTATTTCTGTCTGGGTCCACATTGGTGGAGTGATCATCATTTTGGTGACTCTATTGGTCAAAACAGAGAACAAGGCATCGGCTTCGTTTGTTTTCACAGGATTTGTGAATAATACTGGCTGGAGCAGCACTGTTTACGTATGTTGAAAGATTGTTATACTTTGCAACGCAGCTGAATACTATAGTACTATGGCCTTATCCTGCGTGACGCCTATTGATTTGCTATTTGATTTACGCTCTCTAGGTTGTTCTCTTGGGTCTCTTGCAATCACAGTTCACGATGACTGGGTAGGTGGAAAACGCCACTGGATTTTTCCAATTTCTCTTTAGTTCTTTTTTTATAGTATATCCTATTCTGAGATCAATAGTCTGATTCGACTTTGTAACATCATTTTTTTTACCAATAGATGTATGTCTTTAGGAATCCTTCAATGGCATGAAAATCTGCTCGTTGGTCAATGTATAACTTACACATTATAAAAATTATTTTGACTCCGATATCACCCATAGATGATGCCTCTGCACATATGACAGAAGAGACCAAGAATGCTGATGTCGCCGGACCTATCGGAATCCTTATGGCAGTTGGTGTATCTTTTGTTGCTGGTCTCGGCTACTTGCTTGCTTTGACATTCGGTATCCAAAACCTGGATAATGTTCTCAACAGCTCTACAGGAAATCCGATCACTCAAATCTTTTTAGACTCTGTGGGAGAGACAGGGGCCATTCTACTGCTCGTTATTCTGCTCTTGGCTCAATTTTTCTGTGGCAATGCTTCTGTGACGGCCAATTCACGTATGATCTACGCATTCTCCCGAGATGGTGCCATGCCCGGATCCAAATACTTTCACAAGATCCACCCAACCCTCAAAACCCCTGTCTGGGGCGTCTGGCTTTCATGCTTTGTTTCCGCATTGTTGGGACTCCTTTATTTAGCCAACTCTGCAGCTTTCTCTGCCATCACTAGTATTGCAACTATTGGCTTGTACATCTCCTACGGTAGCAAACAAGGATTTTTATTTACTAGTGTTCAAGTGTTAATCTTTTATTGTTTTGCATACATCTAGTTGTATGTATTCTAATGATATTTTTCTATCGCTACTGTTATAGGCCTTCCAACATTCTGCCGCATCGTGTTTGCACGCAATAGTTTTGAACCTGGCCCCATTTCCCTGGGTCGTCTGAGTATCCCTATTGGTACTTTGGCTTGTATCTGGATTATAATCATCACTGTATTGTTTATTCTTCCTGGGTCTTCTCCTGTGACAGCCACCAACATGAATTACACGATCGTCATTGTTTCTGCTGCGGCGATCTACATCTTTGGCAACTGGTACTTCAATGCGCGTCATTGGTTTAAGGGCCCTGTCGCCAACATTGACCTCGAGGACAATGAGAATGACTTTGTGGCTGGATCACTTAGCAATAATAACAAACATGCCTTTGGTGACAAGCAAGAGCTCCAGGGACAAGAGGAAATGGTTGCTACCCAAGCGGAGTCTGGTGTGCCTGATAAAACAGAATTGGACGAGAAAGCAACTTAATCAAAACATATTTAGTTGACAGAGAGTCTATCACTTGAAACCAATATACATGTAATCAAGTTTTTTTTTCTTAACTGCCAGAAGGGTGTTCCGTCTTCTCTGAAGCCAACTGAAAAGCCTTGTTCTTTATTTTGAAAATGCACAACTTTTTTATTTTTAATATTACTACTGTTAATGTTTTATATATTTGTATAAATGAGTATGCCAGATACCCATTCAAGTCTTTCGAGAGTGTTCACTATCAAAGCGGATAACGCCCCTGGGAAAGAAAAAGAAAGTGGTTTCATTAAAAACTCTCTAGTTACAACTTATTTATGCAGAGCGGTTCTTCAGACGGCGCTTAGTGATGGCGGTTTGTCTAGGAACGGTGACAGTAATGGGTTTGCGAGCATCAAAGTGTTTCTTGCCATAGTCGCCCTTGGCCAAAGCAAGTTCTGGAAGGAAAACTGAGTTGGGGCCATAGTTGGCAATCAAAGGAGCGACGCCAGAGAGTGATCCACCATTGGTACCCTGGATGACAATATCAGCGCAAGAAGAGTACAACTCACGGTTACCCTCGTTGTTGTTCCAGATCAAGTTCAAGACAGCATTGCCGGATGGAGCGCTGGCCGGGATGGTAATAGGCAATTGGTATTGTTGACCGTTGCTAGCATCAGCCATGCAAGTTGCGAGCTTGTCCTGGAAGACAACCCAGGTAGAGCCATTATCATAGGAGAGAGCGAACTGACAACTGTATTGATTTTTTTTTTTCCCGGTATTATAGGGGTTAGTAAATATAAACGAATTATAAGAAAATGCAAAAGGATTAATTGTCAAAGAGTATTTAGAGTATTTAATTTTACCTTCCGCCTTTGTGATAGGCTCCAATGTCGATAACAGTGTTTACTGTCTGACCAGCCTGGAATATAGGCCGGGTACCAGCAAAGGATGATGACCACTTGCACATAGGATATACGATGCTTCCCTAAAGGTTTTTTTTTTTTTTTTTTTTTTTTTTTTTTAAAGATGTAAAACGAAGTGAATGAATTATTGTCGCAGAAAATATACGTACTAATCCATCAAGCATTAATAAAAAAAAAAAAAAAAAAAAAAAAAAAATCGGCAAGCACTTACATAAGTGCCTAAAGGCGTACGGATATCGTAATCAACCAAATTCCATTCATTAGGGCCGGGACGTGGGCATTCACTGTAAGGACCACGACGAGGACAAGGGTAACGGAAGGAAATATGGGCTTCAGACAAGACTGCGAATCCGGAGAGAACGATGGCAATGGAGGCAAAGATGGACTTCATTTTTTTTTTTTTATTTTTTCCTATTGTTAGTTGTTACTATTATTAATTCTTTAATGAGGTTTAATGGGAGGAGGCTGACGTGCAAAAGATGAGGGCAAGTGTCGAGAAAACTGATCGTCTGAGAGATTAAGAAAGCGGTTATGAAAATGATTAACAATAAAAAAAAAAAAAAGAATCCATGGGGAGGTGTATAACTGTGCCTTTTTATACGGACGTCCTCTCCTTGTTTATGACACATTGTCTTCCAAGACTTTAAACGCGTTTGACAAGGCAGAAAAAAAAAATACAAAGTTTGATAATCCATTCAAAGGGCCATGTGGAGTAACTAATTACGTTGCTTGCGTTCAAAATGTTGATGGGTATTGAAACTCTTCAGGGAATGTAAAGTAAAATTGTCAAAAACTTTTTTCCGTTTCGGACACTAGAAATCTAATGCATTTGCAACCGTATGGGACAGGCCGTGGAGATGCCCGTGGCAAAACGCCAAAACGCCAAAAAAAAAAAAAAAAAAAAAAAGGTTCACATCTAAGCTTCGATTAAAATTTTAATGTTTACATTCGACAGACATGCTCACTTCAGATTATCGGCCTAGAGCTTGATTACACCATGTTCGTTAAAGCATGTGTTTTCTTTTCTGAATACAAAAAGTCCATGTATATATGCTATGCATATAATATCCCATGACTTCTTTTTATCTTTATATATATCTAATGGGATTATAAAGAAAGGTGCCATTGTATATAAGTTGTATGTATGCTGCAGGGGGACTTCCTATTCAACGTACAAGTATTAATTCAGTTACAGACAGTCTCAATTACAATGTTTTTGTTCACGAATGAATGTGCTTTTATGTGTATATGGTATATCTTTTAAACAAGCTCTTCAGATGAAATTCTCGATGACCATTTCATATAGAAGGCCAATCAACCATCATTATCATTTGATCATTTGATTGGCTACTGAGCTGTTTTTTGTCCCGTGGAAAAGTTTGTTTTGTTTGACATGTAAAATTATATATAAAAATATTACATATTTCTCTAGTATATATTTATGATTTGCTCCTTGTCACGATTTTAGATAATTTCAGGTACAGAGTGGAAATGAGAGTGAATCCCTGTGAAAGGTCCTGTTTAGTCCCTGACGGCGCGGTTACACAAACATTTCTTATCAACCCACAATCTCAAAAAACATTAACCTAAAAGCTCTCAACAAACACACGACCAAACACATTCATGTATATCCTCAGTAAACAATCAAGAACCTTATCGTGGGTATCCACCTCCTTTCGTTCAGGTCAGTTTGCTATTAACAAAACAAAAATATGGGGTTGAGTATTTCCATCAATATACATGGCTTTAGGTACCTTCCATCTATTAACGCGCTATATGTATTATATACATATTTGCTACCATACTACCCTCCTTCATCGTTGATCAGATACTATACGTAGGAAACAGACAAGACTTAATTTTGATATTAAACTAATAAGTCATGATCAACTAAAGTTTATAATTCCATAAAGACAAAGTAATAAAATGAATCAATACCTTTCTATAATGTATTAAAGGTAAAATGCTTTAATGACAGCAGATGATGTAGCTGGGCTGCATATGAGCTGCTCAATGATGTCCTGCAGAAAAAAAAAAGTGTAGATTGGTAAAGATTGGTCATTGGTGTTCATTCTGTACCCAACAACTATTCAACAATGAATTATTGATTCAACGCGTACTTCCACCTATTGTATATATATTCATATACAAAGATTCCCATGGAGATTATATGACGATGATTAAGTACCTTTGGATCGCTATAGAATAGAATGACAAACTTACCAATGTGTTCCACTCGACTGTCGCTCCATTGTCCCAGCAAATTGAACAATCCACTACGATAATCATACACACGACTATTGTGATCCGCCTTTTTTAATATTCCATAGCGAAGTAAATTAATCTCATGATCATGCAGCCAGATGTTTGTTTGTTCGTCTTACCTATTGTTTTCAATGGTATACATTTTTAACCCTCATCCATCCCCTTCTCCGGCCCTTCTAGAATAAGATCATGAAAAGATAACTTTATACTAGAGACCAGCAGAGGGAATAGATCGTCAGAAACTGGGCGTCTCGCATGGCCCTTCCTTCAACAACACAAAGTATACATATATATAGCATACATTTGTGTATAATATTTTCAGGTATGAAGCAATGAAAGAAGTTGTAACTTCATTGGTATTTATCTTGAGTATCTTGACACATGAACATGTCTTGAAAAATGGTCAACAAAGGGTTAATTTTTTAAATGGAATGAACAATAATAATGAAGATAACCCAATCTTTTGTGTCGTGTAATCGCAATTCATCTATTCGTCTTCTCATTTATTTATTATTATTATTTGTTGATGTTGTTGTTATTATCGTTGTTATTCACCATCGCCAACATGTGTTCCTTGCTCACAGTTCAGGAAAAAGAAACACGCCGAGAACAACTTTATTAGGGCTCTTTTTTGTTTTCGTCATTGTTACTACATGTATATATATCATCAACCATTGTTAGGTTTGGGTCCTTTTGTAGAACCGTAAAGTGGCATAACCATCAGCCAAAGGATCAATCATATTCAGGTCAACATTAACTTGTCTGCTCCAAGAAAACAGCCTAGGACCCTTTTTTATTTTTGTTTCTTCATTGTTCACTCGACTTTCTCTCAATAGATCTTTATTTCGAATTAATCCATTTTACCCTTTGCAGAAGACCGTACTAAGACTGCCTTAACTAGCGCCCAGACAACCGCCAAAGTACCTGCCCCTGCCAGTGCAAATGTCGCTGTTCTCACAACCGACAGGTCATCCAATCGTCCCACGGGGACAGAGACGTGGGCCACAGGGTATTGACTTGGAATAAGATCTGGTAGTAAGAACCTAAAATTGTAGCCTTCTTCTGCGCTCTGAACACTGCTCTTTTTATCTTTAAAACCGAAAAGAAGATTGAGCGGTAAAGGTGGAATATGAAATAGCTTCTTGGCTGCAGTAGCTGATGCTTCCTCGTCTCCAGAAAGTGATACTGGGCAAACCCATGCAACAAGTGGCCAAGGCACTAACACATCCACGTGCGTCGCAGCATTCCCTTCTGATACAGGAGGTTGGTATCGCATATGCATTGGGATATCAACAGTAGATGAATAGCGTAATGGTTCTGATCGTTTCTTGTTCTCAACGTTTGAATCCGTCATATTCCCTGCGATCCACCTTGAAGCCTTACTAGAGTTCTCGGGCTGCACTTTAACCATCACTAGGCTACCCCATCCAGAAACTACGCCCACAGGTTTCTCCAAATCAGTTTCTCCAAAAACTATCACCTCGCCAATTTCTGGTGCGAGACCTTCTAGCTGGAATGGATCCACAAAGATACCTGGCGGCAATACATGTAGGACTTGCAACTCACAGCCAGCGGTTGTGTCGGTAATATATGGATTTGACTGAATGGTCGTTATTGAGTGTGGGTGAAGAGTTTGCGCTGGGCTCATAGTAGACGAGAACCCATGTCCTGGGATCTTAATCTCTTTTGTTGAGGCTTCGCGTTTGTGGGGCGGAAACACAGGTGAGCGTGTTTGAAGCAGAGCTTCACTGACAACTTCGCCCTGCGCTTCCATCTTGACAGTTGCGCCAAGGTAATGGTCATAGATCGTGTTTTCTTGCTCTGTGACTTCGCGATAGAACCATCCAACCTCAACCGCTATATCTGTCTGTTCATTAAAAGAGACCTGAACACTATTCCCAGTGGCTGGCCAAATCATCTTTATGTTGATATCTCCGTTTGACAAAACCATGTCGATTAGAGCTGGCGGGTCATCAAGCGACCCAGATTGGTGTTGCTTTCCGGATATCAATAGGGACATGACAGAAGAAGGCGACACAAATCCTGTGGGTTTTTGAGCTCTGTGTACATAATGGTGTTTATAAATAAGGCTTAAGTGCTCAGCCCGAATAGGGTTGGTCCCTGGATCTTCTGTTTGCAAATCCTCATTCTGTTCCTGACAGTTTACTGCGCCTATCAGTTCTGCAAGGATTGGGCAGTATTCTCTCCAGGTGGATGTAAGGTCTTCGCTAGTAATTTTAAAGATTCAAGGTTCGTATGAATGTCATCTTAAACAAGAATTTCGAATAGGATAAGGATGGTGCTCAGTTTTGTACTTTCAGTTATCTTATTTCCTACCTTGTCACTGCTAAATGGAAACCCGGAATAAAAGTTGGAGTGAATGGTGGACGAAGTAGAGGTGCTCTGTCATAGTACCATTGAACATGGACCTTTGTATTATTGTTGGCGTCTAACTTTGCCTCTGGAATGCTCTTGATCAGGCGTGTCAAAAAATAAATGAATAAAAAAGATAAGCTTATATGTCGGTTCCAAAGCAAATGTCAATCGGATCGCAGCAATCAAATCCATGGGCCGGTCCACACCTTTCTAGAAGCCTTAGCAAAGGCTTGGATAGATCCTTTGACTTCCCATTCCCTAAAGCCAACAAGGTCTACGACCTCAACTTGATGCGTTGTAACTTTAAAATTTTCGTCTGAGGGTTCAACTGGCAGAGACGAGATGAATGAATGGCGGTGATGCAACAGATGTAGAGGAGTGGTAGTGGCTGGCTGAGATGTGACAGAAGCAGCAGTACTTAGAGCGAGTAAAGCAGTTACTGAGATGGACAAGCTCAACATCGGAACCATAGAAAAAGAGGATGAAAGTGTATTACAGATGAAACTGTTGATGAAATCTGATCAACTCTGGTACCACTGATGTCTTGAAAAGCATGTTTGGGAACGCGTCGATTTTAGGGCGCGTAAATGTGGCTCCATAAATTTTAGGACAAGCCCCCGAACAATACCAGATGTTTACGAAGGGGATCTCTAGTACATTGACGTCTCTATGCGCAGTATTTTATAGAGTGAATTAGACAAGAATGAAACGATGTCTATGAAGCGAGAGTATGGGACGTTACCGGTTTTAAACGTTTATGTAGTGCGGAATCAATGAAAGGCACAGGCAATGGAAAGGAATCTCTTCGAAGACTTTGGGTAACTTTCCAAAATCCACGTGGCCATTAGCTATTTCAGTAAAATAACACGATGTTCAAGGCTCCACTCTTAATATCGTTCTATGTGTTCCTCCATCTAGCATGTTATCATGGGGAAACGAGGTGCAGATCTTAGCAGGATCATTGACGCTGCTCCAGAGAAGTTGGATGGTGATCTATTTGATACAATTGGAGTCCAGCTGACAGATTAATCGAAAGCTCCATCTTACAATACTGAATATATCGGTAAAGTGTGGAGCTGAACACAATCTGCCACTTTATAGCTTTGCATATGAGGATCCCAATAAGCACAATAAGCACAGGTTTCTGCATGTGGAACGAGGGAAGATATACAACAATCGAGACTTAACAAAACGGCTGTAGACACCGAAACACTCAGGCTATGTCCATGGAAGCATGGAAGTAAAAACATGTATTAATAAACCTGTAGTCATTTGCCTATTAACCACAACATTGTCAAAGCTCGCTATTAAATAGTCATAGTCTAAAGAACCATTTGCGCCTAGTTACCACTCCGTTTATAGGTTGAAGTAATTCATTACACATTGCATGAAGTGTTTTTACATCATACAAGAGTTCTACTTTTTTATCTTTATCAGCGCAAACGAATTTAGAGAAAAATAGCACCAAGCACTTGCTCGATCGCCACAATCATTGGCAGATGATGTTTGGCTATATCGAACTATGCTTTGTCACCGCAGTAATCCTCCATCGCTTATTTAAACGATAAGGTACTGGCTTTGTTTACGACACGATTGAAGATGGAAGAGGTAATCAAGCAGCGGTGTTGTCATTGAGAACAACGTCTTTTAAGAGCTCGTTAAAATATGGCAATCAATGTATATATTTACAAACATATTCAATCCAGAACATTACTTTTCATCGAGTAAATTTTTTTATTCTTGGTGTTATTATTTACAAAGCTGTCGCTTTTTCATAAGTATGTTACAAGGTGCTTGATCAAGAAAATTGGATAAGCGAATAGAAAGGGGAAAAAAGAACTATGACCGCGGATGGATGAAGGGATTGGAACATTCTAGGTTGTATTGCAGCATTAGGGGCATAGACTTGCAGGCTTGCGAAATAAAAGAATCATGACAACCGCTGTACCCGCGAAGCTTGGTCATTCTTGAAATAAAATCTCATGGATCCGCACATATTTTTGATTCATTTACTGGCGGTGAGCATTGGAGACATGACGACGAAGGTGGGGATCTGTGGCGAGCTTACGCAACGCCATATAAGAACCGCCAATAGAGGCACCAGTGACGACTGCGACAAGAGGGTAGACTTCGGTGGGAGCCTTCATGCCGCGCATGGATTGTCTAAGAAATTGGGCCAACATGTTGAATGTGTTGTTTGTTATTGATATGGAGGAGTGGAGGACGAGTGTGTTTTGTAGTTGTAGAACTAGAAATTGTGTAGTTGTGTAGTGATATCGGTTGTTGAAGTGATTGATGAAGATGTTGGTGAATAGAAGAAAGTGAGGAAGGAGAAGAGGCCAGTTTATATACCTGCAATGGACAAATACAAACGTAAGCATTAAAGTACTGGCAATAAGTATTAAGCAATAAACAAACCGAAACGCATAGAACGAAGAGAAACAACCAGGTGATCACCAAGCTCTTGGGCTTTATTAGCCGTGTCTCAGTTGCATAAAAAAAAAAAAAAATTCTGGATCTTGACCACAGACCAGGCAATTAGCGTGCTTGATTCATCTTCCTAATATGGCATGGACAGCCCGCGATGATGTTTCTGTGAACAAACAGAATCGGGATGCTTAAATTTAATGGCATAAGAAAATATTCGCTCAAAAACAATATTCGCCAAAAACAAATATTCGCTCAAACAACATAGCCTATTCAATCCACACAAGAATTACGTCGGACTACAGCTTCGGATAGTCAACTCCTGTCAGTCCCTCCAACTATCATATCCATTTATTAAAAAAGACTTTGTTTTTAATATAGCTCGTTAGAATCTGTTAAGTGCACCTCTTAGAGAGACACAGACACCCAGCATATATATATACTTTGACACACCCTCTCGCCTTCAAAGCTATCTTCAATGGTCGAAAAAAGGGTTCACCAAGAATGCTGTCACTCACAAATATATTTAGGACAGTAGAAACGGATAAACTGAAACATTCTCCAAATTTGGATGTCTCTCGGATTCAAAATTTATTCGGACATGTTCAATTTGGAAAATGTGCAATTATGCAAATCCGAAAATGTTATGTTTATTAGTGTTTCCACATTGAAACCAAATGATAAAAAGGCATTTTCCAACAAACTATTTTTTGGGGTAGGGATAGAGATGAGAGATTATTGTTGCATTTGCTGCTCTTGGTCTTGGTCTTGGTCTTGGTCTTGTTGCTCTTGCTGCTCTTGCTGTACCTGCTGCTCTTGCTGAACCTGCTGCTCTTGCTGAACCTGCTGCTCTTGCTGAACCTGCTGCTCTTGCTGTACCTGCTGCTCCTGTTGGTGACTTTTATATACTTCTTCCATGGTTGTAAGATTGTTCGCAGGCAGATTCAACGAAGATTGGGTGGTGTTCTCGGAAGAAGCGGTCACCTCAGATCCACTAACAGGAGTTGGACTATATGCAGAAGTCGAAGCTTGAGCTGGCAATGCAGGATTGGTGGCTGTAGACGTATTCTCTACATTAAAGACCAGATGATTAAATAGAGGATAAAAAGAAGCATTAGCTATTTTCATTCTTTACTGCCATTTCAATGACTCTCTCAAAATGAATAGGTGCGCATCATACCAAAGACACCGGGAGCTTTAGTATTCAATGGTACACCATTACTTTTGGCCTTATTCTCAATCTCTGTCTGCTCAAGCAAGAACTTTCGTAGTTCCTTGACTAATGGTAGTTTGGTCACTCCAATCTGTCCATTCTGTAGCAGATACTCAGAGATTACATCGAGAGCGTCATTCGCAGTAGCGGCTGTCACTTTCTTCACTTCGGGCCGACGACTCAGACTGGAGGTTGGAGGGTCCTTAGGAGTCAAAATGATATTTGATATGTTCAGAAGTGCCGATGAAGAACCATCACCTATTTTTTTATGTACGCCCAATGAAAGGCAAAAGAAAAAGAATTAATGGTTGGATGTGGAATAAGCAGTGTTCCCCCGATTAGTATAGCATGTAGTTTCAGCTGCTGTTATGGCTATCATTGTACCCGATATCTTGGAGTCGCCTACATCTGCAGTATCCTGTACATCCTCCATTTCTTCGTCAGCATCGACATCAACTCCATCCGGCCCATCACTTCCTTCACCCGTTTCCATGGCGCTCGAATTATCGTCCGCACCAGTGGCTCCAGCCGAAGCTGATGTGGGACCGCTCAAACCAATAGATGCTGCATTCCCATTGTTTCCGTTGACGCCTGGTCGTGGCTTGAACTGGCGATGCTTGATACCATGGCGCCTCTTGAAACCATGGTACCACCCAGATGTCAGTCCCAGTTCTGCTGGGGGAATACCCATACGCTCTGCAATTCCCTTGGCAACCTGTGTGATAGCCGCCTCGCTCGTCAGTAACATGACTGGTGGCACTTGAGATGGATCTCCAAAAGCGACTAGTGGATTGAGGTCGGGATTCTGCTCCTGTTGGATCTGAAGCTGCTCCTGTTCCAGTGCCTTCAGTTCCTGGACCAAAGCCTTTTCAAACTCAGGAAACTTGACAGACCGATGACGCTTGGCTGACGGGTTAAGCAGTTCTGTAGCAAGGCGCTCTGTAGCTGTGGAGCGAAGCCTGGAGGCGGTCGATAATGAGATGGTGAGGCCAAACCGAGTCTTGCAGAACTGAACGATTTCCTTGCAGGATATGGAATTATTGCCTGTTATGGGCGCAACTTGGTTATTTCCAGGACTACCGCTAGCTGAATTGTCGTCGCCATTATTAGGAGCTTGTTGTTGCTGCTGCTGTTGCAATTGAGCCTGCTGTTGAGACTCTGTGATGAAGACTGCAATCTTCCTTCTCTGAGATTCAGTCAATGAAACGTAGTTTGGCATGACTTAGATCAATGTGTATGCTATCTGACTGTAGGAAGATGATAAGGAAATAAGGGGGTAGTGACCACAGATGCGTCAATGAATGTGGCCTTGGGTGGTCTATTATATTCAGTGGAAGATGAATGGCAATGAAACAGTACACTATATTGAGTTACAATGAAAGATCGTGTTTCTCCCTTTCTCACACATACTCTTTTTATTTTATTTTTTTCTTTTATTTTTTTTTTTTTGTTTCGTTTCTTGCTTGAATGCGGTGAGAGATCCGTCAGTACTGAGGATCACAATCTTAAAGAAGAGATGTTGGTTAAGAAAAAAGGAAATTGAAAAAAAAAGTGGGAGAAGAAAAGAAAGAAATCACAAGCGGGAAGAGTAAGTGCTGAAGAAAGAGTGACCGCTTAGTTCTCTCCTTTTATGCTTCAACCTAGTGGGCGGGTGAGTCGTCACCCCCGCTCCTGAATTTTCAAACAGACTGGTGAGCAGTCTTCAACGTTTCACAAGGGACCCAGTCAATACAGATGATCGGGGAACTGACGGGTGCAGAAAGTGAGGCACTGGGACAAAGGAGAGAGAACGAAGAATCAAAACATGCATCAGGTTAGTAGCTCGATACTTCCTTCCTTTCAATTCTGTAGAGGTCATTCGCTTTAGTTTGAAGAGGAGGAGCCGATGAGGCCTTCGTTTTGAGCAAGGAAAGACAGGATTGTATGAAAGTTAATCCTGTTACTCATCCTTGTCTTCCTTGTCCCCTGCTTCCAATGCTATTATTGCAGACCTGCATGAATTTGAGCCTATAAAGAAGCCCTTCTTTACTGTGTCGTTATGAATAGCTCTTTCCACGTAAAATGATGCCTGAAACGCGTTCAATAAGAATCCTGACCTTCGAGATGATATATTTTACTCACTGATATATTGGGAAGTGAGGATACAATGACAAACTGAACTAAACAACAAGGTTTTTGGATTTAGAATCTAGGGACAGGGATAATTGATCGACTGCCGAGCCTGAGCAATTCTAACCTCGGCATGATTGGTAGAAGTTACAGGAGAAAGAATCTTTCAGACCCGGTAGTTGTCCCTCCATATCTGCACATCTGCATATCTGCACATCTGCATATCTGCATATCTATACACCTGCATTCCATCTGCTTTTTTTCTGTCGGTTGGGGTCTGTTGGTCTGTCTGTTGGTTTCCTATCCATCTGTGGATTCGTCTATTTTCATGCTGGAAAAGAATGATTGGAGACAGGATGGGGGGTGCCTTGCTTACATCCGCTTTCACTAGACAGTTCTGACAGATTGTTCCTTTATTCGTGATGCCCAAGTAATCCTAGTATTCCTAGTAATCCTAGCTCACGCGTCATGTATGGCTCCTTTTGATCACGCTTGTTTACACTTCCTTGTGGCCGGTCTCGGCATCTTTGTAAATAGCTCCCTATAGTTAGTATTTTCCCCGGACCCAACTCGAGATATATCCTTACAATCAGAGGATCGTGAAGCCCATTCCAAGCCCATGCAGATTTTCCAACCCCTTCTACGCACATTCTTTTATCTTTTGTCTACTTCCTATTATATTTTCTTCCGCAGTTCATCTCTCTCTCCTTCGTTTCTTGGACTTTTTCTTGCATTTTTTTTTATTTTTACTTTTTGTTTTTCAATTTCACGCAAAGATTGAAAAGATTGAGGGCAATTTTCTTTTTTCTATTAAGTCATGAATGTTGGGGCATCATTAATAGATATGAGTTTATTTCAAAGAGTTCATCTTCATTTTCTCATCCTTACTTCAAACACTTATATGAAAGATACACAATTATCTTGGAGAAGTAGGTCTTCATATCGGAAATATGGGGGAAGGCACACGAATGGAATAGTATCCCCCTTGGTCCCCGGATTCATCCCTCATTCGTATGCAGTGATGTGGCCCGCCACTTCAGTTTGATAGAGACGTAGTTTATAATGAGAATAGTCATCAACAATAACCTCTCGACACAGGTCCGTGGCCACGGTTTCATAAAGGGGGGAGCCATGATATAGGGATGTTGAGTTGTTAAGCAGGAAGAGTTACTTCGATAGCTACTATATGAATGTATTCATATTGCATTTTCGATGCAATTCTATACGTGTAAGGACAACCAGCAGATGCTCGTTTGGTACAACCGAAGCTATTGAAGTTTAATAATGACATCCATGTCTGCCAAGTACTTTGCCAAATCTTTTTCCACAAATTTCTTTATTACGGATTATCATCCTTTTCAACGCTTAGAATCCTTCGTTCTTTATTGAATATTCAAATATGAGGATATCTATAGACAAGCCACATTTCGAGCAAAAAAAATTACCGCACGACATTTATCGCAACCACTCAAAAGCAAGATCACTCAGTTTTTGTTGGACCTGCTTGAGCTTTTTTTTCTCTTTAGTTCATCCTTCTTCATCCCCGAACTACCCCTCATTGTCTCAGCGTTTCCTACCACCAAACAGAAAGAAATACCAGCAATAGACAGAACAAGCGTGGGAGCCAACATCGTTATTTTCTTCCCTTTTTTTGACTTGTTCTTTTTCAATCGCCTCAAGTCGAGTTCCTCTTTTTTCTCTTTCCTTGCTCTTCCTCTCAATGGACAAGTCCCTGCACGAAACTGGAATCCTCATTTACCGTCATCAGCGGAACTCAACAGAGATTTTATTAGTCAACGATTCTTTTAACCACAAACGACACTGGACTGCTCCCAAGGGCAGAGTTATTGGCGATGAAGACGAGCTCAAGTAAGAACAATAGCCGGCATTATGTTAGGCCCACATTCACTTGCAATTAAAGTCTGAATCATTACATTTGCTCTGTCGATCACACTTCCATGAATGATAAAGAAAAGGATTAAATAACAAACAATTCACTTGATTTGCCGCAATAGAGCTGCCTTGCGCGAGACCCTGGAGATCACTGGATTGTCTGTTTATGACTTGAAGGTTGAAGACTCTTTCCGTGCTGAGATCAAGTACCTCTCTGGAACCAGGCATGTCTCTCCCTCTCTCTCTCTCTCTCTCTCTCTCTCTCTCTCTCTCTCTCTCTCTCTCTCTCTCTCTCTCTCTCTCTCTCTCTCTCTCTCTCTCTCTCTCTCTCTCTCTCTCTCTCTCTCTCTCTCTCTCTCTCTCTCTCTCTCTCTCTCTCTCTCTCTCTCTCTTTCTCTCTCTTTCTCTTTTTTTTTTTTTTTTTTTTTTTTTGCAATCAACCACTGATTGTCATTGTGCATTGTCGTGGTTTACATTCAATACAATCCGTTGAACCTCGAAAGCATCAGCTTACCAATCTACCTCTCTTTACTGTATCGTCATGTAGACCAAAGCGTGTTGTTTACTACCTTGCTGAGCTGACAGACAGTGCCAAGGTCCTTCCCACAGGCGAGGGTGCTCAGTTCGCATGGTGCAGCCTGCAGCAGGCAACTGACAAGGCGCTCTATAGGACTATGCAGGATGTCCTCCGTAGCGCATTTACTGCGGCCGAGGCTAGTAGGGCAAAGGCTTTTGCGGCTGCCCCACCAAAAATGCACCGTAACCACTCTAACAACAGCGGCAATAGCGGCGACAATCTCGAATCCAATATGAAGAACCTCAACATTGCTCTTCCACTGGATTCTCAACGTCAGGCCATGACTAGGGACTATAACAACAGCCGCAACAATGGAGGCAGCAACCATGGCCACAGAGATCGTGACCAGCAACGTGATGGCAATGCCACCAGTACTCGTCATAGCAATGCCAATGGTATTTATATATATAATCATATTTCATTCCTTGTTTGGCCTTAAAAGTCCAAGTTCATAATGACCAGTGTACCTGATATTTTTTTGCTTATTTTACATAGGCAATAACTCTCATGCTGATAATCCTAACTACAAGACTCGTCTTTGTGAGAGGTATGAGGCGGAGCAGTTCTGTCCCTATTATGGGAAATGTACATTTGCGCACGGCTTAGCTGAATTGCGTCAGCGTCCAACCAATCCTGACCAGGAAAAGCCCGTGTCAGCTGTTCAAGCCTCGTACCAAAATCGTACCAAACGTGAACAAACAGAGAATGAGTTCCATAAGACTCGTCTCTGTGAACGTTTCATGAACGAGGGTGAATGCCCTTTTGGCAACAGATGCACCTATGCTCATGGTCGTGAGGAACTTCGTCAACGAGCTGGATATCAGAATAACAATAGTAACAATAATGGGGGCTACAATAATGGGCAGAACAGGACCTACTCGAGAGATGGTCAGAGTGGCGACCGCCCTTACAGATCTAATCAAGACGGATATCAGGACCGAGGTCTTCGTGCCCAACAGGGAAACGATAATCCCGAAGATCGCCCCTACAAGCCCAACCGCTCCGAAGGCTCCTATCGTTCAACTTTCGCTGATCGTGAGAACCGTGATGGTCCTTATCGTCCACCTCAGGCTCTTGAACAGGCGAGAGGCCTACGCTCCCAGGCCGATTCTACAAGTTCTACAGGAGCTTATCGTGCTCCACAGGCACGTGGTCTCTCCAACAGTATTGAGGATCCTGGTTTGAGCCGATCAGTACTAGCTCCCAGAGCGACCATGGCTGTTCCTGCCGCATCTCCTGCCACACCCGCTTCATCTTCGTCACCCCAACCACCGAGAGGAGTTTCGCCTGCCAACACCCCTGTCCTTGGGTCTGAAAAGTCTGCAAGCGGTCGCCGTCGCGGTCAGGATTATGATGTAAGAAATGAGACGATTTATAAACAGACTACCAGCCGTACGCTAAGCTGCATTATGTCTTTTTTTGTTAATCCTAATTTTATTTTGTTTGTGCATATAGGACAAGCCTCGTGCTAAAGTAGTTGAAATGTCGAGCGAAGATATGGAAAAGTTCCAGCTGCGTCGTCCAGAGACTCCTGTTGCTGCCAAAGCAGATTCTAAGCAGGCACAACGTGATCAATTGATTCAAGACTTGCAAAAATTCTTCCAGAATAACCAACAACAGTCGCAGGAGGGTACTTTGGATAAGAAGCAACAGCAACAGCAACTTCAGGAGGAGATCAAGGAAGTGACTCGCCTAGAAATGCGTAATGCGCTTACGAAGGCTCAGTTGTTCCACATTTTGATCGCTGCGTTATTCACTGAAGCTTCAGTAGAAACATGGAAGAAAGTTTTGGTGGAGAAAGAAAAGTTGCTAGCTAACTTTGTGCGTTCGAATGAGGATCAAATGACCTTGATGCGCGCATGGGAAAACCTTTTTGTCAAGCAACGACCCAACATGATGACCAGGGCACCGATTATGATGAAGGGCTTGTATGATGCTGAGCTGGTGGAAGAGGATGTGATGCTGGCATGGTACGATCTGTCAACCACTGATGCTGAGCTCAAAAAGAAGTGCGTCGTCTTTGTGGAGTGGCTTCGCTCTGCCGAGGAGGAGTAAAAGAGATCAGAACAACTAAATAGTATCTTTTGTTATCCTTATATTTTTATTTTATTTTTTTATTTTATTTTATTACTGTTTTCATTTTTATTTTATTTTGTTTATCGTTCGTTTTTTTTTTTTTTCTTCTTTTAACAATGAAATTTTGGAAGCATATATTATTCATTATTATCAGAAATATTCATTAGAGCAAATAATAACTACAGCAATAGTAGTGATGGTGATATGTAGTTAATAACATTTTGCTTTTTATCACTAGTTGAAGACTTCTAGGTGTCAAGGTACTAATATTTATCCCTGCTGCATCGCTCCGGCACCTTTCCAATGGATCACGAGGTTAGGACGCGCTTCTTCGATCCTGGAAGTGACTCTCTGCCAAGCATCCTGTTCGTCATCAGGATCTTCCTGGTTATCTTCCCCCTCATCGTCATCATGGTTACGGCCAGGAGAAGAATGTTGCGGTGCCTCCCGAGACCGATCACCATTGCCTGCGATTTCCAAGCGGATCAACGAGGGTAGCATTCCTTTAATAAGACATACACCCAACTGTGTGTAATCCTCGCGCGAGATACCGTTACAACCCACATCGAGGTGAATTAACTTTTCAAGAGCCTGCTGTGAGTTAAAGGAGGCGCCATTGGGGATGTTTGCACTCAGTGAAGAAGAAGAGGGGGGGGCATTTGTGGGTGACATGGTTGTAGAGGGTACAGAGCTGGGTGAAGAAGGAGGGTTTATCTGTTGTTGTTCTTCCAAGGCCTTATGAAGCACATTGATCTGGTTTTCGTACAAGCCTAAACTCTCCAGCGATCTTGCACCAACGAGTCCATGCCATCCTAGGACGCCAACCATGTTGGATCCAAGCTCCAAGTTTCTTAATGTTGCATTATACGATTTAGTTGCTGTTACTGCTACACCTTCTGATGATGATAATGATGCTTGCGTCGGCTCTATTGACTGTCCTTCATCTCCTCCTAACTGAGCATCCGTACTCGTGCTACAAGTAGGAGTGAGGGCCGCACCCAAGGCTCGTGCGCCTCTGTTCCCGATACGATTATTACGCATGCGTACAGTGATGAGGCTATGGTTATGACGTAATGCGTCCGCCAAGTATCCAGCTCCGATTGAAGAGACGTTACAGTAATCCATCCACAATTCTTGTAATGTAGAGTTGGATTTAAGAGCGGAGGCAATTGTTTCCAAGACAGTATCACCATCCATTCGGATTTCCCGTTCCTGCTCTGATGTCAGGGGACGATTTAAAGTTTGAATGTCATCATCAAAAGGGATCTTGTCTTCGACTCCTTCCTCCACCGGTAAGGGTGGATCCATACATGAGCTCATTCTCAATCGCTGTAATGCCTTATTGGACTCGAGTGCCTGTCCGATAGCGCGACCACCTTCTTCTGTGATTTCATTATCACTCAGATCAATCTCTTTTAGACCACCTGCGTCTGCCTGATTTTGGCTTGCCAATAATGTGGCGATGGATCGAGCCCCGGCCTCTGTGAATGAGTTGAGACACAGATCCAACTTTTGTAAAGTCCTGTTGTTGCCTTGAGTTATGGTTTGACAGAGAACTTGAACATCCTGATCTGTCAGTTTGTTTCTCGCCAGAATTAATTCCTGTAATGTGATATTTTTTTCCAACGCCTGAGCCAAGTATTGAACACTGGTCTCGTGATGTCCTCCAAAACCCTTGTTCTCCAAATCTAAACGGAGGAGGCCTTTATTCTTGCTTAAACCTTCAGACAAGAGTTTCACTACGGCTTCATTATTACCGAGATGGTCGCTTCCAATGTTAAGACGTTCCAGAGTGGTATTGTGTTCCAATGCGGTGGCTAGTATTTTGGCAGCAGTCTCATCAAACGAGTGTCCGGAGGCGTAGAATTCCTTGAGGATGGCATTATGAGTAAGTGCTTCAAAGATCTGACCGAGTTCTGAGGAGGTCACACGTCGGAAGGAGAGGATATGGAGACTCGTGAAAGTGGCATCGTTGTCGCGTAGACGCTTCACCCATGACTCGACACTGTTTGTGTTACCACCTCCCCAGGCCATTTTGTTATTTTGAATGGGTGGTTTTTAAAGAATAAAGAAGAGAGGTGTTTATTATTTGTATCAAATGAAGAATAAGAAAAAAAAAAAAAAAAAAAAAAAAAAAAGAGAATGAAATGGTTTCCAAAAAAGAATGACGAATGGATTGACGACAATTAAACTTTTTATCAAGCATTTAAAAAAAGTCAGGCACATGGGTGGCTTTGTTTCTAGACATGACAGATACCGATCCATCAGGAGCCTATCTGCCTCAGCTTCTTCAACTCTTGTTCAAACTCTTTCCAGTCAACGCGCAGCTGAGGATTATTCTTAGTGCTTGTACTAGAGTCGCTTGAGATGTTGCTCTGACGGCTATGAGGGTTGATTGCATCATGTGGGATTGTACCAGCTTCTTGCTGTTGAATAACAGATGTGGTTAGCTCCAATAGATGGTTGATCATCTCCTAAATGTATGCACAAAAATGGTAAGGAATAAGGATGACAATGAGTTTTTTTTTTTTTTTTTTTTTTTTTACACATATTAGAATCTTCTTTTTAACATGAATTAGGATGGACGAAGAGAGATATTTTTTGATGTCTTAACGGAGATTTTTTTTTTTTTTTTTTTTTTTTTCCATACCAATGATTCTGAACGTGGACCTACATCCAGACACTCACGTAGGCCATGAATAATCTTGCCCATATTCATAAAGCTGGATTGATTAGTGATCTTGTGGAAAATAACGCGAGCTTTGGCCTTACGGTCGATAGTTTTTTTAGATAGTCCCTGCAACTGTATTGAAAATGTAGGATTCATATCTTCCAGCTTCAAGAAATGAGATCGAATACCCTCGACAAGTTCATCCATCGCATTTTCATTTACTATGGACTATGTGTGATATCAAAAGTATTCAAACAGATTAAGTTTTTATCTTTTTACTAAGCGGTCTTACTCGACTTGGATACATATACAAATGCACGCATAAAACTCTGCACTTACCAAAGTATCATCCCTCAAAGAGCCTGGTTGTACCCGTGACAATGAGTTGCTGCTGCAATCGGAACATTTATAGAGAATGATCATCCTTGCAGTATCAGATAACCCAGGGTTTCTAAGCAACCTTCTCCGTAATGCCACAGAAGGGTCTCGCAACTCGTCTTCCGAAGGTAATAGTCCTCTTGCATGGATGAGATTACCAATCCATTTGTTATTCTCAGCATCTTTATTGTCGTTATTGTCAGCTTCGTCATATTCTTCAAGTAGCTTGAGGAATGACTTTATTGCTTGCACAGCATCTACTGGTTCAGGATAATAAGCCTCTTTTTCAGTTGAGTAAAGCATTGTGAAAAGATGATCGGTCCATTGGAAGCATTGTTGAAGGTAAGCAGGTGTCCATTGTTGATCAAACTGAATGGCGTTAGAGATGGGAATGGAAGCTTGTTGCAGAATGCCGCATACGATGGCAAACTCGTGATGGGTCTGCTCGAGACTCATTCATCGAACTCGAGTAAAAAAAACCGCAAACAAACAAAAAAAAAAAAAAAAAAAAAAAAAGTGAGATTGAGCGCCTGTGCATCTTGTAAACCATCACAATCAGTGGCAAAATAGAATAAAAAAATTCAATTCGCGCACGACTGAAGGGCGAAGCTTGGACATGTCAATCGAGCCCTTTTCTTTTATTATAATCATTATGATATGATGATTTACATGAGACGTGTGAAAATACGAATGACACAGACAAAGGACCCACACAAACACAGTGACTAGAAGAAAGGGGAGAAAGGGGAACAAAGCCGCGCACGCATTCTTCTTCTCTTTTTTCTTTCTCTCATTTCATTCTCATCCCAATCTCTCAACCTCATTCTGTTCAGACTTGACAAGAATAAAAAAAAAAAATTGATTCAAAAGGATATTTGCAACCAACTTTTAGCAAACTTTGTTAAAAAACAAAAAAAAAAAAAAAAAAAAAAAAAAAATGAGCGTTCGAAAAGCTACCCATGCTGGTTCCTGGTACAAGTCTAAAGGTAAATCCTTTTTTTTTTTTCCTATCTATTGCTTAACCAAGTTATATATTTTGGACTTCTGACCATTAATCCAATGCATATGACTTTTATTTGTATGACCATCTAGGACCGGAACTTGACCAACAGTTGACACGATGGTTGGCTGATGCAGGGGAGACAACCTCTACTGGCGATGCATACCCTATCCAGGGCCTTCGTGCCATCATTGCTCCGTAAGTCGTGAAAGGAAAGCTTAAAGGAAAGCTTAAAGGAAGTATTTGCAGTTTAAGAAATCGAACATAATAACTCACATGACATGTATTATCTTTTTCCAAAAAAAAAAAAAAAAAAAAAAAGTCATGCAGGATATTCGTTCAGTGGATCAGCTGCGGGGTATGCCTACAAGTGCATACAACCAGACGCTTTGTAAGTTGTTTTTATTTTTATTTTTTTATAATGCGTTACTTGTAAAATTGAGGAGTTAAAAAAAAAAAAAAAAAAATACTTTGTGCTTCTTTTTCAAATAAAAAAAAAAAAAAAAAAAAAAAAAAACTTTTTCAATTTGTAGCAAACGTGTATTTATTCTTGGACCATCTCACCATGTTTACCTGCCTGGATGTGCCATCTCAAAGTGCCCAAAATACAACACGCCATTGGGAGATTTAATCATTAATCAAGAAGGTATAAACGTGTATAAAACCAGAAAAAGCATACATGATGAAAGACGATCCTTCAGTTTTACGAGAAGATAAGTCTAGAGAACTTTTATTAAGTATATATACTCTTTTTTATTTATTATTTGTTATTATGATTGTTTGGACTACGAAATATGTAGTCAACAAGACATTGGAGAAGACAGGCCAGTTTGGGTACATGTCTCAGGAGACGGACGAGGATGAACATAGCATTGAAATGCATCTACCCTATGTTTACAAGGTTTTTGAAAACCACTTGGAAAATGTCACTATCATTCCTATTCTAGTCGGCGCCCTGACAGAGACCTCAGAGAAACAGTACGGGAAACTCTTGGCTCCGTTCCTGGATGATCCCGAGAATCTCTTTATTGTCTCAAGCGACTTTTGTCATTGGTAAGTATAACTCTTTTTTAAAACAATAATCATGATAGTATAACGAGGATAGTGCTTGTGTTGTATTGTAAATATTGACCAATTATTTTTTTTTTTTTTTTTTTTTCAACTACAGGGGACAACGCTTCAACTATACATATTATGCTAACAACGATGGAATGGTAACCCAATATTTTGGAGCAGGCCGGGCACAGAATCCTACAGATCCCCAGATCTTTGAGTCCATTCGTAGGCTTGATCATGAAGGCATGGAGAAGATTGAGCAACAGAGCCATTCGACATTTTGCAGGTATCTGAATAGGACCAAAAACACCATCTGTGGACGACATCCCATTGGCGTGCTCTTGGCGGCATTGGAGGATGATATGGCCAAGGCCAAGGCCTCGGAATCTATCAAGAAATATAGAACTCGATTTGTTCACTATGCTCAATCGAGTAGTGTCAAGTCGGCTTCAGATTCCAGTGTTTCCTATGCCTCAGCATTTATTCAGCGCGAACAGTAGTACAGTAGATGTTCTTTCATGTTCACTCATCCTTGTCTTCAGAGCTACAAAATAATAAAAATAAATATTAAACGCTGCAATGAGGGCAAATGAAACTAATGAAATCAATAAATATCTGTCAGTAAACCCCTCGAAAAGGAACTTTTATTAGATTAACATTTATAATGACATGAGAATGAAAGACTAAATTGGTAAGCTGAAAGAATAGAAAAAAGAAAACGAAAAAAAAAAGAGAAAAAAGAAAATACAAAGAAGTACGAGCATGGGAAAACAAATTAGTAGAGATGATGAATGACTACATTAGGAGGGGAAAAGAAAAGGAAAAAGGATATAAAAAAAATAAAAAAAAAAAAAAAAAAAAATGGAGCTTATTTCTTGCCAGATTCATTATAGCCTTGAGAGCGTGGAGCAGATGCAGGTGCAGACAGTGGAGCAATTTCATTAGAAGACTGAAGCGATGGACTTGAAGACTTGGCCTCGGACTTGGATAAAGGCCAAGCTGTTGAAGGATTTAGAAGGCTGGTAGCTACCGCTGTAGTAGAAGAAGCCTTTTGATGATGCAACCCCTTGTTAATGGAGACAGGCACAGCGGGTGAACGACGTTTGTGAACCATGGATTGATGTCGCCGAAGTAACATTTGCGCCGAAAATCTCTTGCGACATCCATCAATGCCGCACTCGAGCTCCTTAGGCCCATGACGCTCCAAATGGCGTTCCAATTGGATGGCATCAATGAAAACCTTTTTACAGTCATCGTATGTACAATGAAAGGGTCGTGGCCGAGGGCCTGCAGGTGCAGCTTTGCCATTATCCTCTTGGCCTTTTGTTTGGCGAGCACTATGCTCGCCATCATCCGACCGACCTGCCCTATCAACATCCGCTCCACTCTTGATGTCCTCGGTTTTAGCTACCAGCTTCTTTTTAATGTTTCCTTTGGTGGAGCTGCGCTCTTCCGCTTTTGGCTGCTTGGTTTGCTTAAGTTCCGTAGACTCTTTTGGCTTTTTAGTAGGGGTTCGCGTCGTTATCTCCTCATCGTCACCATCGTCTTCATCGCTGTAGTCTCCACCAGATTGCTCTACCTCCACCCAAGTTCGAGTCTTGCGGTCTAGTTCGACAGGATCTACAACATCGCCCGAAGCCACAATCCGAGGTTCGCGTCTCCTGGACCGACCAGGACGTTGTCTTGTAATACCGGGTGGATTTTCCCACTTTTCAGAACGTCGCTTGTGGACCATGGACTGATGACGACGCAGTAACATGAGGGACGAAAATAGCTTACCACACATATCCAAGTCGCATTCCAACTCCTTGGGCCCATGGCGCTCGATGTGCCTCTCAAGCTGTAGAGCATCCACAAATCGTTTACCACAGTCCTCGATCTCGCAGATAAAGGGCCGAGGGCGGCCTGTACCCGTAGGTGTAGCTGGGCTGGCCTCGGCTGGCTGGCGGCGGGATCCAAAAGCAAAAGGCCCATCTTCCGTAAGAGTGTTGTCAACAGGAGTGGCTGGAGTTGAACCGCGTGGAGAAGAGGCTCGTGATTCGGATCGTACCCGAGTCAGTCTTTGCAACTTTTCGGACCTCTCCTTTTCCTTGCGCAATTTAGACTCTGTGCCATCATCCCTATACTCTCTATGGACCTTGAGTCGTTTTTCTCCAGGAAGATAGTCTTTATAGGAATGTTTGCTCTTGACTCCTTTAGCGGGTGTATCCCCGTGACGCCTCTTGTTGTCTATAATCTCTGGTTGCTCCAAGAGACCCTGCGGGTCCCGTGATTCCCTCAAGGCAAGGTCTTGGAGTTTCATCTTTCGCTTATGACGCGCACCATGGAGTGCCAGAATCGGATCTTCCGTCAATAGGTGATGGTTGTGATGATGGTGATGGCGATGATGGTGGTGATGCTGATGGCTCGCCTGTGGATTTCCTGTCATAAGATCTAAATCCATACGATCCGTATCTAACTCCATTGGTGCTGCTGGCTCATTCAGCATCATATCTTCCTCTATGGGAATGGTAAATGAACCATGCATGTCCAATGGGATGGGAAGAAAACGAATATCAAAAAGTCAGGCTCAGATAACATCTTCCTATTTGTTTCCATGCTCTCTAAACTTCCCCCCCACCCCAAAGTCCAAAGTACAATCCCCCTGTTGCTCAATTTTTTTTTTATTTTTTCCCGCTTTCACTGAAAGCTGTTTGAGTGATGATTATTCACTCAATTGAAATAAAATGTTTCTCCCTGTGTTCCTCTCTCCTCTTCCCCCGAGTATTCAAATTTCTTCCCGCCAAAAATGAATCTGCAGGTCGGAAAGTGAACACAAAAAAAAAAACAGGCTGATTAATTATAGTTACAGAAGTAATCCCCCTGTTTTGTTTTTTTTTTTTGTGTCCTGCTGATTGTGTATACAGGGGCAACGCGTTGGTGTAATTGAAACGAAAAATGTATACTTAGACAGCTATACAAAAAGGATGAAATGGGTCTGCTTTCAAAAGCACCATAAAACGCACGGGAAAAAAGGTAGCTTTTGTTTTAAAATAAAATAAAATAAAAACACATAGTTTCTCTCGTTGATTTCTTAGGATAGTTGAAGTGTGTATCATGTGCATTCTTAGAATCGACAACGTGCCTTGGAGAAAGTAAAAATGAGAGGGGTTTACCCTTACCTGAGAACCAGATGGGCATCATCATCTCGCCTCCAAGGGTCTTGACAGAAACTTGCCTACAGATCCATTTTCGAGGCGCGGAATCTTTGGTAATAGAATCCTTGACCCGGCTTGCACTTGTCATGGAAAAGCCCGTCGATGTGGTCATTCCAATAGGTTGTCTTGAAGTTGATGGGATATGATCATGATGACGGTGATAATGTTGGCCATGTCCATGACCTATAGAACCTCCCTGTCTCTCGAGACGATCACTTCCTACATCGTCCTTGACTTTGGACTTGTATTCACCCTCGGACATGGAGGGCCACTTACGAGAGCTATCGATGCCTTCGAGAGCTAGGCTCCTAGAGAATGATTCGTGAGACGTCATCAGTATTAGTTTCAAGATCTAGAGTGATCAGTGTAGCACAAACGAGGGTAACAACTGAGAAGACGTCGCTCATGCTCACACAACAAATGTTGATAGTGACCACTGATATCAGGAATTGAAAGAAGCGCTGGTGTTCACATTTGATATCCCATCAGTGTTAATGATGCTGAAGAAACAATATCAAGGATAATAAAAGGAAGAAAAGCAAGATTTTTTTTTTTTTAAAAAAAAAAAAAAAAAAAAAAAAAAAAAAAAAGTGAAAAAAAGAAGTTCGGATCCGTCCCAATCACCGTATATAAGGACCCAGTATTCAAGCTCTTATTGTCCTGAACGACAGACATACAAATCCCCGTACTATGTGTTCTTTCCCCCTTCCTCCCACCCCTAGTGCAAAGAAGATGGTACCCGGGCCAGGCACAAAGGATGAGATCAATGATCAAGGACCACTCAATGTCGAGTAACAATAATTATATAAAAAAAATTAACGAAATAATCCTTCCCGCCCATGCCAACAGTTTCACTGTGCCACCAGATGATAGGACCGTTTTGTCCACCCATTTCATGCATCCTCATGCATGGCAACTGGTCGTGTTTATATTATATACAATAAATAAAATAAATATAAAGCCCGATTGTATGCGCACGCATCTTTTTTTTTTTTTTTTTTTTTTTGCCTTCCCTTCTATCCATATCCATTTATCCAACTTTGAATATTTGTCTCTGTTCCTCTCTCAAACAACTTTAAAGAAAAGTGAAAAAAAAAAAAAAAAAAAAAAAAAAAGAAAAGGATAATTAAGATAGGAAGTATGGGAAATATGTATAGATGGGAAGTATGTATAGAATGGGAAGGAGTGGGACATGGGACGCGACAAACTTCCATTTTTTTTTTTTTTTTTTTTTTTTTGGCTTTGCACACGCAATACATGTTCTGTACCAATCGTCATTTACTGAACATGGTGTCAATTAATTGCATCCGAGAACAGACTGGGAAGGAAAAAAAAAAAAAAAAAAAAAAAAAAAAAAAAAAATTGCCCATTTCACCTGGGCAAAGTGTCTTATGTATGCGCCTACCCTTCACTCTCGCTTGCATTCGAGTCATCTTGGAGAGAAGCAGTGTTTTCAAAGGGGACTTCCCGACGCGGCATCTGTCGTGCGGCCGTGGCCAACACATCTAGACCCTGCAAAGGATGATCATGATACAAAACCAGATCATGGTGGTTTCGTCGGTGATGGTGATGAGGATTTTGGCTGTAATTATCTATGCTCATGGACTGAGTCGAGTCAACAGTATTGGTGTGGTCTTGACGATGTGCTAGATGCTGTAGACTCTTCCTCCGGACATCGTTCGACGAGGTTTTGACGGCGGTCGTAACATTGGGTTGACTGTGCGCCAGAAACTTGAGCTCCCTCGGAGACGAAGGTTTGGACTCTAGATCAGGATCTGATTCTGAATCTGAATTAGGATGGGATTCTACGGTCGAATCGAATTGCGATTCAGAATCCGAATGAGATTCGGCGACGGACGGACGTTTTCGAGCCAGTGAAGTCGTAGAAGGGCCGCGGCGCGTTGGGTCGAGAACTCTGCTGAAGGCATCATTCTCACTATTCATGGATAGTGAAGATGATAGGCTCGTAAGCTCATCTGCATCATCGTCATCAAGGATTTTGTGGAGTTGTAAGTGGTGAGGATGTTGTTTTAGAGTAGGTTGTATAGCATCATTTCTCTTTTGATCTTGGGATCTGAACTCATCCACGTCCATGGCTTCAGAGTGCTGTTGAACGTCTTGACGAAGTGTGCTGTTCTGATGATGGTTATTTGCAGACGAAAACGTAGTTGATGACAGAGTTTTGGGCTTTGATGCTGGTGTGGAGAGTGTTGAAGATATTGGATGGGAGAGGTGATCTGGTGTGACAAGTTTGGATGAGAGTGCAGATACAGGAGGGGAAGGTAATGAAGGTGAGGACAAGTGTGAGAAGATGGGAGTGATAGATGGTGGAGGGGGAAGAGAAGGAGGGCTATAAGATATGGATGTCTGGTTGAGAGATTGTGATTGTTGTGGGTGGGCATGGATATATGGCTGTGGTTGTTTCTGTGGTTGTGATTGTGGTTGAAATGGCGAGACAGAACCAGTCTGAGCTGGGGATTGGGTGTTGATGTCCTCCATTCTCTCTTTACTTTTTTTTTTTTTTTTTTTTTTTACAAGTTGATGATACACTTTTCTCGTTATCACCTTGGTTAAGTTATGATAAAGAAAAAAGAAAAAAGGAAAGACGTCTACGTCTGCTGATCTGAAGGAAGTAAGAGGTGAATTCGTGAACGGTGTTGATATTGTGGTCAGTTCAACAATAACAATAATGTGTTTTTTTTTTTTTTAAGAAAAAATAAAATAAAATAAAATAACTTGAGAGAAGAGTAGAAAAGAGGAGAAGAGAAAAGAGAAAAGGGAGAAGAGAAAAGAAGAGAAAAGTGAAGAAAAGAAATGGATGATGATGGTGATGATAGACAATTTTAACCACAAAGAAATGTAATGTCTGTAGTGGCCAAGAACCAAGGACAAAGAAGGAGCTAGTGGACAAAGGAATGAAAAGAAGTGGAAAATGAAATGAAGAAGAAGAATGTGTCTGTTGAGAAATAGGATCGAAAATAGGTGAATGGAAGATAGGGTCCAATGAAGAATATAAGAGTTGATTGCTAAAGGGGAGACAAGGAAGCAAAGTAAGGACGGAAATAAGACTATGAGATAACGTACAAGTGGCACATTAGAAAAACAGAAAGAAGAAATAAACAAAAAAGAGTGGATTGCGGATAAGGAAGGAAGGAAGGAAAGGCAGTGATGAAGTGAAAATAAAGATGGAATGTGGAAAGAAGAAGAAGAAAAAGAAAAAGAGGAAGAAAAGGAAAATGAGAAAATGAAGGAACCTTTGTATTGTATTGTGTTCTGTAGTCTATCCGGTACACTGATTTTAAACAGGAAGGAAGGAAGGAAGGAAGGAAGGAAGGAAGGAAGGAAGGAAGGAAGGAAGGAAGGAAAGAAGGAAAGAAGAAGAGAAAAAAAAAAAAAAAAAAAAAAAAAAAGGACTTGTCCTTTCTTCTTTCTTCTTTACTACTTTACTACCCACTTTGCTTATCAAAGCTATCTTTCCAATCTGCATTGACATTTAACACCAGATGTTGAACCTTGACACGTTGAACAACGAACATTAAGCATCCAACAAAGAGGAAAAGAAAGAAAAAAAACTTGTATGCATATTAAGACCAGATAACGTTGTGGACACATGCACACCATTCATGCAATTTTGCAAACGACTTCAACTCATGTTGACTGTGGTAAAACCATTCTTACGATCACACTTATTTCTCTGTTTTCTTTTTTTTTTTTTTTTTTAAAAAAGATTATTATGGCTATGAATCTATTTTTCTATGGGTTTTTTAAAGTTTTAAAAATGACACTGAGAGGAAAGAGGATAGTAGCAAGAAAGGAGCTATTAGCATTGACACTCTCTCTATCTCTGTCTCCCATGCTCTCTCTCTTTCTTTCTCTCTCTCTTTGTTGCTTATTTTATATATATCCTTTTTTCTTATTTTATCTTCAATTGTCTTGTGTAATCGGTTGACTTCATCTGGGAAATGAAAAAAAAAATTGGCGGGAAAATATAATCGTAGAATAGAATAAGACGGATGCAATTATACAATTATAAATGTTATATATATTTTATGAATATTATGAACATGTAATTATATATTATATATATATAATAATAAGAATTAATATAAAAAAAAAATATCCCGTGGTGGTATGGTGAATGCCCCCTGTCCCTCTTGTTCTCTTCATGCATATATTCGATCCCGAATGAATGTGTTGCTCATTCGCGAAGAATGAAAAAAAAAAAAAAAAAAAAAAAAAAAAAAGAAAACTCATGGTCTAATGATCATTGCATTCAAGTCCAAAGTTCCCTATTGCATAATGATTTAGGATATTTGCGAACACAACCAATATAAAATAAAATTAAAATGACTCCATAGAATTTATATACATATGCATGGCTTAAGAACAGACATCATATATATAATATTTATATGTTATCGAATACAGATAAATATGTATAACGCTATCCATGGTACGGAAGCAATTAAATAGCGGTAGTGCACACAACGCGAGAATTGTGGTTGTTTGAGAGGATCTGCACACACCATGCAGCAAATAATTTGAGCATTGCACACATTTGGTGAGATGTGTCACTAAGAACCTCTGGAACTAACTCATGCAGGAGAAAAGCGAAAAAAAAAAAAAAAAAAAAAAAAAAAAAAAAGACGTATAAATGTATAAATGTATGCATTCAACTTGGCTTGTCGACCAGATGAAATTTATACACACGCTTTTTTTTTTTATTATTATTATTTTTACCGCTTTAAATATACACATTAAAAAAAAAAATGGCGGCAAAAAAAAAAAAAAAAAAAAAAAAAAACAAAAAAACAAAACAAAACAAAACAAATAAATCCTTGGGTTTTCGCGGGGTAATGGGACAGGTAGGGGCCAGACCATGAGACATATTTCTATCCATGTTCGGCATACATTGGTTGGTGTATAAATTGTATAATTTTACTTTGTTGCCATCCATCATTCAAAATGTAAACAGCCGGTCGGAAAATGCGAAACAACAAATGCCATCCCGTGCCAGAGCTGGATAAGAGTGAAAACAATATGTATATCTAAAAAAAAAAAATTAGCTTAAAGAGTAGCACCAGCTTTGAGTCATCAAAACGGGTGATCAACAAAAAGAGGTCATCAGTTCGTCTTCTTACCCGCCAGAAAATTTACTTGAATACTACTTCACTTTAACTGACTAGTCCATAATATGCTGTGTGAATCTCAGGGTGTCTTGTACTCCAAATGTACAATCATTCACCACGAATAACACTCTCACTTTTATATCGTCTACTCATCAAACTGATGCTCATATTTCTGGAGTCGTGCTCACGAACAGGAAGGAAAGAAAAAAAAAAAAACATCCTTGCTTTCAATGATTTTTTTTTTTACTAGTAAAACTTTGAGTGGGACGGAATACCCATCTGTTGGAGAGAGGATACACACAACCGGATATCTGTCTTTAAAATAAATAAGAAATGGCGGGATGCAGCATGATGTAACCATCCCATTTTCTCATGGAAAACGCGTGCATGCATGGTATCGAAGCTGTGCTTGGCTACTTTTTATATTTTCATTTCATCAATGATCCAAAGATTTTTTCAGACACAGCGTCTCTTTGTTCTATTTTCCTTCGTTGTAAATTATTGGTGTTCGACTATTATATATATATATATAAAATATTTTTTTGTTTTTTTTTTTACACATCTGTTCCTGCAGCAAACAAAATCGCATGCAAGACGACATCATCAAACAGAGGAAACGATAAACCAAATGAGGTTTGGTCATTTCCAAAGCTTTATTTCATGTCAACAGCATCGTTTCTGATCTGTGATTTAATGGATTTCCTTTTGGAATGGGTCGGATCCAAATTATTCCACTTAACCTTTCCTCACTGCTATTAGGCATTACAGACAGAGATCTGGCCGTCGGAGTGATCGCTATGACTATATCTAGCTGTAACTAGAAAGTGCTCTTGGGATACCCTCGGCTCCCAGCAATGGACCATACGACTTCTGAAGGAAGCTCCTTCTACATGTTACAGTTGCAATTCTCCTGGCTCTCCTGAAAGTTATAAAGCGGTGAGTATATATAATCGATATCAACCAGGCAACGTCTTATATAATGACTATCACCTGTCATCTCCCGATTGACACTCTCAGTCATCATGAGCGCTATACCTAATCAGTACGGGATACAGTCAGGAGCATTGGTGTGAGAACGTCTCCCAGGGGTGGATATGATACTAGCACAACTAGAGAAGACCTGTCCTGAGCTTTTTCATCTTCACTCTGTCGTGTCTCCATTAGAAAGATAACTCGACACTTCAGCTTAATTCTTCTGAAAGAAACGTGATTTCTCCCTCAAATCAATCTTCAAAAATCGCTACTCAAGAGCGAACATTATGATTTTGTCCTCACAGTTTTACAAGGCAGCATCTCCATGTTTTTAGAATCAGTTTGTACGATTACAACCAAGGAGGCATAAGAATAATATTTCCACACATGGTTGCTCTCCTCTATCCTGAATTTGAAAAGATTTTTTGCAATTTGGGTAGTTTTTTTTACGTCTGTTTTGTTCGCAAAATAAAATAGCTTATTTCTTTATATTTGCTGTGATATTTCTCAAAGCAATTCTGCTTTGCTTTCAAGCAAAGAAGAGTCTTAATGTAGATACTTACAACCCTGCAGTATTCACATGCCATCTAGTCTTAGCATCCCTGTCATCACTTTCTTTAGTTCTTATCGGAAAATAGAACCCTGGTAGATGTCGACGAGGGCTTGGAAGAGAGTCTTTAATACCTTGAAAGTAGCCTCCGGAGACTCATCAGTTTCTAGGTTCCTCCTTGAATTCCTTTGCTCGATGACAGCTTGGGACTTAGATAGTAATAAAAGTTGGCCTACAAGCTTAAGGCGAAATTGGCAATATCAACCTTTTTTTTTTTTTTTATCTGTTCTTGGTACATCATAGTATATATAGAAGAGCGGCACCCAAGAACGACTGGGTCTCATATACACACTATTGTATTGGCGAAGTTGATCTGCAATATCAACTCCACCCGAAGTGAAGAATTGTGAAAGCAAAAGCGAGTTTCCATTGTGATTGTAGGTGATACTAAAATCCACTCCCTCATCAAACAATGTGAGTTCATCTTCAAAGTATGAGGGACAGAAACCCTTGTAGCCATCAAGTTGGGATTGATACCCTTCATCATCAACAGTGTATTGCTGATCCGTCGTGTTCTAGATAAAAGTTGAAGGGAAATAGCACAAAAGCCTACATATAGTGGTATGAAAGCGTAGAAAAGTGGTACTTTATTGCTTTTCTCTCTCTCACTTTGACTTAAATTCCTCAGAAAGACATGAAGGCATAGTTTCAATGTATTAACCATCCTCATTCTCGAATGAACGAATGAAAAAATAAGCTTATAGTTCGGCCATCGCATTAGAATGTGCATGCCGAATGAATCATAATGAAATACTTCTCAATGCACCCCTGTGATGCCAGAGCTCAAGTTCTTTTAATTTAGCTTAAGGATGGATCGCAATTAGTAAAGTTTTTAATAAAAAGTTGTGACCAAAAATGGCTGCGGTTCAGGATAAGGCAGAGGGTCAAGCTTGTCACTCTTTTTGGTTAGTCCTTTTCAATTATAAGAACTTTGTTAAGTAAACCATTTATATTTGAAAGAGTCTAGCCAAAAAGAACGACAAGCTTGACCCTCTGGGATAAGGGATGTCATAGCCACGTGAGACGGGATTCAGCCAATCAATTCTTGCATTGAAAAGAAATAGAGACATCTATGTGTCGTCGTCTATGTTACTCTCTAAATATCTATTTTTCCTGCGCAAATTCTGTTACAAGTTTCAAGAATTCCTCTGGTTTCTCAGCATGTGCTACCACAACAGAAGCCGGAAAGAAAATAAACAGTAAATAAGCAGTACAAAAAAAATAAAATAAAAAGGCATCTTACTGTACTCATCTCCAAGTGATAATCATAGCCTCTAGCTCAAACTTACTCCAATGCCCAGCTTCTAATCCTTCGATCCTTGCATTAGGGAAGAGCGACTTGATCAGCTCGATCCCCTTCTCAGTGATGTAGTCAGATTTGTTGCCTTTGATGAACAGAGCCTTGCCACTGTACTCAGCTTGTCCTGGAACAAAATCGAATTGGCCCAGCTTGCTCAGTGAATTACCAATGGTTTCAAGCGGAACACGAAAGTTGAATGTGTCGTTCAAAGTATCCCGTTTCAAATTTGTCAGCAAAAATTGACGAACTCCCACATCCTAAAAATAATGAACTTTAGTAACATTAAGAGTACGAAGGACAGTAATGCACCTTGGGGAGTTTTTTTTTTTTTTTTTTTTTTTTTTTTCTTGTTACACAAATCAACTTACGGGAACTGCTTTTTTTAGGATATCATCTGCTTCACTTTGTCTCCTAATGCGGGCTGCTTGGATCTCCTTCAAGGATTCTACATACTTGGCGAATTCGGAAGGGATCTTTGCATTGATAGGGGCTATATCCACAACGATCAGGCGATCTATTGGAGTTTGGTTTAATGCAATGGTCATAGCTACCTTGCCTCCCCTTGTTTTTGGATGAAAAGCATAGTAAGAAATATCACTGTGTCAATGACCATAAAACACCTACAGATCCTTTTCTTTAATTATACATGCAGTGCCTCCGAACTCGAGATTAAGGTTCGATGCATTTGAATTAATATGCAACTGGGTTGATTCTGGTCAACCTCAACTCTTCTCAATTTGTTCCAATGCTTACATGGAATGACCAATGATAATAGGGTTTTCTAGGTTCCGTTCTTTGAGGAAATGAGCGACGTCTATCATCATATGACTGTAATCATGCACTTGGGAGTGTCCACTCTCTCCATGATTACGAAGATCCTGCGATCAAATAAACAGCACATTAGTAAATAGTAATAGGATAGATCAATATTTAATGCGCAGATGTTCTATGGTCTGAGAGCGTGAGTAGGCGCTACTGCTTTCCCGTAACGGCTTCCGTTGCTCAACGCCAAGTGTATATGAATGCGTATGTGAAAAGAGATAGTGACATTTGAGATGCGTAGAAGAAATGTTTAGACATGAGCTGGGAAAGTATGTCAAGGTATATAGGGTTGAGAAGTATTAATTGAAGATAGACAGACATATCCTCATATCGATCTCAATGTATCAGTTCACTTAAAAATATATATTTGAAAAGATGCATAAATGAATGACTCTTTTCCCTGAAAAAAAACTGCATATTTTGTTTTTACAAAACCCTTTACCAATGCAATGACTTGAGTATTAAGCCGAGAAGCCATTGCTTTAGAGAGTGATTTCCAATTTTGTTTGGACCCAAATAATCCATGGAGGATGACAATAGGCTGAGATTTTGCTGCTTCTTGAGGTACTGGTTTGGGCACATCGGCGAAGGACAGTGTTACTGGTGAAGAAAGGTTTGTAGAGGTAGAGAAGGGTCGTGCAGCGGCAATAGCGATAGTAACAGTCTGCGGTGTACGAAGGAATCCCCGCAGAGGGAGGGTCTTGAAGATAGGGGATAGCATGTTGAGTGTTCTTAATATTAGAATGAAAAGAACAAAGGAAAGGATTAAGGAACAAAATAGGTGAAATAAAAGCCACTGTCTGAGTTTTTTTTACGTCTGTGCGGAATGACAGTGTAACAGTATACATGTATATACAAGTGAAAACACGATCCTATCAAATCATGTCATCATAATTTTTTGATTCACTAAATTTGTCATTCTTCTTTTTGCTTCTACAATCAAAAGTCAGTCCCAACACTATAAAAAATAAAAAGACACAAATTCCAATGGGACAATCATCCTCATCTCTCTCTCCCGAAATGGAATCTACTCTCAAGGCCGAAATCGATAACATCATTAGTAATGTTAAATAAATCAAAAAAAAAAAAAAAAAAAAGATGAGTTCTCCCATCACTTTACTGATACTAATTTTTTTTTTCTTTTGTATTCTCACGAGTAGATAGTCATGATGTGGTCATGTTCTCAAAGAGTTATTGTCCATACTGTGCCAAAGCTAAGGCTCTCCTCGCTCAGCATGGTGTGAAGGTTTTTATTATGGAGCTCGATGATGTCGAGAATGGTGCTGCTATCCAGGCCTATCTTAAGGAGCTTACTGGCCAGCGTACTGTCCCCAACATCTTTATCAATAAGGAGCACATTGGAGGCTGCGATGATCTTTTCAAGTTGGAGAAGAGCGGTCAGCTCAAGGCTCTACTTGCTAAATTTTAGACACAATCCCATACAGTCAAAAAAGAAAATAGTCTCTATACTATTTAGTGATTTCCTTACTCTTGTATTCATAAACGAACTTCTGAACTTTAGAAAAAAAAAAAAAAAAAAAAAAAAACTTGTTTTCTAACCATTTTTTGACGAGGCTAGTTAAAGTAAAAGAGCTCAATTTTGGTGAAATTAAAACATTGAGTCGGAAATCAAAAGGATGGACGACATAATAAGAGCATTGCATTGACATGCGTTTAGAAATCAGTGTCGAGTGGGAGGGAAATAGACGGAAAGCAATGAAAGGATTATGAAGTACAGACAATTGAGCAAGAAAGAGAAGCATTTCGCACCCAGAACTTCTTTGGTATTCATGTCCCTGTGCCATCGCTGCATCCATACGTACATCTATATTCATATTGTTGCAAAATTTAGGGGCAGATGTGGTAGGAGATTTAGGTCGTTTTGGTGGATTATGAAGCCGGTCACTTCCAGCTGCAGATAGATAAATAATTCTAACACAATAAAAGAACACACACACTACTCAAAGACTGGACGAGAACAGTCAGTACTCAAATGGCTCTTGTGTAAAAATAAGGAACCTTTAATGATCTATGGCTACTAACGACGAACGTTGTGAGGGCTCTTTACCTGGACGAGAACAGTCAGTACTCAAATGGCTCTTGTGTAAAAATAAGGAACAAGGAGCCAGATTTTCCTGAGCTGTTGCTCGTTAAATAGTTGGTGGCGAACCCTCTACACGTGACTAAAACTAAAACCAACACCCCCACCAGCTGCGAAGTTCGGCTCCGCCAAGCCGCAGCTCAAAAAGAAAGGAACTCATTGTGCTGTTTGCGCTTCTACCACCTTGACTCTTGCTACCCCGCATTTTGGTCATTGCATCATTGTTCTTGTCACCCTTTGGTTCGCCTTGGCATCGACCAAGGAAAATTTTCTTTCTTCGGCCAATCATTTTGATCCGTGATCACGCCATTACTTCCACATGATGATGTTGCCATGGACATAAATGTTGGTTCATTCCTCCATTCCCTTTTTTTTTTTTTTTTTTTTTTTTCTTTTTTTTCATTCGCAACTCCTTCCTCCTTGCCCTGCTTGAACTACTTCATCGTCATCATGGCCCGCACTGTTATTAAGAAAGACGAGGTTCCTCCTTGCCCAAGACCAACCACTTCCACCAAGACAATGCTTCCCTCTTCGGACAAGAGCTTAAGTCTGTCTTTGGGCACGTCTCCAGAGTCGCGTCCTGCTGCCACTTCTCACTCTCCTATCACTCCTTCGACCCCTACCACTCCTCCTGCTTCTGCTTCTTCTTCTACTCCTGCCGTTGTTCCTGCTCCTGCCGTTGTTCCTGCTCCTGCCGTCGTTGTCACTCCCCCTTCTTCTGCTTCTCCTGAGGTGGTTGCCCTTACTGACCACGAGGTTGGCCCTTCCTCTGTTTCGCCATTTGCAGCGGAGAAGTCTTCTCCAGAATCTCCTCAGTCCCAGACAGTTCCCCCCCCCGCTCGAGAGCTAAATAAGCGGTCAGCTGAGGCCTTTCAAGACATAGACGAGCCAATTGAGAAACGCGTACGGGCGAAGTATCTTCTTCACGGCGAGGTGGCATTCTCCAGAGGCTTGGCTGACCAGTCGCGTCTTCGCGAGAGGCTTCGTTCACGGAAGGTGCAACTTGCGCCTGAGGAGCGTCACGAGATTGAGCTTGACCTGTCCTTGGCGACAAGGGATGTGGAGATTGGATTGGAGTGCCTTCGTTTGCTGTGTCCTCCCGCCCCCGACCCAGACTTGGCTGGTGTAATTGATCTGGCGCGAGAGGTTGTTCGGTGTCGGCGTAGTGGGGATTCTTCTCAGTAGCTCTCTGTAGGTTCTCAATAAAATCATCTTCCCATAATCGTTGCCTTTGAGTTGCGAGCTTGAGGAAGTCTCCATTAATTGTTTCTACCCCATCCTTTGTGCCATAATGCGTTCGACCCGTCTTGATCCCATATGATCCCTTTTCATTCGCCCAGACTACTTCAAATGGACCTAACCAACGCGGCTCCAGCTTGCGTCCAAAGCCTGTGACGAAATCCAAATTGAACATGTAAACCCTTGATCCTACTTCGAACGATTGTGGGCGAACACGTCGATCATAGTAACGTTTCATCCTGTCATTGGCATTAAGCTTGCATGAGTATGCATACTCACGGATTCCCTCTCTTCTTACGATAAATCTCGCCATGCTTTCTTCTAGGACTACATCGTTCTCTTCCGGTGCCTCTGCTGAAACGAGGAACTTGTCGTCCGCGAACAGTCGCCGTAACGCTGACTGTCCTGTGTAGCCCATAAGTGCTTCCATTGGCGACACTCCTGTGCTCCTAACGACTCGACAATTCACGTCGAATACTGCTTTCGGTAGGAATGCATCCCAATCCTTAGATCCAGCTGGCAGTACTCTCCTCAGTCGCTCCTCGATAAGCTTATTTGTCGCCTCGACCTGTCCCTGACTTTGCGGATGCCTTGTCGAACCAGTGACGTGCTTGATCCCCCAGAGGTCACAGAAAGTCTTGAATTCGTTACGAAATGCGGGGCCTCCATCCGATCTAATCATAACAGGGAGCCCGAACCGACAGATAATCTTCATAAATAGAACAGCTAGGACGCCTTGCGCGCCTTTGTTGGCCACTGCATGTGCTTCAGTCCACTTGGTGAAGGAATCTGTGAAGACGACTATGGTGGTCATCCCCCTAGGCGTTTCGACTAAGTTCTCAATCAAGTCAACGAAGAGAACTTCAAATGGGAACTCGGAGACCGTAGGATGCAACCTGTTATGTTTCACTCGACTTCCAAATTGCTGGCAACGGCCGCAAGACTTGACCCAGTGGAATACATCCCGTCTCATCGTTGGCCACCAACACACGTCACGAACTGTTGCTAGGGTAGACTCTGCTCCATAGTGACCGCCCTTGTCGTGTGCCTCCTTCAGCACACCCTCGACTTCATCCTCAACTACGCACCTCTTCTCTCTGTTGTCGGCATCTCTATACAGTAGGTCACCTTCCTTCGTCAGTCGAAACCTGTATGCCTGTCTCTTGATCCTCCTCATTTCAACTTTGTCTTCTAACTCCAGTCTCATCTCGGCTAGGTACATGTAGAAGTTCGCGTACCATTGGCTCGCCAGCCACTTTTCTCCTGTGGATTCTGCCCTTCGGCTCAGACACTCTGGCACCTCGTCATCGATGTCATCCGTGGCTATTCCTTCCGACATAATGCGACTCATCCCGTCTGCATTGCCGTTCTTCGTACCTGGTTTGGTCTTAATGACCAGCTCGAATTCCGACAGAATCATCTGCCACCGCGCAGGTCGACCAGTCAGATCAGTCTTGGAAAACAACCATTTGAGTGGCGCATGGTCTGTGTAAACGACAACGGACCTACCCAGGATGTAAGGCCGAAACTTCTTGACGGCTATGACAACGGCGAGGCACTCTTGCTCAAAGGTAGAGTAGTTGCGTTCGGCTCCTTGAAAGGTCTTCGAGTAAAAGTAGACCGGTCTCAACTTACCCTCCTCATCTTCTTGTTCTAGCACTGCGCCCATAGCGTATTTGCAGGCGTCACACGAGACCACCCAATCCTTCTCGAAATCTGGAGCCTTAAGTACCGGAGCTTGAATTAACTTGGCTTTGAGACCCTTTACTGCGGCCACCTGTTCAGGACCCATGGTGAAGCTTGCACCTTTCTTGAGGAGCCTCGTCAGCGGCTCTGCAATCTGAGCGTAGCTTTCGACGAACCTTCGATAGTAGCCCGTCAAGCCCAAGAATGCACGTACATCTTCCTTGCTACGTAATGGGGTGAAATTCTTGACCTTGTCAACTTTGTCTGGCATGACCTCAATTCCATCTTTGCCGACCACGTGGCCAGTAAACTTCACCTTGTCATACCCGAAATGGAGCTTACTAGTCTTGTACTTGACTCCTCCTGCGCGAGCTGCCGCAAACGTATGATCGAGGGCTCTCAAATGCTCTCCCCAGGTCATCGTGCGCACGCACACATCGTCCATGTACGCCTCAAGCACTCTTCCGATAAGGTCTGAGTACACTTTTCTAACGAAGCGACTGAAGGTATGTGGCGCGTTCTTGAGCCCAAATGGCATTACCTTGTATGCAAACGTCCCAAAAGGCGTACGGAAGCCAAGATACTTGACATGCTCTTTTTTGATGCCAATCACGTAATAACCTTGAAATCCGTCCAGGCTACTGTAGTACTCGAATCCGCCTAAGTTGTCAAGTATTTCCTCGATGTTTGGCAGTGGCCAGCTCTCCCTTTCGGTAACCTTATTTAGGCCTATGTATGCGACGCACTTGCGCAAGGATCCGTCTTTCTTAGGAGCAAGACTCAGCGGCGCGCACCACTCGCTCTCCATCTCTATGATTTTTCCTGCCTTAAGCTCATCATCAACACTCTTCTTAAGGAAGTCAAGCTCCTTCGGCGAGTACCGTTTGCACCATCCTACGTACACTGGCTTGGCGCCTGGTTGAATGTTGATCTCATGTTCTAAAATAGACGTCACTTCGAGGTCCTCAAGGTTGGTAGTCAGCCTGTCCTTATTCCTTTCAAGTAACTCCACAATCTGTCCGTACTGCTCATTGGACAAATTTGGGTTGATGTCCACGTTGACTCCGTCAACCGCGAACGGCTGCCTTTTTACGCGAGCATCGTCATTCTCGCACTGTATCTTGCTAGAGAACACTCTTGCGGTCATCGCCTGCAGATCCGGGTCACCGACCTCTATTGTCTTCACTCTCAAGGCTCTGTACCCTGCATCAGCATCGGATTCTTCCGTCTCGTAGATTGATTCGTCATCCTCATAGTCGTCGTACTCATCATCATACTCATCGTTCTCATCAGACAAGTACGTTGATGTCGTAGGCTGAGGGGTTGAGGCGCGAACATTTAGACCGCCACCAAGGGTGATAGTCCTTCCCTCACTCTCCACGTAGTACACGATACCGTTGCTCCAATCAGCCTTGGCTTTCAGCGCCTTGAGCCAGTCATCGCCAAGGAGGAAGTCATATGTGCCCTTACAGTCGATCACTCCCATCGACATTCTCAAGGGGATCCCGGACACATAAATATCGATAGGTCTTGTGCGGCCCGCAAGCTTCTGGAAGGACCCATGGGCCAATAGCACCGCACGAGTAGCAGGCTCTAACTTCAGTCCGAGTGCGTTTGCCACATGTAGGCCCATCATAGTATGGTCATTGCCTGGATCAATAACGGCGTTGTTGAAGTCTCGTCCCAAGGCGGTGACGGTCGTGACATCACCTTTGCCACCTTGAACGTTCCTGGCCATAGCTATTGCTGACTGACTCCTCTTAGGCTTGCTTCTTCTTGGAGGGGCATGGCGGGCCCAGGCCTCGGTAACAGCTGCCTTGAGTTGCACTGCCATCTTTCCACGGTACTTGGAGTGAGTGGCCAAATCAAAATTCAATCCTTCGACCGCATCAACGAACACTGGATCAGGAATGACACGCTTCCTGGTACGCTTTGGCGTCGCATTTGGAGCTTCTGCAACATTATTCTCTCGCCCGTCGACCGCTCTGTCATCAAAAGTCACTGTCTGGAAGTGGGGGTCCCCAGAAGGTTGCGCACTACTAGTGGATGCCTCAGCCTCCCACTGCATTCCTCGGACAGGTGGAGTAGTGCCTCTCGTTTCCTCTCTTCGTTGAGACGATGGACCTGCAGGAGTGCCTGTCCTCTCACTGCGACGTCGCTGGGCACCTGTCGAATTTAATCGCTGTGGCTTAGTCGTGATAAATGATTGGGCGACATTAGTGGCGGAGATTTCTAAACTTTGCACTCTTAGCGAGGAGTTAGTTTGAGTGGCCAATGGGACGCTATTGGCGCCTGTGGCGGGGCTTCCTTGTTCCTTAGTGCAAACCTTCGAAGTATGGCCTCGCTCGCCACATCGGAAGCATTCCACCAATGGGCAGAACGACAAGAGGTGCCCCTCTTGATTACATTTATGGCAGGTTCTACGGGCCATAGGGATAGCCTGCTGACTTCGAACTTCGGCGGGTTGGAGCACGGCATTAGGTCTAGCCTCCACTCTAATATGCTTGGCCAATTCAGAGGAACCAAACACTCGCCTCGCTACAGCCGGGCTCATTCTTGAGATAGTCTGAGCGATTCGCGCCTCCGGAGTTCGCTCCTCGGCAGCAAGGGTCCAGGCTCCGAACATGTCTGTTAATTCGTCTACGCTTAATTGATTAACTTTCTCTTTGTCGTCTTTGAAGTCCGCTAGGAAGCCAGAGTAGTGCGTCCTCGGCACTAGGGTCGATCCAAGCAGAACATTCGTCTCGATTGGTGCAGCATGCTCAGCGTTGCTGCGAGCTATGACACGGCTCTCAGTGGTGTCAATGCCCCAACGATTTCCTTCAACCAATTGTGTCACTGATTCGAAGGTTTCCTTCAAGGTCGCAGGCGCTTCTTTGTTCTTGACCTTGAAAGGATGGTCTTGCCTCAAACCCTTGCAAAATCTGTACGCCAGTAGACGCTCGGTGGCTGTTGGGATCTTGTACGGCTGTGCGTCGCAACCAGACTCTGGGTCGAGGAGTTCCATGGTAAGTTTCATTCGTTGTACATAGTTGGCTGTCGTCTCATCTTCTCCTTGCTTAATAGAATGCAACTCGTCCAGGGTGACATCCTGGCTTCTAGGGGTAGAGGCCTCCATGATGAAATCGCTGACGAACTGGCTCCAGGCACCATTCGTCTTGTTTGTCATCCTCCAGCGCCTGATCCAGCGTTGGATCTTGCCTGTCGCCTGCCTCTCGACGAACATCAACTTGTTGCTCAGGGTTTCTCCTTCGATAACACCTCCAAAATCGCTGATCCATGTCGCGGCGGTTAGACCCTCAGCCTCTGCCGACGGCCACTTCGGGATCATGGTAAGAAGAATCGATAAATTGGAAGACATTGTAGCTGCCACCCCCTGCGTAGATCACCAGAAATATTGTTGCAAAATTTAGGGGCAGATGTGGTAGGAGATTTAGGTCGTTTTGGTGGATTATGAAGCCGGTCACTTCCAGCTGCAGATAGATAAATAATTCTAACACAATAAAAGAACACACACACTACTCAAAGACTGGACGAGAACAGTCAGTACTCAAATGGCTCTTGTGTAAAAATAAGGAACCTTTAATGATCTATGGCTACTAACGACGAACGTTGTGAGGGCTCTTTACCTGGACGAGAACAGTCAGTACTCAAATGGCTCTTGTGTAAAAATAAGGAACAAGGAGCCAGATTTTCCTGAGCTGTTGCTCGTTAAATAGTTGGTGGCGAACCCTCTACACGTGACTAAAACTAAAACCAACAATATTGGATATTATTGGCATTTTACATTTGATTAATTGAAACTGTATTCTCGACCTCCAAATGAAAGTGACAATTGCACCTCCTTTCTTTGTCTGAAATCTTCCACTGCTTCAAATCTTTTCCTACGCTCTTCAAGACACTTCATTCTTAATTGCTCAATAGTCTTTCCTCTTCCTCCTTTCTCTTCTTCCCTTCCTTTCTAACTTTCTCCATACTTCCTTCATTTTAGTCCAGTTACTCTTTCATTCTTTCTATCACTTGATATTCCTATCTCTCTCTCTATCTTTCTCTGGCCACCTTTTCTGGCGCCCCAATTCTCTACAACGCTTGTCTCTACGTCCATGGCAGCCGTCTTTATTCTCTGTCCCCCTTCACTAATAATCAATAATCCAAGCAATTCATCCTTCTCAACTTGACACTAAAACAATCCATAACATTAGCCAAAGATTCAACATCACTAATATCAGCTGTTCATACCTGAGTAACCGCAGACACAGAGCAAAGCCAACAGGGACAACATTAGCTTCAGTAACTCTAGTTAATTAAACCCGAATCTTAACAGTGGTTTACAATCGCTAGATGAATCATCACAACTCGTACAATCCGACTTCTATTGCATGATCCATTTGCGTCCTCAGGATTAAACCTATTCCTCTCATTCTTTTTCTCTTTCTTTCTTTTTTTTTTTTTTTTTTTGTCATCTCCTTCCCACGCTCACCTTCATTTATCCATTCTCAATTGAATCACTTCTCCACATTCCGCAAGCGTATTCAGCTTTATTTATTTATTTATTTTGACGTACACGACTACGTTGAAAGTTCTGACTTGTTATTCGTTACAGCAAACATTCATTGGATGGAACTATGGCTCAGCAAAAAGTATCTTTCAAGAAATGGTGGAAGAATATCACAGGAACTAAGGCAACAAAAGGTATAGTGGCAAAAACACCTGTCGCCGATTTATTTAATGTTTCTCCGGAAATGAGATCTTTTCTATGCAATCAAAAGTGGAATTGGGCTGTCCTCAACAAGGATTCACTCTCTCTGGGCTGGAGTAAATAGGCACTGCATGAATGGACATTGTATTCCCTAATGATTTTCTGGACAATGGCAGTGCCAGCCATTCGCCCTTGTTGATTACTGTTTTCCATTCACACTTTGCCCATCTTTCGCATTCTCGCATACGCACATGTTGTCTTTTCACTAAATCAATGGCAATATCTTTCTGTTGACACTCATCGACACTCAGGTACCACTCAAGGAAGACCAGATTGATAGTTTTTGCATTCATGCGGAGACTGGATTCAATATATAAAAAAGGGCACAGGGACACTGCCCAGGTGGGACGATGTTTATTTATCTCAGACATACAACCTTAATACTCTCGATTTAATAATTCGAGCATCGCCAACACAGGGGTATCAACCATATATGTGTGTGTGACAAGGCCCAGCTTGGGGGCAGCCTCAAGTGAACAAGTGAAAGATTATCTGAAATCGTATAATGAGAGAGTGATCTATGAACTTGCCAAGGATATTAACAGGGTTTTGGTCCAATGTGGGCGTTCCTTACTTGAATATGGAGTCATCAAAAAAGAGTGTTTGAGAGGGAGCCCTTTCCTAATCAGAGAGTAGAGAGCCTGTATAAAATAGTGATGATGGCAGTAATGACACAACCACACCGGATAAATTAGTAAAGGAAAATTATCGTCTGACACGTCTCTTGTCTGTATGTATCGCGTAAAGTAGGACTTTTTCATGTCGAGCTCGTTGACTCCATCGTCTATGCAGGAGTGCCAGTGCAATACACGGTTAATGGCCAAACGCGGTGTCAGGGATATATTCCCACCATAGTTTCAAAATGTGGCTGGTACTTGAAAGAAAACGGTAAGCTCAAGCGACGCATCCATGGTGTATAATTCATTAAAAATGCAAACAACAGTAACCAACTTCTCAGAACATGGCATTGTTGCTCCTAAAACCAATGATTATACAGCCACAAAGGCGCGAGGCATCTTTCGAGTCAGCGGGTCTGCTAAGCGCGTATCGGAGCTACAGTTGATCTTTGATACACCGCCAAAATATGGGAGTCAACTGGACTGGACCGGCTACACAATCCATGATGCATCAAACGTTTTCCGTCGATACCTTAATCATCTACCAGACCCAGTCATCCCATTGGAGTTCTATGAGCGGTTTCGGGATGTTCATCGTAAGCTAGCAAACAACAAAATCTTCGTCTGACAGAAAGTATATAAAATTGTATAATCAAATGTTATCTAAACTAAAGTCGTTTTTTTTTTTTTTTTTTTTTTTTTTTTTTTTAAAAAAAAAAAACAGGGAATTTGACAGACGAAGAGGAACAGATTGCTGCATATCAGGAGTTAATCAGTAAATTACCTCCACCACACTCTTGTCTCCTCATGTACTTACTGGATCTATTGGCTCTTTTCGCCTATCACAGCGAAGATAATCTCATGGATTCAAAGAATCTAGCTTCTGTTTTCCAACCCGGAGTCATATCACATCCGAACCATGCCATGTCTCCTGGAGAATACATGACCTCTGCAGCAGTACTAAAGTTCCTCATCGATCATCAAAGCAGTTTCACTATGCCTCAGCCCAACATTGATGAAGAAGATGAGGAAATGACTAATTTTGGATTAAAGGACCAGCAACCTCAGCACCAACATATGATCCCAAATCGTGACAGTTTTAGCTCAGTATTCCGAGCAGGCGGTTACGTAAACGCATCTGATCACGAGCGCATTCACAACTCAATATCAGGCCGTGGTATTAGTTTTGAAGCAGAGGATGCAGTGCGCATTTTAAATCCCGAAGTCAGGCGGCAACACTCGCTTCATAAGCCTATTATACCGCATTCAACACTGCCTGGAAACCCACCACAGAGGAGCAAATCGACTAATTCCAGTATAAGCAGCCGTCATAGCAGCCAGTCTGGAATCTTCTCAAATTCATTTTTGGCACGACGGCGGTCGAGCAGGCACTCGAGGACGGGGTCTAAGACCCTCGGAGATGTAGAACAAGACCTTTCAGATATACCCGAAAAACTCATTTTGGTTGAACAAAAAGAAAAAGGGAAAGATCACACACGACCTTTGACGCCTCGCGACTCTATGGTCCGCAGAGCTGTAACATCACCAATAATAGGGTTAGATGACAATAACACTGAACTGTCCTCCCATCATTCACGACGAAAGCATATGAAGGGAGATGGACACCGCCGCGAACCATCGGTTTTTTGTCAAACAATTGAGGTTCAGTACACAATAAACAAACCACCAACATCTATCCGTTCACATTCTTCATTCGTGGGGTCACCACGAAGCGAACGTAGCGTTCAGCCAAATAGCGATCCTTTGTCGGGAGGAGGTCAGGGTCGGGATGGTCCAAGAGGCTCATTTGTTTCTACAACATCACATGTTCTCATCCCTGACCAACTGATGGAGCATCGTGAAATGAGCCCCCATCCCTCTCAACAGGGCCCACAAAGACCAACCCCTGGACAGAAGCGAACATCTATACCCTCTAGACATGGGCTTCAATCAACCCAATCATCCTCAGCTATAGGATACGATGCGGCAACCTCTCAACACCCTACCAATCCAAGAATGCCAATCCTCCGGACTAAAAGCAACCCAGGAGAGTTAGCAAGTATAACTACTAAAGGGATGTCCCATATACCACAAGGATCCTATAGTAGCGGTAGTCAGGCAATTGGAAAGTTTAAGGGTTTGTTTAGTACCAAGAACCGCGATCATGACTCCGTCAATTCCCCACGAGATGGAGATAACAAGGATGAGGAAAAGGATAAGAAGTACGAATCCTCGACCACAGATAAACAAAGGAAATACAGAAGCCAAGAAGTGACGCCAAATCATTTGCAGCAAGGACTTTCGTCAGTAGTAGCAGGAATGAGGAGTGCACCTGTCCGCAGTATCATCAAGGAGCATGAAAGTGGCCACATTCAGCCTCCACCAACATTGCCTCAGCCTCAACAGCAGCGCACAAAGGCCATGCCGCCTCCAAGGCCACCGCCTCCTGGGCCGGAGGGCTCGTTAATGGATTTCTTGGACCCACCGCAGCGTCTCGGCGACCAGCACTCTGGACACTCTTCGCCTTCTGGAGGGTCACGGTCAGCATCGCCGGCGCGCGTCCCTTCGTCACGTCAACCTCTTTCAGCTAACGCATCTTTTACCTCGACATCATCTGCCAGATCAACGTCGAGCATTGATCGATTGCACCAAAGAAGGGGCCCTCTGCATCAGGGTAGCTCAAGTTCCTTAGAAATCGCGATGTCAGCCTCTGCTGATGATCTTCATTATGATCCCAACCGTAATTCACGTCAGCTTTCTCCACGAGCGCCCTCAAGGCATTCACCTATAACTGATGTATTCCCTCAGAATCAGCTTCATCCCGACCAGCCTTTATCACAATCACAACAGCACCAGCATCTTTCGCTTCACGTCTCTACACACTGCCATCACCTACCGCCCCATGGGACTCATCTCAGCCATTCCCCTGTAGAAGATTACGGAGGACACCAACAACACTATCGCCATCCACATCAACCTAGTGAATCAAGGAGTAGACAAGGCTCACTTGGATCCAACCAAAGTAATGAAATGTTTGATATCAACACATTACCAAACTCAGCCTCAAGACCAAGGGAGCACCGACCTGTTCGTGAGCGGTCCTCGTCATCTGTTCGAGGGGATGAGACGTCACCCAAGGCTCGAAGTGCTTCTTCGAAAAACTCATCGCCTATCCATTCGTCAGCGCCATCTTCATTATCTGCATCTGGATCTGGTGCTGGCTATCGTCATCACTATGGATCATCACCTTTAGTAGAGAGACAAGATGCTAGCTATACTAGTCTACCGCCTTCGAGCCGAGCCAGGAATCGCGCCCAGAGTCGAGGCGAGCAGCAAATTCTACAACGGCAACAAAGTGCCATTGGTGTTGTTGGTGTTGCAAATAATATCGCTAGCAACAATAACAATACTAATGTTGACAATCATAGTCGACCTTATCTTGAAAGAGAGCGATCACGATCAAACACAGGAATGACCATTTCATCAACTTCCGCTACTTCGTCTGTCAACTCTAGCCCCGCGATACCGCCCGCACCTACCACTCGTAGTCATACCAGCCACAGTAATAACAGCAGCACTTCCTCGCTCGTTACATCATCGACTATCACGACTTCAAAGTCTTTGCGATCAGGTAGATCTGCTCCAACTACCCAATAATGAGACTATTTTTTATTTTATTTTATTTTATTTTATTCTTTGAGACAATCAGCATAATGTTATTTATTCTGTCTCTGTCCTATTTTTCATGCAGCTCTTCACCTCTTTTTTTTTTTTTTTTTTTTTTTTAAACCTAAGAAGCACCCCTTATTTTGAAATAGCAGAAAGTAAAAAAAAAAGTATGCACCAAAAGACTAAAAAGAGCATCAAAATAAGAATCCTTTGTGGTTTCATTGTGTTTAATAGTTTTTGTATAGAGGCATGGTTTTATTTATTTTATTTTTACTTTTTCATACAAAAATATTATTATTATTATTATTATTATTATTATTAATATTTTCAAGTGTACTTAACGTACTTAGTAACATATTTATTAAGAGTTTATGCTGTCTGTTATTATTCCCAAGGATTGTCAAAGACCTCTTGTGCTGAAATATCCTTTTCAAGTGATTCTTTAGGCATTTGCATGATCTCCATAACCTTTGCGTTACTCTGATTCAGTAATGAGGCTGCTCCCAAAAAGTCGGGGTCCAGTGATGCAGCTTCTACAGCATCCAAAATGTTCCAATTACTTGTTACAGTGCTTGTAGACATCGTCGTAGATTTTATTAAAGGAGGAAGCGCTGTCGTTTTCAAATGTGAATTAGTACTGAGCGACGTTGCGTTTGCTGTTGCACTACTGCCGAGTTGTAAAGATGCAAACTCATCAAACCCACCAATGTCTTCCTCCAAAGAAGGAATACATGGTGTTGCTGTTGCCGTCACAAGAGTATTTTTAGCAGTGAGCACAAATGCGGTCTCGGGTAAGAAGCTATTAGTGCCACTGATCATGGCATCCGATTGAGTATAATTAATTCCTGCATTTGCATTGCCCACGGGTCTCGCATGCTCTGGTGAGTCCAGAAGCGAGTTCATCCATGGATTGGGGCCATCTGACACATCCTCGCCCAAAGAGAATCCAGATAGCGACTTGGGTTGGTGCATAGTGCCTGCACCAGGACTTGACGTAGCATCCGCCGCTATAGCAGCCCCTGTTGGTGATGAGCTCGAAGATACAGCCCTCAAGCTGCTGAATCCAGTATCTAAGAAGCTTGAGGACTGGATGTTTGTAGTTGCGTTAAGGAGAGAAGAAGATGGTCCTGATGTGAAAAAAAGATCCTTCGAGAACGCCTCAGCTGCATCGTCTTTAATTGCTACATTCACTAGAACTCCAGATTTAGAAAGAGGCGAGGATGAATTGCTATCGTTCTCACGCTCGAACCCACTTTTGCTAAGGGGTGGGGGTAGGATAGTCGTTATAGCGCTGCTACTTGCCGCCGGTGATGTTGCCCGTGAGATGGATTGGAAAGTTTCAATCGACTGTGACGTCGCCGGCGAAGGCGCAGAACCCGAAGGCTGTGTAAGAAGATTGAGGATTGAGTCGACAGAAGCTGGTTGTGGTTGCTGCTGTTGATCCAGGTTTGTCTTCTTGGCTTGAATGGAACGTATTGCGGACGCACCTGATCCTGATAAAGTACTTGGCTTTGTATTTGCAACCTTTGTAGTAGTTAGTTTTGAGTCCTCCAATAGCTCCTGACTCTGAATACTACGGCTACTCTTGATACTTTCATGGCTTTTAGTGCTAGCCTGGCTATTAGTACGTGTTAAGGAATTGGATGTAGCAATGGCTGATAAAGGAGACTTGATCGATAATACATCATCCTCCGCCTCCCTTTTGACATCATCCCCACTACCATTCAGAAGTGATCCTAAGGGAGATGCTTCAGCATCGAGAGTTGTTACCGTTACCGTCGTACGCACACTGCCAAGAGGAGGGGTTGACTGGCGTATAGATCCTATGAGATTACTTTTAGGTAATGGGGGTGTGGATGTCCTCCTGGAGGATGAAGAACTGCCTGTAGAACTGCCTCCACCAAACAGTAAATCCCGTTTTGCAACCGATAATGTGGACGAGGCTGGGACCGTCACCGAGTCAAACATGGAAGGCGGTCCACTTCCGGAGGAGTCACCACCTGTTAGAGATGAGAAGAGTGCATGTTGCTGAAGACGCGAAGAACTGCGGGAGTTGTTACCTGAGCTAGGAGGAGAACTACGCACTGAGGATGAAGTAGATGTTGCGATTGTCGTAGTAGAGGTATGAGGGGGTGAGAGCGTTGCCTTGGCGGTTCCGCTGCGGGTAGTGGTGGTGGTAGCAGTGACAGGTGGTAATAGAGCAGCAAGTGGATCACGGTAGAGATCACCTGAATTCGAAAGGCGACTGTGGCTACCAGATGTAGAAGAGCTTTCTGCAAAGACCAATAAGAATAAAGCACGATGTTAATATGAATATAAAAGGGCACCCTTGTTTTGATGCATGAGGGACAGAGGCAGATCGCTCAAACCACGGGGAGAAGGATAAATGAATGAAGGCCTTACCAACAGTGTCACCAAAAAGATGACCAAACTTTGAGTTAGAAGACCCCTTACGTGACATGGATAGATTGATGTGGAGCTACTAAGCTTTGGAACGGTTGAAGGAATGGACTAGTGGATCAAAAAATAAGAGAGATGTAATGAACGGCGCATGCATGTCAGTAAGAATGACTTTATGCAATAACAGATACCTCAATATTGCATGCCAAAAAATTAGCATGCGCAGCCACTTTGCCACCAAAACATGAATATAAAGTGGTGTTTTATTAATTTTCAAGTTTTGTTTTCCTCCTTTCTGCATTTTAAAAGAAACACAACATACAGTTACACAGTCAACACTTTACAACATGGAACACGCTCAACAACAACATGAAGCCAATGTTATGGAGGAAGAAGAAGTTGACATTGCAGAAGAAGGCCATATGCGCAGTATGTTTTTTTTTTTTTTTTTTTTTTTTTTTTTTGACCATGTCGAGACAAAGAGGCAGGCTCATTTGACACCTTTGGCAAACCAAATAACTCATCCTCATTGCTTTTAATTTTATGTTGCCTCATTCAAAGCTGAGAAACTGGAGGTAAGTACAAAGGAAATAGAGCGCCTGGTGACGTTCATGCTATTAATGGTCCCGTGTGCTTTTTCTAGTTACCTTGTTACCTCTACTTGTATGTTGATATTTATTAAGAAAAAAAATAATTAAAATATGGTAGGAATGCGGTATTCAAACAGCAGATATCAAGAAGCTCAAGGATGCAGGATACTATACTGTTGAATCAATTGCATATACCCCCAAAAAAGCCCTGCTTCTTATCAAGGGTATTTCCGAAGCCAAAGCAGACAAGATTATTGCAGAAGGTATAGCATGACAAAGACGCCAGAGTATAATTAGCATCTTTTGTTACTTCACCTTATTCTCGGTGCATCTACTCTGGGAGGGAAAGTTATAACAGTCTTCTCCTTTGGTAAAAAAAATTTTAGCCTCACGGTTGGTGCCTATGGGATTTACAACAGCAACCGACTTTCATGAGCGCAGGAAGCAGATGTTGATGATTACTACGGGATCTGCAGAATTGGATAAGTTACTTGGCGGAGGGATCGAGACAGGTGCCATCACAGAACTGTTTGGAGAGTTCAGGACGGGAAAAAGTCAGCTTTGCCACATGTTGGCCGTAACATGTCAAGTAAGAACCATTACTGAATTTCTTACAAGGTTATATGAATGAATACTTGAAACGCCAATTAATTTTTTTTTTTTTTTTTTTTTTTTTGGATGGGGATCATAGCTTCCTACAGCAATGAGTGGAGGCGAAGGAAAATGTTTATATATCGATACTGAAGGTACTTTCCGTCCTGAACGTCTTATTTCGATCAGTGAAAGGTAAATATTTTTTTAACTGTGTTCATCTCATTATCTAATTTGGATGTTCGCTGGAAATACTTAACGTTTTTTTTTAAAATAATAATAATAATAATAATAATAATAATAATAATAAAAATCAATAGATATAACCTCAATGCTGAAGAAGTTCTCGATAACGTGGCGTATGCTCGTGCTTATAACACGGATCATCAAATGAATCTACTGGTGCAGGCAGCGGCTATGATGTCAGAATCTCGATTCGCATTATTAATTGTCGATAGTGCCACAGCGTTGTACCGTACAGATTTTTCGGGACGTGGTGAGCTTTCAGCCAGACAAATGCATATGGCGCGTTTCCTGAGAAATCTTCAGCGTCTTGCAGATGAGGTAAAAAATAACTATCCATATCTGTATATTTGAAAATGAGATACTTGCTATCGATCTTTAATGCCCATGCCTATGCTCATGTTCATTTTCCTTTTCCTTAATGGATTTAGTTTGGTGTTGCTGTTGTGATTACAAACCAAGTCGTGGCCCAAGTCGATGGTATGAACATGTTCAATGCGGACACCAAGAAGCCCATTGGAGGGAATATCATGGCTCACTCCTCTACAACAAGGTAATATTTTTTATTTTTTTTAAAAAAAAAAAAAAAAAAAAAAAAAAAAAAAGCTGTTTGGAACGCTTGACATTGTGACATCTAAAGAGTCTGAACTCATGTGTACATGTTCACTGCTGACCATTAATCCCTAATATTAAATACAGATTGTATCTCCGCAAAGCAAGAGGAGATAATCGTATCTGCAAGATCTACGACTCTCCATGTCTTCCTGAACTCGAAGCCCAGTTTTCTATCGGAACACATGGCATTGCTGATGCTGTTGATAATTAACTCAAGCGAACAATAATAAAAGCAAAAATATAATTTGTAAAAACAAAAAAAAAAAAATAAAATAAAAAAAAATATAAAAAAATAAAAAAATTGTCATTTCTCGTTCTATTCAAACTTTTCAATATTTTAAGATCAAAGTAAAAAAAAAAAAAAAGTATTTAACTGGATTCGCACTGGATCTTTTATATTGTTTTGTATACTATGCTCTAGATTTCTTTTTTAAAAACTCCTTGCCTCTCGTTCTTTGTTACGTTTTCTTAGATATCGACCCAATATTCAGCTTCATATGCCTCGACCAAATCCTTATTATCTTTATGCTTGAGTTGCCATTCACCAAATCCTCCACGCAAAATGTTAACTTTTTGTGTAATTGGAGCACGATTGGCCGCCTCGACCGCCGCTGCCTCTGTCGCCGTCAATTTTGCGTCGCGTTCAGCAAGGGCCTCTGACCAGCGATTTGCGGCTTTAGGGCCCCGAACTTGAGACAATGCGCAATGAAAGAACAACGTCGGAACATCCTTGTATTCCTCGACCAGTTGGGGAAGTCGATCAGGAAGCTGCTTTGAAGGGATATTCACGCTTCCTGGGATGTGGCCTCCCTATACATACATTTTTATACATAAATATATACGCATAAAAATCGTAGTCTTTTAGTTTTAAATACAACGTAATAACCATGCCCAATAGCTTGATGGGTCTATAGGTGAAGACGAAAAAAAAAAAAAAAAAAAAAAAAAAAAAAAAGTAATGTGATGACATGCACAAAACTCAAAACTTACAATGCGATCCTCATCGCGAACATCGATTACGAGATAATCTTTTCCTGGAACCTTAGTCTTGTCTTCAAGAAGGGTTTTTAGGGCCTCCTGTTCGACGAACTCTGGTTTCTGATGAGTAGAAGTTGACATGGCTGCTTTGATGTAAGTGCAGGAGTCCGAATATGAAGCAATATAACATTAAAAGCGTAAAAATAAAAATAAAAACATCTTTTATAATGTTACACATTGTAAAATTACGCCATTTTGGTAGATTTCGCGTCTCCAAACTATGCTTTGTCCTAAATATTAAGACAGGTGGACAAAATTGTGACTACCATAAGGTACAGATTGCCATGGAGCTTGATCTTTTCCTGTACAAACCGGTGGGGCTTGGTTTGCTGCATCCGTTGCTTCATCATCTCCTTGTATTCCCTTGGTTGGTAAACACTAATAAAAAAGAAAAAAAAAATTCTGCTGTTGCTCTTGACAAGGATTTAATGCCCTTCTGTTTCAGAACCGGTTCCTACACACTGAGTCGAATCTGTCCATGTATCCACTAGTGAAAAGTTTTTGACAGACAAGAAGGTGAATAGCAGAGTAAGTGAGAATAAAATGTTGGCCCGCATGCCATGCCCACGGCGTATGTATTGAAGTTTTTATCACATCCTTCAGATCATATCAAAAGCGTAGCTACAGTGCTGTGCACGAGTAACATAGATATAGCGTATCCATGGTAAATGTTTCCTAGGAGATGTATGTCCATAGGTATTTTCTTTAATCTTTTATGCAACAGGCATTCCGTAGAGTATGTAACGACTGTCCCCATCACTGTACAAAATATAGTCAACTGCTTTCTTTCAACCAGAGTTACGTATCCGTTCTTGAACGAGACTCAGGCAAAGCATCAGATTTTCTAGCAAGGCAAGAGCCAATCGTGGCAAAGCCACAGTCTCTAGTTTATTTTTGATTATTTTGTTTCGTTCGCTAACCAACTGTACAAAAGTCAGGAGCTGATGGCAATTCCAGATCCTGAGGCACTCGAAGATGCATAGTTGTTATTGTAAGCTGGTGGCTCTGAAGAATCAATAGGCTGAAATCGATGGGACAACAGGTGCATTTTGTTCTGATAAGTGCCAGAGTTGTAGCATGGTCCGCACAGATCAGTTCCTCCAAGCTCCTCACAGTCTATACATGAATATCGAATCCCAAGGATTGGCTCCACTCCACACGAATCACACTGAGATAACAATGAAATAATAGAGAATGAGGAAAAGATATTAGATTGGAGTTTTTAAGTACGGTCATCGTGTCACCTGATACATAAATCATAAAAAAAAACTCACAGAGTATCCCAAGTGACTAGCCACTCCACCATCGGGACTACCTTGCAGTGAACTGCTTCTATGTAAAAGAGCATTATTGCTACTGGCAACACCGAGCATGTCCTGTATATCTTCGTCATCATCACCTTCGCTCATATACACAGTCGGTGCAGGATTGTAAGTCAGATACTGCGTGCCAGATGTCCGCCCGAATCCAGATCCTAGTAGTGACTTGGCCTTCTTTTTCTTTTTCGGCGCTGCGCCTGACCCTGACCCTGACCCTGAGCCTGAGCCTGAGCCTGATGCTGGTGCTAATCCTAATCCAAATCCTGTTGCTGTAGCTCCCCCCGCATCCGCGTCTTTCTTTTTTGGACGTGTAGGCTTGTTACGACTAGCTTCGTTGCCTTCATCCTGAACATCTTTTCGTTTTTTCCCTTTGGCGGCTGAGGATACCCCTGCTTGCTTAGCTTTTGACTTTGTCTCGAGCGAGAAATTCATTCGCCCTGGCGCCTCCAACCCAGCCTTGACAAGCTTGATAAAGTATTTTTGAACACGACTTGCGACCTGTTTTGGTGTTCTAGTTCCCATGGCTGCTGAAATCTTTTGGAAACGTTGGGCCGCCACAGGTTCATCCGGATAGATTTCCAATAACCGCTCCAGCTGCTGCTGCTCCTCGTCACTCCACGGGATATTATACAAAGGTGGTTTCGGCGTCTCTTCGCGAGCACTACCTTCCCGTGACGCCCCCCTCGGTTTGGTGGCGATTGTAGTGTTCCCTGAATGAACATCGACACTTCCACTCATATGATTATAAGTGATATTGGCGTTTGCCCCAAAGTCTTTAGGTTGAATCGGTCGAGGGATCGTGCGAACTCCTGGATTATGATCAATGGTTTGATTCGAGGGTCCAGCAACAGGTGTTTGGGGACAAACAGATTGATGTAAATGGTGCTGATGATGAGGTTGAGGAAGCTGTATCGTACTGTATGTAGCAGATGGTGTCACAAGTGCGCCTTCTGAACGATGACCTAAGGAAGTATTATTTGATTGACTCAAATCAGAGTGACCCATTCCCTCCATATCATGAGCTCCCGGAAATTGACCATGACCATAGCCAAGTTGCCTTGCTTCGTGTGAAGTTTGCTTCGACGATAGTACGCCATCCGTGTCTCCTGTTCCGCCATTGATATCTATTCGATCCTGACTCGAGTCATGATAGTTGTATTGCTGTGGTTGGTAAGGGCGGATGACGTTGATACCGAGGTTTTTTGCAGTCTCTTTTACAACTTGAATACGTTCCTGAGATGGTGATTCCGCTTTGGAACGGATATTAGTCCGTCCTATTGACAGTGTCCTGCTGTTATCTCTATCAGGATTTGATTCATATGATAAAGGGCTCTAGAGGAGCAGAATCAAAAAGATAGAAAATATAAAGCCAAGTTAACAAATCAGACCTCAACTATTTCAGCAGATAAACAGATAGACTTTTTTTGTGTACCAGATAAGTTGCTCTTGGAGGCTTTGATGGTGAAACAGGTTTTGCTGGAGGAAATTGATATTTTGTCCATTCTATTGACGGTGCCGGTAAGGTCTTTTGCCCCTCAGGATAGCGGAACTCCTAACGTACAAATGTTTTTAAGCGGATGGAAGATAAAAAAAATGACTTTTATTATTATTATTATTATCATTTTCTTTTGTTGAAAAAGCCTACTGAAAAACAAACACCGTACCTTGTTCTTAAGTAATTTCAAAAAATCGAATGGGGCTCCCATATACCTCTCCTTTAAGCTCTCCAACCGAGTGATATCCTTTGGTACCTGCGTCAATTGCCATCTATAACGTTTGATTGCCAATGCTAGTGCCTGAAGGCTAAATTTCAAGAGAAAAAACAAAATAAAAATTAAAAGTAAAGTAAAATAAAATATTGAGTGAATAGGCATTTATGAATTCATTCCATAAGGCTTTCTTTTTTTTTTTTTTTTTTTTTTTGTTTTTCGAATGAATGAAACAGCTCCTAGTTAGTGTCCTCCTATAGCTTACTCGTATAGCGCATATTCCATCTTTTCTTTAACCCATTGTTCCTCATCAGGTGTTAAACCGAGTGGGCCTCTATCCAACGCGCTAGTTGAGTTGATATCATGTCTAGGGTGGGATGCTGTAGTGCTACTTTCAGGGTCGGCACTACTAGCACCAACATTAATTACATTTGTGGGTGTCGATGATGATTCCCGGATTTGTAAGTTTGGTAGTGATGTGGAAGAAGTATTATATACTACAGATATAGAGGTAGAGGTGGACGTAGAAACAGATGTAGGATTCAAGGTTGAAGATGCAGGCTCATGTATTTGTTCTGCAAGTGCAGGCTTGCTATCCCCAACAGCTGCTGAAGAGGTAGAGCCATTATTTGTGACATTTCTGGGAGCCAAGGGAGTGTCTGCTAGAGGAGTTGTCTCTGGACTGGTATCCATGGACACCGCAATTGGCTCTGGTGTGATGTAAGACATGGAAATGTTCCTGCCCTTTGCAACTTTGACAGGGAGGGTAATGAGAATGAATTAAAGAGGCCTAGTGAAACGGAGCAGTCACTGTGGCTTGATATTACGACGCGTTGACGATTTTTTTCATAGACAGCGCCGCCAATCTGTTTATAGTCCGTCCCATTAAAAAACGAGACATTCCATCTATTGTAAAAAGAAATGTATTAGAACACAGAAATAAATAAATAAATAAATTAACCAAGAAAAAAAAGTACTATCAAGCCAATACTTACAATTTTTTTAAGACGAAGGCCTTTCTGGACCTAGTCATGTTTGTAGTAGATTGTGTCCTACTGTTGTTGCCGGCTTGTCTCTCCCCTCCTCCTGGACCCAGCAAAGGTCCTTTCGGTGGTCTTGATCCCTCTACTCCTCCTCCTCCTTCATCTGAAAATTTCCTTTTTGTGGATCTGCTACTACCACCACCACTGCCACCACTACCTCCACCGCCGCCACTACCGCTAGAAGCTTGGCCTTGAGTTCCTCCGTCCGGCGGCATATATTTTGCAGGTCGTTTTTGCTCTCTTATCTGCGACTCACAGACCCTTGCGATGTTCTCAGCACCAACAGCATCTCGATCAAAGTATGCTTTACAATTTCGACAGTACTTGGATCGAAAAGGAACATTCTCCAATATACTGTCACAGTGAGGTCGTGGACACTTGGCAGATGTGTAGTATTCATGATAACCTACAATGGCTTTCAATCTCTGTAATTCCTCTTCTAAGCTTTCGCCTCTCTAGCTCGCCCTGAAACTTCTTGGATGGTTTGTAAAGGTACGCTCTAGAAATCCGAAGGATCTCACGTTCGTTAGGTTTCCTTGGATCCAACTTTGCAATTGTCATCGAGTACCTCTCGCCTGGATCGATCCCAATGATAATGGTACTTTCGGGGGGAGGGCATGCTGCCTGGGTGTCATATTTAACTTCTACATTCTCGAGGAGACGGGATCTCTGCTTCCAGTTGATCTCACGCCGGGGACTGGGACTCACCGGGGACAGTGGATTTGTGCTCGATGTACCTTCTTCAGCTGCTTCTTCTCCCTCGTCGCCATCTAAGAATGGTTCATCAACTTCCAGCAAGTCAATATCGCTGATACCCAGCAAGATATCGTCATCTTCATTCCCGTCGTCGTCTCCATCATCACCACCATCACCTGCACCATGGCCTGAAGACGAGGATCCCTGCTGAGCACTTGAAGAAGCCTGGACTGCTTGAGATCTTTGAGTATCCGAAGGTTGGGCAGCTTGCGAACCTCTACCTCTTTTTTGCTTCGATGTGTCATAGGCAAGAAGTGTTAGGGTAAGGCCGTTTGTAAAGAACGATGTCCGTAGTTTCCTTCTAGGGTCATCATCAGATTGCAGTCCAACGTCCTTGTATCCTTTCAAGGAAAACAGCTCCTGCAACAATATCCCCTTGTGGTTAAGGATCTTGTCCTCTGCAGCCCCCTTGGTACTCATGTTTAGTTCCAACAATTGGGCTATTTCCTCTCGAACTGTTGGGTTGGACCATAATATATCCAGGAGACAGGCTTCCGTTAGGCAAAGAGACCGAGGCGAGAAAGCAGACGTAGGAAAATCCAGATATTTTTTGGCAGTTGCATTTTGCTCAAAAAAGAATTGGATGGAACTTCTTCCATCGCCTGGAATATCTATGTCAAACTAGACATTATATTGAAGAAATGATTAGGAACATTTCTATAAACATATTATAAGATAACCTCAAAATATTATAATATTATATTTACCTGCGCATTCCGATAGTGAGATCTTAGCGCTGCTTGAACAGGGACCATGACCATCCGAGACGACCTGCTGATCACCAAATCGGGATAGATCTGGTTTAAAGGACCAAGCCCTGTCTTTGCATAGAAGTTTTCGTATGCTTTGAGCTGGGACGGCTTGGCTACGTTCCCTTCGCCTTTTTTCTTCACTTCCCTGCTATACCTAGATAATGGACTCATCACTCCGTGATACAACAACGCAGCAAGGCCGTAAATAAAGTCCCTGCTATCAAGAACTTCATCTAGGAGTTGTGGGAGATCAGCTGGATTGGATGGCCCAGTGGTAAGCAGGTTATCGATCCACAAGGCGCAGGCCCAGAAAGCTCGAATCCGTGCCTCATTCAACATTTTAATAAATGATTGAATGAGCCCTTGAATTGTTGCAGCAAGTTGCTCGGGATTGAGATTGGGATCGGAAGTAGAGTCCAGCTTGGCAACTACACATGTCTTTAACGTGCCCAGAGTTAATGCAACAGTGGGGTGGGCCCTCTTCAACCGTCGGTCCTCGGCAGTAGCCTCCTTCACTTTCCTGGTCTTATCAGTCTTTCTGATATACTTGGCCTTCCCTTTGTTCTTCTTTTTTTTCTTCTTTTCCTCCTTAACCTCCTCTTCTTTGTCATCCTCTTTTTTTTCCTTTTCCTTTTTTTTGGGGGACTTTCTTTGACGGCTGGAGCTGACGGGACGGTCGTGTTGTTTGCAGTTGGTCAGGTCATATTTCTTAGGGGAAAGTTCCTTTTTCTGGGTAGGGAAAACAGGCCGATAGCGATTCGGCTTTGCGCGTTTAGGGATATAGAATCTAATTAGGAACAACAATGTCAAGGGTTAGATGACTTTTTTTTTTTGTATATGCTTTGGAAAATGTTCATTTGAAGGAGCTTACCTGGGTTGAGGTTGATTATTTTTATTCTGGTACCTAGCAGATATCGCAGTCCTCATTCTATCATGGTAATGAAGGAATCTTTCAGCGGTTGGTTGCTGCGAGGCCTGGGTTTGGATCCCACCAAAGAAAACATTAATTGAATGGTCAAACTGGCCTTCTGCAGGAGTTCGACGGCTACGGGCATGGACCTCACGAACATATGATACCGTCAACTTTTCGGCATCAGTGTCAGTGAGCGCGGAGATAATCTCAGCATTTGTAGCAAGACCAAAGGTTGGGATATTTGGGGTGTAATCGTTATCGGATATAATGCCATAGACCAGGAGTTGACTGTTCCTTGAAAACCCAAGGGCTTGCAGGACCTCTTGTTTCTCATAGAGTGCAAACATGTGATGGCGACGAGGGATTGGACGAAGAACTCTTTTTATAGAAGGATAGATGAGAAGGTCAGAGTCCCCAGACACAGCGATACTGGTTGGTGTACATTTGGCGGCAATACACACATCAGCCTCATTTCTACAATGGCAAATCACAAAGTTATTGTATCGACCGAATGGCGCCGCGAGCTCCCTCTTCTCGTTATGACTGAATGTGAAGAGCTGTCGAAGATTCTTTTTAATGGCAATCATATGGCTTCGAGATTCCCATTTGCCTTCATTGGACTTGGTTTCCATGTTGGCTATGAGCGTATCGAGTTTTGCATCCGCTGCTGTACGCTTAGCATCTCGGTCCCTATAGGCACGCGTTTTTTCTTCGCAGCGAGGCCCATCAATGTGTATCGTCACTGTGGCAAGAGGACCAAAGATCTTTCGAATGATACTAGCCATAGCATGGCCGCAGGCAGTGAAAGAACTCTGCCAGCTGAATCTCCTTAGGATGATATTATGTATATCGCTGTGGAAAGTGCCAAGCAGATCCAGCTCAAAAGATGAATGGGGTTCAGCAGCAAGCTCATGTACATCAATCTCCTTTGGTGGCAGGTCTCTCCTTGAAAGGTATGAATAGAGTCCTTTAATACCCATCTAGAGAAAGTATAGTGTAAAACAGTGCAAGCAATGTTGGTTTAAGCGGCTAAAGATTGAAGCTGAAGTTGTTAGAGTAGAGATAGTTTACCTTTAAGAAAGCAAAAAGTTATGATCTGTGAGGGGATGAGGGTGTAAGAGTACGGGCGAGAGCGCGAAAGCAATGTCGTTGTAAAATGAGAGAGAGAGAGAGGGAAAAGAGAGGAGGCAGGACGTATTTATAGGTGTATGAAAGAGAACGAAACAAAAGGCTGATGAATTTGGAACAACTCGAAACAATAAGATTCTCAGCGACAAGTTTTAACTTTTTGGATTTCGAGTATTGTTTACAGTCTTCTCCAATCATCTACATTTACCAAATCAAGCCTTCGCCATGACAATCAACAAGAAATAAAAAAAACAGACTTCCTTACGTCCCCCCTCGGTATGTGTATCTGTCTGAACACGTCCTAACTGACATCCCTCGACAATCCTCCCAAGGCTGCAGTGTTTGAATGTGTACAGGGAACAAAAGAGGTCTAGATACAGGCTCTCTTTGTGACATTGAAGGAGATCGCATGTTTCATGGCTATCGAGACAAGGTACCCCTACAGGCACAAGACAAAGGTATAACTCGGTTCAAACTCAAAGGAACGATTTTACCAATGGCCTTGTTCTTAATCCACTTGCCTATGGCACAATCCAGACGAAGAGACAGCAGCAGTCTGGCGTAGATGAAGAAGATCTCAGCCAGGATTGAAACTTTCACAAGGGTTCCTTAACACGGCGTGTTTTAAAGGCAGCCGGTGAAGACCTGACAGATGAAGACTACGCAAACATAAACTGGAAGAGGAGCCCCAAACTTCTTGAAAACGTTGGACTCATATTCCATGAGCTAGGGCGATGCTCATCTGCAAATACCACAACTACCGTCTAATGCGATCCTGGTATTGTCAATGCCCTTACGTTTTCTTCGCTAGACCGTCACAACCCTGACCTGCGTCAAACGGTGAAGGTGAGAAGTAGGCTCGTCAACAGCCTGTATGTCTTATATGCGTTGCACCAATGCTCACTGATAGGTTGGGAGGAAAGACACCAAGCCGGCAACAACAATAGGATATGATCAGTTCCATATTTCACAGTACACGTGCTACATGAAAATTTATAATACAGACATACTAACAGCTCTATGGCCACATGGTGTGGTGCCCGAGACAAACTTGCAGTTATATTTTGATACAAATTTGGATAAATGCCCCATGGATGTGATGTGTGAACCCACATCCTATTCTCACTTCTGCTCCCTAGTTACTATTTGTCTGTCTAAAATTTTTCATGAGCTACTACAAACATGACTAGGTCGGGAAAGGCCTTCGTCTTGAAAAAGTTGCAAGTATTAGCTTGACAGTGCTTTCTTGACTAATCTCTTTATTTCTATGCTTGGTCTAGATGGTGTTTTTTTATGGGGAGGACTATTTAGACAACATATAGACCCCACATATCTTAATCATAATAAATTGGCTTGGTGGCATTGTTGTAAAAAATATCTTTGCTCAAGGGACAGAAAGATAGACACAATCAGGAAAAGGCAGGACAAAGAGTGTCAACAAGATTGACAAGAGAAAATAGAGTCAAATAACCTTGACTACGAACAGCGCCATAGAATGTCAAAAGAAAAGATGGGAGCTTTATAGGTGAGCTCACAAACTGAGTTACCGGAAGACAAATGCTTGTTGTGAAAAGGGGAAAAAGATAAAAGGCAAAATGAACTGCAGGTGAAGAATAAGACATATGGGGAAAACTGAAGACTTTATTAAGAAGGAAGTTTCTTTGGCTTTTATACTCGGTAGCTTCTAGGTGAGGCGGACCCGCCTATGACTACAAAGGCTTTGCGCAAAGATTCCTTTAAGCTGGTTCGACAGATTAGTGGATACAAAATAAACTGAAATTAATTTTAATGACCAGTCACACCACTTGCAATAACAAGCGAGTCAATTGGCTGCCAATACATTTAAGAGTATTCAAAAAATATAAGGGATCGCGACCAAATGGAACGGGCTATACTGTATCACACTCTTTGCTGTGCTGAAAAGCCTTATTGACAAAAAAGGCAATTTTTTTTCTTTTTATTTCTCGGAATACGGACTATGCTTGTCTCCACGCGTAATACAACTAATATCCCTCTACCTTTCGTTGCAATCTTTGTACCCTTGGACTTTTTTTTATTATTGACCAATACGTATTTTTTAACAAAAGATAGACCCGCTACCCAAGAGATCGTTGCTCTTGAGTCCTATCGAACCTGTAGGAGAGGGAAGATGTGTACTTCAAGAGTGTGCACCCGCTTGAACTACCAAGCTGTAGAAAAATCCATCTTTTCTGGCGAGCAACACCTCTGGTGCATCAAATTCTTTCACATATCCTCGATCCAAAACCAACACTCTGTCCGAATCCATAATCGTCTTAATTCTATGAGCGATTGTCAATACAGTCCTGTCCTTGAATTCCTTCCGGACTGTCTTCTGGATTAGCGCATCAGTTTCTACATCCACCATAGCTGTGGCTTCGTCCATGACTAAGACCTTGGACTTGCAGAGTAATGCGCGCGCGAGGCAGATCAACGATCGCTGACCTACTGAAAAATTCTCACCATTGGACGCAACTTCAAAAGAAAGGCCACCAGTAAGTGAGGAGATATAATCCTTCAAATGAGCACGCTCAAGTGCTGTCCACAGCTCGATGTCCTCAAGTTCATCGAACGGGTCCAAGTTCTGACGGATAGTGCCCGCAAAGAGCGTTGGATTTTGTGGAATGATCGACAGGCGCTTTCGAAGAGTCTTTAAGCCCAGTCTTGCGATATCTACGCCATCAATCAAAATTGTTCCTATCTCCTCACTATTGCTGGCACTAGTCATCATCAGGTCATGAGTAATCAAGGCACCTCCTGCATTATTTCTTGTTGCTCTTGCCCAATAGCTGCCTGCAGCTTCAATCATTCGGAACAATGCAAGCGTCAATGACGACTTTCCTGCTCCTGTCCGACCCACAATTCCAATTTTCTCACCGGGTTGGACCTCTAGCGAAATATCCTTTAAGACAAGACTTAAATGCTCGCGATATTTTGCTGAATAATGGCTAAAGACAATATGACCTTTGCTTGGCCAGTTTTGAGGCAAATTTCGGTCGAAATCCGTTTCCTCCGGTGCTTCCTCTCTCAATTCTGCATACTCTTCAATTCGTTCCACGCTGATGAGTTGATTCGACATTTCGCTCCATGCTCGTACAAGGTAGGAAATATCGAGTGTGACCGACATAGCATATGTCAACGAGAGTCCAGCTACACTGGCACCAAGCTGACTACGAGCCAGAACTGCGAGGAACGCTACTGTGAAAACGATTAAAGCCCCCAGGACCTCGAGCCGAATCTTGAGCCAACGACCACTGATGCCAAACGCAAGTGCAGTCTCTGCAGATATATCTGCTCGTTGCTCGTTCATCTGTATGAATCGCGCCGTGGCCCCCATAGCTCGGATAGTAGAGACACCTGCCAGAGATTCACTAAAGTGCTGGTAAAGCGGTGACTTGGAGATAGACATGAATCTTTTGAGCGCTTGAGACGAACTGATATAATACTGTTGAATATATAGATAAGCCAATGTGAGTGGCGGCATCACTACGAGGAATTGAGGAGTCGAGATGGAGATCACGATCAACGTGCCCCCAATGGCTACTAGACAATAAACAACATCGATGAAGTTCCAAATAATACTCTCGTCCACGGCGTCCACGTCGGTAGAGAAGCGGTTAATAATGCGACCAATGCTATTGTGAAAACATTCGATGGAAGAAGAAAAGAAAAATTAAATGTTAGGTGATGATTAAAACAAACACATTAGTACACCATAAGCACTCTTATTTTTAAAGTCGTCCTTTATCCAGGTGAGAACTTACGGTGTGATGTCGAAAAAGGACATTGGCTGTCTCAGTAGATTGTTTAAAAGTCGATCGTGCAAATGTTGCGCGGCTCGGATAGCAGCATGAATATTAGCTACATAAAACAGTGCCATATTGAAAAGAACATATGCCATTGTGAATGCACCATAGCCGATTAAGAAATATACAACGGTGTATTTCCCTTGATCCACGGAATCTGGCCAAAATCGGAGCCAGTAACTGGTGCTGACTTGAGCCACCTCAACCAAGATGTACAAGAAGATGACCATGAAGATGTTATGATATGAGGCAGCTTTCGCATATACCATAAACATATCCCAGCCCACGCCACCTTCTACCATTTTTTCATCTGCGGTATTTGGCTCTGCTGCCTTGTCCTGGCCGGTGGCTGTTATAGTAGTAGTATTGACATCGCCAGAGGTATTTATACTTGTGACGCCATTGCCATCGGCATCGGATATATCTTGCTCAAGCTGACTCTCGTCCTTTCTGGCACTGTTACTCTGAGTTTGTTTTTTGCTTTTTGATGAAAACTCGGTATAAAGCTGATAAAAGCCTCCACGACTTGCCAGAAGCTCGTTAAAGCCATTCATATCGCTAATAGTCCCATTGTTCATGATGATGATCTGGTCCATATCGCTCAGGTGATGTAAACCATGGGTCACAATTAGCCGGGTTTTGTCTCTGAGCAAGCCATTGGGACCTAGTAGGGTGTTCCACAAGTGGTGGTCTACATGTGCGTCTACAGCACTCAGAGCATCATCTAAAAGATAAATGTCTGCATCCTGGTAGGCAGCTCGTGCCAACGACAATCTTTGTTTTTGCCCGCCTGATAAACTGATGCCTCGCTCTCCAACTTCTGTTTGGTCTCCTGCTGGAAATACTTCCAAGTCTTGAAGGAGTGAGCAGGCGCTTAAAACCCGATCATATCGAGCCTGATTCAAAGGTTGTCCAAAAAGGATGTTATCCTGGATAGAGCTGTTCATTACCCATGCTTCCTGTGAAACATATGCGACGCTGCCATTCATATGTACACATGTTCCCTGGTCTTGATACATATCCCCGATCAAGGCACTTATCAAGGACGACTTTCCTTGCCCAACACGTCCCACCACAGCTGTCAAGGACCCTACTTCAAGTGCGAAATTAATATCCCTGAGAGTCGGTACTATTGGCGCTTGGGTCGGTTCACCTTGCTGCAAAAGAGGCGCGTTTTCATTTTCATCATCTTGGATTGTCCTCAGAGCACCTTGCTGTGATGGCGATGATGGTAAATTTAGCTTACTCCAAGAAAAGACTCCGTTGCTCACGCTAATAGCAGCTAGATGCGGCTCATCTCTGCCTGGAATTTGGTGCTGGGAACTACTCTGGTTGTTACAGCTGTTGTTCTCGAGTTCTTCCGAGAGCAAAAAATGTTGAATACGGTCTGTGGATACCAAAATAGAGGTAGTATCGCTCAGCAAATGATCCATCCATGAGATAGGTTTGCTCAACAGACCAAAGAGCGCCAAACTGACAAAGATTACTTGAGGGGTGATCTTGCCTGGGGTGGCACCAGGTCCTCCAACCGCAGCGTAGATACTGAAAGACAATAGACTCATAAACATGGTGGAGGAGAATATGAAGGTCATGGCGGCGTAAACTTTACCAAACCGTCGCAGTACACCCATCTCCAGTGTACGGTACCTTGCGATCCTTTCTTTAAACGCGCTCTCTAATTATAAAAATAATAATAAAAAAAGGATTCTTGATGCATCAGAATTTTTTTGTAAAAAAAAAAAAAAAAAAGTAAAACGGGGTATCAAAAAAAAAAAAAAAAAAAAATTACCCCAGGCATGCAGTTTAATAGTCCTTATAGATGAAAATAGCTCGGTAACCAGACGGATCCTACTGTCCATTGTAGTGAGCTTCGTGTCCTTAATCTCTGAAAAGATATCCGATACTTTGTTCTGGATAGGGATCAATCCAACAACAGTAAATAATCCAACCAGAGCACACCATCCCAGTTGATTGTACAACATCCACAATGCCACGATGATTTCAAGGGGTACTGAAATCCATTGCGGCAGAGTATTAAGGGCGCCAGTCCACTTTTCAGCATCAACTGACATATGGTTGGAAATAGATCCAGTCGTCTGTGTCCTTCTAGACTCTGGAGATAGGTTCATCGCTTTCCTGTAAATTATTCCTATCAGTCCTGAACGGATCTCCATTCCTCGATCGGCGTTCAATTGCATCGAAAGCGCTCCTGCTACAGAACTTGCAAGCGAAGTCAAGAACATGAGGAATGCCAATAATATCCCATAAGAAAGGGGTGGGGGATGAGCTTGAGCTTGAGATGGTAGATGAGTTAATACCCCTGCGACTGAAGACTGCATAAAATCTAGGATACGACCAAGAAGAACAGGCTGCAGGTAAACCAAAGCGGTTGAGATCAACCGACATAGGACGATGGGGGCCCAGCCCATCCATCCGTATGCAGTCCCAATTGTCTTTAATAAAAGCCAACGTCGTCTTCTCTCTTGCTCTTCCCTCGATAAAGCCAAGTAAGAGGAGAGGGACTGTTTCCAAGAGGCTTGTAGAGTTACATAGGCATTTTCGGTTCTGATACGCTGTGGCATCAAAGCCGCAATGTCGTTCAGTTGCAACGGGCTCCTATATCCAAGGCTCATGATTGGCTGAATATAGTGGAATGAGAGACGAGAGAAAAGATTGGCCTTCTCAGACAGGCTGGCGCCTGACCTTTGTTGAACAGACGTGTTGCCTCTTGGCCATGCCTCTACACAAAGTCCAAGGAGAAGTGTGGCCAAATACCAGATGAGGATAGAGGAGGACCACACTTGTGGGTCACGATGATCTGAAACAAGCGTCGAATAGAGAACAATGCCAGCGCCAATAATGGCAAAAACGTAATAGGATAGGATAAAGTCGGATGAACGAACACTGAACCTGTGTTCAAAGTTGTTTAAGACGATGGCCAACAACTAGTTGATTATTATTGTTATTATTATTATTTTTTCAAAAAAGAACCATTTAGTAATAACAACAATAATAATAATAATAATAATAATAATAATAATAATAATAATAATAATAATAATAGAGATTTCAACCATATCTCCATGTAATCTGAACAGAAGTCACTTCCTAACCTACCCAAGCTAACAGCATGGATCCTGAAGCCCAGAACATTGATGAATTCATTGATTTGTTTGAACGGAAAAACCCGGTGATCAATGCTACACATCCTAACAACATGAGCAGCTGTGAAAGGTAGTAGATCCAGGCTGTTCTTCCAAGACCGTGCGCCTTCCCATGATATTTGAAGTAGATGAGTCGGAATACAAATAACACAGAAGCACAAATCGCCGGCAAAGTCAAGAAAACCCTAACAAGATAAATAAATATTATAAAATTTTAATATGGCGAGACGACAACAAGCCAGAAGCCGAATTCGAACCAAACAGAAGATTGGCGGTCAAAATTTCTTACATGCTCTGATAGCAGACTTCATCGATATCCTTGTATTCACGTCATTTTTCATGATCATATTTAAAATAAAAGACCGAAAAAAATATATCAATTTTATGCGAAATGCATTTTGAATCATAAATAAAGAAATACAAAATACAAAGACATTTAATGGCATCTACCAGTTTAGAACAAAGTGTAGGTTCACGGTGTGTCCCAGGGAAATTTTCTGGACTCATCACGCTATTATCTTCAGGGGTTAATGAGGAAAACATGGAAAGGAGAGATAAAGTGGTAAAGATCAAGCGGAAAATATAACATGGATGACCCGCTTTTTATCAATTCTTCATGATGGATAAATTTTCAATGATGGCAAATCCGCAGTTTTAATGTTTCAAAATCAAAAAAATTAACTTTAAATTTAAAAATCATGGCGAATTTTAGTTCTATCCTTCTTTATTGGACTATTGGGTTATTGGGCTCCAAGAGGTCGATCGTCATCTTCATCGTCTGCAACTGTCCATGAAGGCATAGTGGGGATAGTTGGTAACATGTATTGAGATGGATGCAATTGTTGTTGTTGCTGTTGTAAGTGTAGTTGTTGCAACTGTTGTAGCTGTAGGTATTGGTGTTGTTGCTGTGATTGTTCTGTCTCCCATGCCATACGCCGCTGTTCTTGTAACCATCGTTCCTTTTCCGCATTGAGCATCATTTGCTGCTGCTGGTACTGGTGCTGATATTGAAGTTGGTTGGTACCTTGCGCCTTGGCAAGCTTCTTTTCACGCTCCATAGCAGAGATGGTGCCAACAAGACCAGTCTGCGGTGGTGGCGGTTTCGCCTCAACATGAATCAAAGTATGGTGCAAATGTGGATGTGACGGTAGTGTGGATATAGAAGGAGAGATGGATTGTAAAAGGGTTTGCTGAGGGAAATGTGGCAAAAGGGAGTGTCTAGTCGTGTTAGGTTTCTGTCCCAACCCACCATTGTTGGAACCATTAGAACCTGCAGAGTGAAGTGAATTGACTGACATACGGTCAAGATTCAAATGAGCGAATGATGCTGATCCGAGACTGCCACGATATCCAGCAGGAAAACCGCTAGTGAGAAGCTGAGGACCTCCTGCTCCAGCCAGCCCTCCGAATTGTTCTTCCCCAGCATAATCAGGGAACCTGGGTTGTGGATTTGCAAGTGGATATTGATGTTGAAGTGGATGGTGGAGCTGCTGTGCTGACAACATTGGTGAAGGTGTAGAAGTTGGTTGGAGAAGGGCTTGAGGGATTGAAGTGGCAGAGTGAACAGAATTCAAAGAATGGATAGATGAGGTTGATGGTTGTCTGGTATGCTGGAGATCTAAGTGTTGTAGTGGAGTGGAGTATGGGCGTGAGGCTGAGAAAGGGAGTGAGAGGGTTGAGGACTGAGCGTCTGGAGACAAATGGACCATAGGAGCATGCTGCAGAGGCGGTGCTCTCATAAATGCTGGGACCTGTGGTAACTGCTCTTTCTTTTCACCCAATGGAAGATCGTCATCATCGTCATCATTAGCGGCGTTTATTGATCCATTAGAGCCAGGAGATTGTGAATGTTGAATTTGTATGGCTTGAAGTTGCTGTTGGTGCTGCTGCTGTTGTTGAAGCATGAGGAGTTGATATGCTTGTTGCTGTTGGTGCATCGTGGCTATCTGGATTTGCTGCTGCTGCATAATAAGCAACATTTCTTGCTGCTGTTGCTGATAGATCGACATTGGATTAGCTACATTTGGCACAGCCGTTGCACCATTCAAGCTATTCAAACTATTCAAGCTCGAACTGCTTGGATTGCTCATACTCATTCCGACCGTTGGACTGTTTACAATGCTTTGTGGCACCGTGCCAAGGGTAGAATGGGCAGGCACAATATTGACATTCTCCTGTGGCGACGTAAAGTCGAGTTGCGAAGGCGATGTAGGAGGCTCGACCGCAGGCTTGGTAAATGCGTCTTTTGTTTTCTGGCTTGGTTGCTCCTCATCTGATTCAGTATCCGAGTTGACAGGTGCCTTGCGGACGTAGTTCTGCCCTGGTTTTGAAATCCGGGACTGAGCAATTGAACGAGAAATCTCCTCAACATCTTTTTCAAGATCATCTTCGCTGTGGATCTCATTATTATCTTTCCTACTATCGGTGTTGTCTATCTCCTTCAGTGTTGACTGCACAGGTTTTCGTTTCTCTTCATCATCCTCATCTGTCTCTGTGTCAGAGTTAAGAGGAGCTTTGCGGACATAGTTTTGTCCTAGTCGTCCTGGTCGTCCTGATGCTCTTCCGGGGCCTTGTTGTTGGAGAGTCTGATTTGGGCTCAGAGAAGGTACTGCCACATGATGCTCTTTCACAGAACTATCGTCATCTTCGTTTTCGCTCTCCTGGTCATGTTCATTGAGAACGTTGTCTTCATCATTGTCATCATCAGCCTCGCTATCCGATTGAACAGGATCCTTTCGAACATAACCCTTTCGGTTCCCAGGTTGAAACGAGGATCGGATGTGCCCACTAGGACTCGCAGAAGTGTCAGAGTCGCTACCAGAAATAACGGCCTGCTGCAAGAATGAAACAGATCTTTTTGGTTTAGTTGCATTATTGACTGGAGGCGGCAGGGCAGGCGGTTGCATCAGAGACATGTTTGGTAAGTGAAACTTGACTTTAGAAAGATGAATGTATAAGGGATTCGAGTTTTATGATTCTCGAATAAGGGAATGAAACAAAGAGAATGAGAATGACAAAGAGAGAAAAGAAGAGAATGAGAAAAAAGAAGTAAGAAAAAAAAAAAAAAAAAAAAAAAAAACAAAGAGATGCGATGCTTAGACAGTTGACGGAGCCATGCATAAACAGAGCATATTCATTCATTATACAACACACATCCACACAATGCACAATGGCTCATTTTGATTCACATCAATCACTGTCTGGTCGTCTGAGTTATGAGTTATATTAATTTTCTTATTAAATTTATTGAACCGTTTCGATCTGTTTGCTGTTGCATTGAGCCAGTTAATTATAGCATTGTCTTTATTGCCTATTTTTGCATGCGGAGCTGTTGCCTGCCCCATGCAACCCCCTCCTATCCTAGGAGGTTGCGCAGAGCCCCTTTGATTGCTTTTTAAAAAAAACTGTTATATCGAGGAAATAAGCTACAAATCAATCTGTCTACAATTTGGACGTGCCTGTTCCCTTGTATGCCCCAACCTGACCATAGATCAGAGGTTTGAGATACTCTTCGTACCCCCAAATCACACCATTCTTGTCAGTCATCGACTCCGAGTTCAGTGGCTCGCGCTCTGTCATCTCCGCCAAGCGCTCGTATGCCCGGCCATCCCATGATCCCAATGCGCTATTAAGGAACGTGTCAGTGAATCCGAAACAGTCTGCAAACCCAACTGCATTTGGCCGTACGGCTCTCAGATTATCCTTGACGCCTTGACGAATCCACGCGGCATGATCGCGTGAAAAGTAACCATCTTCTAAGAACTCGCTCAACTCCGTCTCAATAGTGTAAAAGACATGAAGATGATAGACAGAACGAACTGCAGCTAGTAGGTTCTTCTGTTGCAAAGTAGGATTTGAAGATGCATTATATCGCTTTTCCAGGCCATTGTAAAAGTTTTCAATCATGATGTATTGAACATGGGCCTGCATATTCAAACAATAAAGAAGACCCAATCGTATCAGTGTCATCGAGTAAAGAGGAATATGTAGCAGTCAAATGAATATTGTCATGATTCATCCATACCTTGGAGAGGCGCATACACTCAAGGTTGAGATCGGACCACGTAGCACCAGCCTTGTCAGCCTCTGCGAGCTCAAAGATCAGACGCGCGGCGCGGTGCTGGAAAGCAGCAAGAACAATCTCAACCTGGTAAAAGTCTTTGATGGATTGTGCTTGGCACTTTTGATTCTTGAAGGTAGAATAGTCCACAAGTGACAAAATGTATTTAGACGGAGCCGACAATCGAATGTTTGGGTCGCGGATAGTATCTTTGTAAAGCTTGAGCAAATAACGGGACACTTGTTGCTATTTCAAGTATGGATAACGACGAAAGTGTTAGGCCACTGCAACAAACAAACAGATAAACCATAATGCTTCGAGAGGGGAGCCTTAAAAGATGCTTACAGTCAACAGTGCGTTTTCTCCTTCATATGTCACTGTTGCAAGAAACTGTCGATGAAAGTCAATCATTCCTGAAAACAAGGAATATCCATGCCCGCCAAGGCATCTTCGCGCCTCTTCGATACCATCGGCAGCAAGCTTGGTGCAATATGACTTCAGACCAGAAGAATAAACATGGACATCTTTCAATAAGGAGACATCTCCTTTTGAAATATCAGCATTATACTGGGCGTACATTTCATTCATCCAGTATCCTGAAAAAATTGTAGCAAATGCATGCGAAATCAAAGGCAGAATACGGGATTGGACTCCTGGATAGTCTAGAACCTGCGTCTCAAGATCTGTTGCGATATCTACATTACCCTGACGGCGAACAGCACAGTACCGGGTAGCAATCGTTGCAGCTGAAATTTGTAAAATAGCGTGGTTCAAGATTCCATATTAGTGTCTGTATGGAGTATATATGGAGCCTATCTGTTTAAAAAAAAAAAAAAAAAAAAAAATCGAACATCAACATACCTCTGGCCATGGAATGAGCTGAATGATTAATCAGTGTCGCACGAACGGCAGTCATACCTCCGTATGCCAGTTTGGGATGGATGGGCTTTGAGTAGACGCCATCTCGTGAGACTTGCGAAAACCGCATAAGCATCTGTGTTAAAGACGAATAAAAAAAAAATAATTAATGACCTGATGTTTCCGGATTGACAGGATTGACAGGCTAATTTTGACGTAAAGCTTCAAGAGCAAAAACGTACATTCTCTCGTGGAATACGCACGTTATTGAAACGTGCATATCCATTGTCCATCGAAATAGCGCCTTGTTTAGGGCCCTGATCCCTTATGAATACACCAGGTAAGAGACTGTGATCCTTCAATGATCGGATTGGCACTAAGAATGGATGAGCACCATAATCTTTGCCCTTTATAATCAGTTTAGCCTGAACCAAGGCATGGTTAGCCAGTTTTCCCAGGGATCCGATCCAAAACTTTGCAGAAGACTGCGTGGGGGAGTTGATCACCCATTCATCACGGTCAATGTCAAGTGTGGCCGTAGTTTCGAGCCGAGACAATGCCGACCCGTGCCCAAGCTCGGTTTGTGCATAACTGCATGAAGGGAAAAAATAAAAGAATGAGCGTAATGTCCTGGTTGCACAGACTTTTTTCTTCCAAGGATGCTGAATGATAGGTCCAACACATACCATCCGATATAATGATAATTCTCGGAGAGAGGACCCCATTTCTTAAGCTGTTCTTTGCTGGCCTGGGATCTCAAGACGGGTAAGAACATGGCTTGATCAATGGAAAGGAAACAAAAAAGTTGGTTAGGACCTATGGGATGTTCTTTAACCAACATGAGCAATAGTAGAGTTTCCTTCACCTACATTCATGAAGGTGAACCGGAATATAATCATCTACATAGACTTTGAAGTAGGCAGACTCTTCGGGAGTGAGCCCATGTTCGTTACGTAGCTCGACATATCGCTTCACCATTGGCAGCGCTCGTTTGAAACGCTAGTTTTAGTAAATTAGGTAGAGCAAGGTTAATGGGGATGTCAATCTCACGCGCAGGTCAGCAATGAGACATGTAATTTACCTCTGTTCTTCCGAGGAAGTATCGATCGGAGCGATCAAAGACAGGATCATTGTCGACCATGGCTTCAATCTTCTTGAGCCGTCTCATTTTTTCCTCACCACCATAAAAAAGTGGAGTGAGCAAGGCGGGGTCAAATGTACATTTTTTGCGCTCGGCAGCAATATCGAGCTGCTGTTGGTTTTCAGCCGATGGCATAGTAATTAACAGTAGAGACTAAAAAAAAAGGCAAAATGCGGGCGGTGCAGATAAAAGTTTAAAAAAAGGTGAAGAGAAGAAGAAAGTTGAAGGAAAAAAAGAAGTAAAATATGAAGATAGAAAGAGAGAAGATAAAAAGGAGAGAAAGAGGAGATAGAAAGAGATAACGAATGAAACGATGGCCGATGGATGACTTTATGAGACACAGTTTAAACAAGCGCATGTGCTCTGTGTGGGGAAAGGACCGTATTTAACCTTATTGCAGAAATCAATCAAGGGAAAAGCAAAAGACCATTGCCCCGGAGTCGGTGATTAGTGGACAGACCAATTCGCCGTTGGGTTCATGTTGTTGGGGATTTGGATTGGCGGGTGTACTTTACCCGTTTTTCTCGTGTCATGTCATATCTTTATCTCATTATATTGAAACGGTTTTGCTCGTCATGTGGACAAGACGAGCCCATCCACCCATCATTGCCCAAATGGGTACAATTTGTATCTGCGCCTGAGGTATCTGAGGTTTGAGGCACGTTGCTTTTGCGTCAAAAATATCCTTCCTATTGTTTTCGTTGACTACTCGTGGTACAAAAAAAAAAAAAAAGGAACCACACAGGTAGAATCAGAGTAATATTTGGTTTCTCTTCTTTCATTTTTTTAGTCGCCCATACTCTTCCTTTCATCAATAATGAATAGCAATGATCTGAATCGCCAATTTGGTAGGCAATCTAGCAATCCAGCACATCTACATCATTCTGTCAATGTCGTAAACTCTTTCTTTCTCTGGTCTATATTGCTACGGGCGAAGCTACTTCTGGCTTTGTTCAGAGCCCGTTCTCCTCAAGCTTTTTTTTTTTTTTTTTTTTTGAGTCAAACACATTAAAAAAAAAAAAGCTTGGCCTGTCTCTCTCTTTCTCAATACAGCTAACATGGACGTCAACAGTGATGCTCGCAACAACAATAACAGCCGACCTTCACGACAGCGGGTACCATATGTTCCACCTCACTTGAGGAACCAAGCCACTTCTACTTCCGCACCTGTTCAACGCACCACTGATAGGTAAATACAGCTTCTTCAGCCTTCATTATTTAGCGTAAGAGAGAAAAAAAAACGCGTCCAAGTTTCTAAGTTCGTAACATGAATATGTTGATGATCACATATAGCTGGGATGCTCCTATTCGTTCCAACAACAACAGCAGTCACCGCTCTGGAGGAGGTTGGGGTGGTGCTTCAGATAGTGGATATAATCGTGGTTGGAGCAATGGCCAGTCCAGCGGACGCTATTCCTCGGGCGGTGGTAGCGGAGGCAGCTGGAACGAACGCGCTTCTTCAGGCGGATATGGTGGTCGCCGCAACGAAACATCATCTAGTGGCTATTCTCGCCCTGACCGTGACATTGGCACTTTCAAAAACGGCGTTCAAACTCCTGCGTCACGCAACCCTCGTCTGGAACGCGAGTTATATGGAACTGAGGATAAAGAGCGTCTGACCACCGGGATCAATTTTGAAAAGTATGACGATATCCCCGTGGAGGCTTCCGGACATGATGTCCCCGAGCCAATCTTGTCTTTCACCAGTCCTCCGCTTGACCCTCTGCTTCTCGAAAACATTGAACTCGCCAAATACACCCAGCCTACTCCCGTCCAAAAGTATTCCATCCCTATCGTTGCAGCGGATCGTGATTTGATGGCCTGTGCACAGACTGGCTCAGGAAAGACCGGAGGTTTCCTTTTCCCTATCCTCTCAGAGCTTTTCAAATGCGGGCCTAAGCCTTCTCCGGATCATGGAATGAACCGGTCCCGTAAGGCCTACCCGGTTACCCTTATCTTGGCTCCAACACGCGAGCTGGCATCGCAGATCTGGGAAGAGTCACGCAAGTTCGCATACCGCTCCTGGGTTCGATCTTGTGTGGTTTACGGAGGTGCCGATATCGGTCAGCAACTACGACAGATTGATAAAGGGTGTGACTTGTTGACTGCTACTCCTGGCCGTTTGGTCGATCTAATTGAGCGTGGCCGAGTCTCTCTAGCCAACGTCAAGTATCTTGTCTTGGACGAAGCCGATCGTATGCTCGACATGGGATTTGAACCTCAGATTAGACGCTTGGTGGAAAAAGAAGATATGCCTGGAGTTCAGGACCGCCACACACTAATGTTTTCAGCCACATTTCCTCGCGATATTCAACATTTGGCTCGTGACTTTTTGCGGGACTACATCTTTTTATCCGTTGGTCGGGTTGGGTCTACATCGGAAAATATCACTCAAAAGATCGAATACGTTGAGGACGAGGACAAGCGCTCTGTTCTTCTAGACATCCTCCATTCCCAGACCAAAGGGGACCTAGGCCTGACCTTGATTTTTGTCGAGACGAAACGTATGGCCGATTCTCTTTCTGATTTCTTACTCAGCCAAAATTTCCCAGCTACCGCAATTCACGGTGATCGAACCCAATATGAACGTGAACGTGCCTTAGACATGTTTCGATCTGGGCGCTGTCCTATCATGGTGGCAACTGCAGTTGCTGCGCGTGGATTAGATATCCCCAATGTGACCCATGTTGTGAGCTATGATCTACCAACAGATATTGACGACTATGTTCACCGTATTGGTCGTACTGGCCGTGCCGGCAACACCGGCTTAGCGACAGCGTTTCTTAACCGTGGTAACAAAGGCGTGGTGCGCGATTTGATCGACTTGCTCAAGGAAGCTAATCAGGATGTTCCAGGTTGGCTTGAGACTTTAAACCGTGAGTCATCCTACAACAGTGGTGGACGAGGTCGTGGACGAGGTCGCGGACGAGGTGGTCAAGCAGGTAATCGTGATTACCGCAAATATGGAGGTGGTGGTGGTGGTGGCAATGGCCATGATTATTATGGTGGCGGTGGTGGCTATGGTGGCGGAGGAAATTATTCCAACAAAAGTAGTTGGTTCTAAATGACCATGTGCTTTTGGATACATTTTTTTCTTTTTTTTTGTTAAATTTGTGAGGATAGCTTGGACTTTGGGTAGTCTTGAGTGATATACCCGCTCCGCAATGGAACTGGATCCTATCGATAACACTAGTCTTTTCCAAAGGCACTTTATTCCTCTTTTCTAATTTGTGTAAAAATTGGCATTCTTCCCTTGACGCCTTTGTACATTAGCAAATTGCAATATCTTTTAATAAAAAAAAAAAAAAAAAAAAAAGAATATTGGTGGAGCTTGGTCACGTGCTTATGTCTCTATTTTCCCATGTAAATTGGATCAAAGGAAATGTAAATCACCGTTCAGAAACTTTTTTTTTTTGCACCGCTCAAAAACTATTCCATTTCTCCATCAGCAATGTCTTCTTCAGAACAATACATCAAGACAGAGTATCCGGTCATCGACTCAGACCCCCACTTTTTGCGTGTCGTACGCTACATGCGTGGCTCGGATTATGTCGCCTGGGGCACTCTGACAGCCGGAGCACCAGCTATCCTCTTGGCTTTTGGTAAAGAGTAAACAAATTTCTCAAAGGAAACGATATTTATAATAACTGAAGGGCAAAAGAAAGAACGAAAGAAAGAAAGAAAGGAAAAAAAAAAAAAAAGTACGACAGGAATATCGAGCGATGAGTACACGGATATGTGATCCAAAATACACGAGGGAAAAAAGGCAAAAAAAGATAAAAGCAAAGGTGAAAAATAAAGGAAACGGACCAATTGGGCATTACGTTAGGATTGAGTGCTATTGTTCTGATGCAATGGCCATGATTCCTCGAGATAATGTTTTAAATTTCATGGGGATAATCTATTGAAGAAAATGAAGGCAAACATTGTTGGAACCTCTAGTCAACAACAGCATTACTATGGGCGAGGACCATTCAGGATTTTTTTTTTTTTTGAAAGGGTAAGTAAGCTCATGTCAGTTATTCTTATTTTTCATATCAATAGAGCGAATCAGACCTGCTGCTGGACCAAAAGGAATCAATGTTGCATTGGGCCTTGCCACCGCCATGGGTTTCATGGGAGGATTCCTTTATTCTTATCAGAAGTCAAGTCGTACGTACCAGCAAAAAAACATATATATCCTACGCATTATCAATATGAATGACAAAAAGCTAGTTATCCAAGAATCTGATTGTTTTTTTTTTTTTTTTTTTTTTTTAAAAAAAATTATTATTATTATTATAATTTTTTTCTTATAGTTCGTTTTTGGGGATGGGATGAAAATGCTAGAGAACAGGCTATGAATCGTACCGAGATGGAGGATCGTGCTGCCAAGGGTCTTCCTGCTTATGGAGAACCCACTATGGATGACGTTACTCAAGCCGCTGCTGCAAGGAACTCCAAATATGCCGCGCTCAAGTTCTGTAAGACTCTTTTTTTATAAGTCAATACTTTTCCTTTCAGTGTCATATCTTATATTTATGGGTCCTAACTTATATTTATATATCCGCCGCTTTTTCTTTTGTTGGTTCCTTTTTTAGCTGCTTTCCCCTGGTTTAATACCACAAACCACAAATACCATCTTTCTCAGGACACTACTCAGAATGACAAGTAGATGTATTTGATTGACTAATTGAAGTGAACGCAGTAGATTAAAAGAAAGAGGGGAAAAAAAATGTATCATGCTTCGTATTTAGAGGCGTGCAAATACAATGCATGCTTTGTTGATATGTTGTTCGAAATAACTTCCTAATCCACCAATGCATTAACAAGTGAGGATAATGACTCCAAAATGATAATAAGTAAAACTAAACCTCTAACGTTGTCCGTCAAAGGAATAAATCTCTCAGAAAAATTACTTTGAAATTTCTGGCTTGACTTCAAAAAGGCTCTGTTGTCTCTCTGCAAAAGTTCTTTTAAATATCAATAACATTTGAAAACCTGTAGCTATAAACCGATCAAAGAAAGAAAAGTACATCGATTCTTTTAGATTCCATCCACCCCCATATGTATAGGTTAATCCTCCTGTTCTTAAGCAAAACAATACGGGGCAATATGTCCAATAATGACTGACCTAAAGATTCCCAACAATCATCAGTGTTGAATAAAAGATTGGCATACAGATGCACATAAACATTTCAGGCAACTTTTCTTCGAGGCATTTGCCTATTTGATTATAATTGAGAAAGGCTTTTTTATTATTCCTATTATTATAAAACCTACAAAACTGTAAACTGGCCAATCTTATTGTCTCAACCGGTGTGCATCACGCTTTTCCTTCTCTTCTGCAATGGCTAAAAGCGCATCAAACTCTGTTGAGCGCTCGCACATGGATTTAAATATACCACCCTCCTTGCGCATCAGAGTATAGGGCTTGTCATATTCTACCACCTTTCCCTGATCTAAGACCAGAACTCGATCAAAATCTGCAATCGTCCTTATACGATGAGCGATCGTAACCATGGTCGCATCTGCCATCTCTTCTCGGATGGTGTTCTGAATCTTGATATCTGTCTCAAAATCTACGCTGGCGGTAGCTTCGTCCATGATGATGATCTTCGGTTGGCGAACCAGTGCACGAGCCAGAGCAATTAACTGGCGTTGGCCTTGAGAAAAGTTTGAACCATTCTCCTTTACACTCGTGTCGAGCGTAATCTTGGAGGGGTCCACAATCACGTCGGTATCAGACTGAGAACCTTTGACTGAAGGTGCAGGCGATTGAGAAGATGAAGAGGGATTTGCAGTATCTCGATCTGAGATAAGAGCTTCTGTACCCTGACGCTTAGCCGCCTCTACTGGAATTAAGTGGCTCCGCCTCAATGCTTCCCAGAGCTCTTGATCTTCACGTTCGCCGAAGGGATCCAAATTGGAGCGAAGAGTGCCTTTGAAGAGAATGGGGTCCTGAGGAATGATCGTTAAGTTAGACCGAAGATCTTGGAGACCAATCTTACTGATATCAATGCCGTCAATGCAAATGCTACCACTTGTAGGGTCCATGAAGCGGAACAAACTAATAGCGAACGTCGACTTGCCCGATCCAGTACGGCCCACGACACCAACCTTCTCACCAGCCTTAATCTTGACTGAAACATCCTTGAGAACATCAGGGGTATCAGGTGCATAACGAACTGTAAGATGATTGATAGTAATCTCACCAGAGTGAGGCCAGGAAGCTGGGGGTCTAGAGCCCTCAATAATTGCTGGAGGCTCTTCCTCAATATCCATGTACTCAGAGACACGCTCAACTGCGTTCATGTTCATCTCGTTCTCAGCATATACACGAATGATCCACACGATGTTTAAGGTAAACATGAGCGAATAGCTTAAACTTAGCGCAGCCCAGCCAGGGGCGATTGACTCCCAGTTGCGCAGAACTAACATTCCAGCACTGAAAGAAACCAGTGCACCCGTAATATCGACTCGCCAATGCAACCATCGGTTCGTCGCCCAGAGAAGGAAGAAGGTCCGGTTGTTGTCATCCAAATTGACCAAGTTTCTCGTCTGGAATCGCTTTTCAAATCCATAGGCACGAATGGTGGCCACACCATTAAGAGATTCGTTGAAGTGATTCAAGATTGGTGACTTGGAGATAGAGTTTAGTCTTTTGCTACGTTACAGGAAATTAAAAGCAAAGAATGTCAGCAATTAAAATATGGCAATTACTTCCTTTAGCTTTTTAACAAAAACAAACACTTACAGATCTCTGCTGACAGGAACATAGATATATCCTAGAACAACGTAAATGGCGACAATAAAGACAGCAGCAACAAGGAACAATGGAGTGTTGACGGAAATAATGAAAATGATACCAAGGAGTGCGATCGCATAGCCAAGGAAACTTTCTAGACCACGGAGAACTTGCTCATCGATTGTCGCAATATCCGTGCTGAAGCGATTAATGATTCTGCCAATGGGCGTGGTGTCAAAGAAGCGGACTTTGGCACGTGAGACCTTGTAAAGCAAATCTTTATGAATGACTCTGGATCCTCGGATGTTGCCTACAACCAATGCATAAAACTCCGCGAGCGAGTAAAAGATTGCTGTGGCAAGGCTGAGAAGAATATAAACGCCAAGATAATATACGACGTTGTCGGGTCCAGCGACTTTCATGGTCACATCATCAGATAAATTCCCGCCTTTCGGGGTAAACGCTGAGTACACAGATTGGATAATAGGTTCAGGTGTAATCCTTCGAATGGCCATAATAACAAAAGCTCCAGTATCTTCAGCAGCCTTGTTGGCCCAGATAGCTAACCACCCATTTTGGCTGATACTGATCAGCTCGCGTACTATCAAGAAAGCGAGGATGCTGATCCAGAAGAACCACCCGCCGGAGGCAGTCAAATATATTTTGTAGACACTCCAGGAAACAGAACCCTCTACTTTCTTTTCATCTTCAATAAGCTTCGAAGCCTTTTTCTCGGGCTTTTTGATATTCCTGGCAGCACCTTCATCATCTAGGGTACTGACTTCGCTCGAATCATCTGCCACTGGGGTGGCCAGCGTCACATTTTCAATCCACTTGTTACGCAAAACAATCTCTGGAGTGCCTGTGCCAACAACCTCGCCATTATCTAGAACAACAACATAACTGGCTGCACTCAATGACAATTGGACTTGGTGAGTGACCATAAGAATAGTACGACCTTCCATAAGTGGCCCAGTCAAAGTTTGGAATAGCTGCTTGCCCGTGTGGGTATCGACAGCAGAAAGACAATCGTCCAGAAGAAGGACAGCAGCGTCGGAATATATAGCACGAGCAAGGGAGACACGCTGCTTCTGGCCTCCAGAGAGTGTAATTCCTTGCTCCCCAATTTCGGTTGCATCACCGGCTTCAAGGATATCGAAATCGGTTACTAAGGCGCAGCCCTCGATGACGGCATTATAACGAACCTCATCAAATTCCTTGCCAAACAGAATATTGTCACGGATAGTCGAGTTTTGAAGCCAAGCTGTCTGAGCGACGTATGCAATCCCAGAACCTCGACCGCGTGTGTGAGTTTCGTCATAATCCAAACGAGGCAAATATGTTTTTCCTTCTAGGCGGTCAAGCTCACCTAGAAGAGCAAGCAATAGAGCAGACTTTCCAGATCCAGTAGGGCCGACAATCAACGACAGCTGGCCGACAGGGAAATCAGCGGAAATGCCCTTGAGCTTGAAACGCTCTTGTACAGCCTCGGGCGCACTAGCGGGCCCAGCAACGGGCTCAGGGTTCCTTGAGAACTTACTCTTCAACTTTTGAAGCCATGACTTTTTCTCAGTTACTTCTTCAGACACATTGTCCTGCTCTTTATTGGGCCAGGTAAAAGAAGCATTGACAAAACCAATCAAAGGATAAGATTCAGAGTGCGTGCGAGCTTTGCCATCAAGCCTAGTCACTGTCGTATCCCTGATGAGCTCCTCTTCCTCTTCCACAAACTTAGCGATACGCTTCATGCTGACAGAAGCCTTCGTGGCGTGTCTGATAGCCCAAGGAAGCGTGTTCAAGGACATACGCATGATGTTGATAAGCGATAATGTAGTAAACAAGATTGAGGCTGAAATTTCATTCCCGTAGAGCTTTGTGTAGACTAAAAAGAAGACCACAGTGTTCAGGAGCGGAATAATCTGCCAGGCAATGCCGGCAAAGCACATTCGGACGTAGGTTTTCCTGATTTGCTTGAGTTCCTTCTCGCGTGCGTTATTGATCTTTTCGACAAATTTGCTCTCCCAACCAAAGAACTTGACAATGCGAATAGCTGATAACATCTCTGTAAGGTAATCCATGCGGTCATCCTTGTTTTCCATAACTGCCGCAAAGAGCTTACCAATGGTAGCGTATAGGAAAGCAGGAACAGGTAATGTGATAATCATGAATCCAATACCGATAAAAGCAGCCCGTCCAAGTAGCAAATAGAGTTGATAGGCACCCAAGCTAAACTGAATAGGGATCGAGTAAAGCTCATACATATAGCAGAAAATCTGTTGCAATGCCTCGATATCAACACCAACCAAGTCTAACCACGTAAAAAAAAAAAAAAAAAAAAAAAAAGAGTGAGATTGGATGGAAAAATTATAACAATGAGGAACGAAGAAATTAAATAGTTTACACCATGGACTTACTGGAAACGTTTAAGCCACGCTTCTTTTTGTTCACATCCGAGTCGGCTTTCTCTTTTTTGTCAGCATTTTTGTCAGCATTTTTGTCAGGGGAGGCCGTGTCTTTGCGACGAAGTGCTTTTGCAAAAACCTGCTCATTGCAGATTGAAACCAAGTGGATATAGAGGCGACGACCTCGATGCAAAGCTTGCTGCTGTGCAGCTGACTCGAGTATTGTTACCATAAACAAAGCGAATACCCACAAATAGTTATTGAATGTTGGTGGGCCACAATCCTTGCATTCAATGTATTTGATGATCTTGTTGAGACAGTAAGGCGAAGCAACAGCAAGCATACTATAAGGGACTCCCCAGCAGAACTGGATGATAATGTCACGACGGACAGCAGTGAGGGCAGCTCGAATAAATTTAGTCTGTTTGCTAAAATAACCAACAAATGTTAACACAAACATGTGAATAAAGTATACATTGACAAATGGCTTTGTTTGTGTGTGGATGATGGATGCCTTGTAGTGCGAAATACTTACTGGAGTCTTTTAAACTTGTTAACAGTGTGTTGTGACAGATCTGTTGGTTCCAGATCAGGCAGATCAGCACTTTGAAGAGGCTTCTTGAGGCCGAGGTAAACCAGGGGATTAATCCAGGAGAACGCGATCTGGGAATAAAAGGACGAAGATAATTCAGCAGAAGGAGTACGGGGGACCTCGCCTTCTCTTGGTTTTCTGACCGTTGCTAATGGTTGAGTTGGTGTGGTCACCAACGCCACCAAAATTAATAGAACAACCGTGATCCAAATAGCACCTTCCATCTTGAGTGAAAGAGACCATTCACTTGCAGGCAGCTCCAAAATATCTGCACGGTATAGCCGGATTGCCGATAGAACAAGCTCAAGTACATAAAAAAAGTCCATTTGAGGTCGAAGCAGGAGCTGGTGAGAAGCAGTAGGGCGGATAAGATGCACAAAGGATAATACCAAGGCATATACCCAGGATAAAACCCTAATACCACCTAATAAGCTCCTGGATGTGTGAATGAGAATCATCGAAAACACAGCCAAACCCAGCTGGAAAGTCGTGAGTCCTAACCGAGCAAAATTGATAGCCATGCCAGAAGCACGTTGTGCTTGGTATTGTGCTTGGAATGACTCTAGTACCACTGAATCCGAATGTGCAGTATCGCCTCTTTGATGGTCCTCGATGGCAGCATCATCATTATTCTGAAGACTTTCTCTCACCTCGTCATACTGATCGAGATGAATAGGCTTCTTGGTGAGATAGAAAATTAATCCTACGGAGGCAATTGAATAAGCCAGTGGTAGGGTGGAATCCACCAATCTACAGAGAAAAATGAAATAAATTAAATAAATCGTTGCCCTCAACTTTATTTATCTTCATGATAGAAGCATATGATCCAACATGAGTGGGATTCAAACATACCCGACAGTGGAATCCATTTCTCTGAATTAAACTAAAAAGTTTTTGCACTTGCTTAAATCGAAAGTGTGGACCGAACAGAATGGAAATGATATTTTACACGGCCTGTCAGCTGAGTTGTATCTGATCCGACGAGTACGATTAGAACAGTCGAAAGCAGGAATGACTAGTTGAAGGGTGACAGGGAGGCGTGGGTTGAGAAGAGGGTGGACAAAAGAGAAAAAAAAAAGAAAAGAAAGGGAAAAAAAGTGAATCGCTCACCTTTTTGCTTAAATAAGGTGAAGATAAACAACATGGATGGTGTTGTTGAATCGCCGCACTTTCTCATAATCGACATGTTGTTGGTCATACAGGGCTCTCATTCGTCAACCACTCCTTGATTAGTCTAATTGGGCAATGGGGCGGATAAAAAGTATAAAAAAAAAAATAAAAAAAAAAGCGAAGCAGAAAAGACTTTTTCCGGACATACTTCAACGTAAATGTACATTCGTATGTACTCAACAACCATAAGTGGACTATTGATCATTGTCAATAGAGCTCCATTTCATTTCGAAAACAAAAATCTTCTCGTATCTTCTATCCCGACATGTATTTCCAAGTGAAGGCTCGTCTATTTATTTCGCCCACCCTTCATCTTAATGGTCCCTCAAAGGAAAGTATGAATGGTCTTCTTAATAAGAAACATTCATTTTCCGCAGCACTAGGCCGTGATCATTGGACCAAATTCGGGACACAAGCATGTGCACTGATAAGAAAAGAGAGCCGAAATCAGGGCGGCGTGTGTTCCTGGGAAAGGCCATGTGTGAATGGAGGAGGGTCATGCTCAGTCAGTCCAATCAGGTTGGTGAAAGGCACTGCCACTTTCTCAGGGAATTTTTACACAGTCCAGGTACGTCCATATAATGTTTTGAACACTTTGCATCATACATGTATCCTAATCTGCACTTTAATCGTGTGAGAAATAAAGATGCAATCTTAGACTATGCCATTTAATATTCTCTTAACCTAGAATATTCGTCGTTGTGTTTTGTGCGAGAAAAAAAATGGTAGAAGAAAAAAAAAAATAAAAAGAACAATGGTCTTTAAAAAAAGAGATATGCAAATAAAAAAGCGATGACTGCTGCTCCAGCAACATAGCTAATAGGATAGAGCCCTTGTTGGACATAATTCTGGTGTTGAATCGCGCCCACTGTTGGTGCTACGGCGTTCGACTCGGGCTTGCGTGGACGGACCTAATTTTAAATGCAGAAAACACCAGATACATTCATATTTGTGAATTGTTCAGTGGCCAATATATCACAGGTGCTAGTTTTTTTTTTTTTTTTTTTTAAGCAAAGCAATATATGACATACAGTGTTGGTCTCTTTCTGCAACTTATCGATCGAATTTTGAAGAGTTTGGATAGTCTCACGAGCTATCTCTAGTTCGCGTTTCAGGACCGAGACGTCGATATTGCTGGAAGGCGATGAGGATGACGCACTATGGCTACTCCTACTAGCCTGCGTGGTATGGATTGGTGATGCTATCGGTGCAGGCTCTGTCTGTTGATGCTGCTGTTGATGGGCGTCCGTAGGAGCATTTTGGGTACTACTTCCGCCACTCTGTGATCCGTGTTCATCCTCTCCCTTGATCCGAGTTGTGCCAGGTTCGGTAGGATGCACAAAGACACAACGGATCTTTTTCTCACGGATCTGATCCTTTGCATCCCGTTCCATTGTAGGCCACTATTGATGTTGGTTTTAATATGGGAAAATGAAATGGCTTGGCGTAAATAGATGCAGACACTCTCTACACTCCTTGTATGTGAAAACTGAAACAATATAGAATGGATGAAAGGACAAACCAGGTCAGCCGCAGGTAACTGCTCGCGTTCAGCAGTAATAGCAACGCTCTGGACCAAGAACTTGTCTTTGCACTTGAAGTCAGCAGGTGGCTCCTCCTTCATGGCCTGCATTTGAACTAGACACGGACCATAAAACAAATGCGCGTGTACAAAATACTAATGTTAGACGCGTGGCCCCTCATTTGTCTTTTTTTTTTTTTTGGATTTTCTTGGGAAATAAAGATGATGTACGGTTTCATCAGGCTTTCGATGATCCCGACATTATGAAAAGTAATATTGTTCCTGTCATGGTGATCCTGATGAAACCAAAACTCACCCTGCACTTCCAGCTCAGCTCCTGGCTCAATACGCCCAGAGTTGGGGCGGACACAATATTGCTTTGGAGCAGTAGTCTTGACCTTAAAGGCGATGGGCAATTGAGTAGGGTTGCGGATGATCAAGGACTCCTTGATAGCCTCCGTCAAAGGTCCTATTTTTTTAATTTTTTTTATGAATTGTTAGTTGTTCGAGATGGTCATAACCATTTTGTTGGCATTATATTATATGAAAGCGTGATCGGATCCAGTTGAATGCTTACGTCTGAAGCAGAGTTGAACCGAAGGTTCGAGTTCGATGGACATTGCGTGTGTGTTTGAGAGGATGACGAGGATGGATTGAAAGAAAAAAGAAGTCAAGGGCAACTGAGAGGGTAAGTGAGAGTGAAAGTGATGAAAAGAAGTAAAGAGGTAGGAAAAAAAAAAAAAAAAAAAAAAAAAAAGAACTTTTGTCGCGACAGGAAACAAAGCTCTCGATGATCAAAATCCCATTCTTTACTGTGCTCATAGTTCTCATTGTTGGCTTTACTCCTGTCTTTTATGTTTTTCATATGCACTCGTCTATACTGAGAATACAGAATACATTATTAATATACAGCAATGAACAAATGACACCACGCCATTTCATTGCTGGATGTCATATTATGCTAGATGCCAATATGTTTTACCTCGTTGAAACTGACACATGAAAAACCAATTGCCAAATACTGGGAACGACACCTTTGTGAGTCTGACTTTCACCCTCACAGCACAAAGAACCTTTTGAAAAAGGCACAGAGCACAATGAACGACCAGCACCTCGTGGCTCTTGTCACCCGAGACAAAGGCTCCATTTCTGTGTTGCCCCTTTTTTTACTTTATTTTATGTGATCAAGGAGAGATTTGCTTGTCCATCACACACACGGCCCTCTCGTCATCACAGATCTTCTCTCGCTTTCTTGTTTACATCTCTCTCTCTCTTTTCCTTCTCTCTTCCTTTCGCTTTCCTCTATCTCTTTCTAATAACCAAATCTTAATCTCTTCCACTTTCACTCTCACTATCAACTTACCAACAATCACCAAGCTCGGGTTCAAGTAACGATCGAAAATATCTGACAGGATTCTTGGGACGGCTACAAACAAGAAAAAAAGAGAGAAAACAGTCAATCATCATCACAGATGCCCAGCATCACACTCAACAATCCTGAGGACAAGGCTTTAGTCAAACGATTCTTGTCATCGCCTAGCACTAGGATCATCACTGCAACAGTCGCTAGGCTTTATGTTGCCTATCCTGATCCATACCAATGGACTTATTCTGGCATCTTGGGTGCAGTAGCCTTGATCCAGACAAGTCATACTTTCTACTTGCGCATCGTCGACCTCTTGGTAAGAAAACGAAGCTTTTTTTTGAAAAAAAAAAAAAAAAAAAAAAAAAAAAAAAATGCCATTGAATCTATTCTAATAACTTGCTTCGATACCTCATGAATGATAAAACTTGTAGTATAGCAGAGGTATAGTTTGGGAGCAGGAACTCTATGACGGATTCGTCTACTCGCAAGACAAACCATTTTTTCATACGTTTCAAACAGATGTAAGGCATCACCATTCTGAACCAAGAAAAAAAAAAAGTTGTCAATGTGACTTACAGCTCACCTTTTTTTTTTTTTTTATCTTTTGCACAGAACTATGTTGCAGGGTTCTCGTTTGCAGATGAACATGAAGCAGAAGTATTTTTTGGAAAAGTGAACGGACGGGCACAACTTCGACCATGTAAGTTTTTTTTAAAAAAAAAAAAAAAAAAAAAAAAAAAAAGCTGATGATGTTCACCCCATTACTCTCTACACTTCTCACTCTGTGTCAACAACTAAAACTTCCTTACGCAATATAATTGTTAACATCAAACATATTTATCGTTAAAATACACTAGTCAAACCGGTACCAACTGCAGGGGCATTGGCAAAATCAGGAAAGTCAGGAGGCGCTCAGGGTCGAGGTAGAATCCCTCTACAGAATGGAAAAGTAGACAAGTCCCGCATCGGACTCCCTTCAGATTTTCGACATGTTGGCCATATCGGTTGGGATCCTGACATTGGTTTTGAAGTAAGTTAGGCTAAATTCCTATTACTTTTTTGCTCCTTCCCCTCTCCCGCCCCTCGTCCCCCCTATTTCTCTTTTCAAAGGTCATCATTCTTTGTAAAAAGAAGTGAGCAAAAAAAAAAAAAAAAAAAAAAAAGTGTCAACGATTTGAGTGGGCAGAATCAGATAGGGGCAAACAGCGGCTTTTTGTAATGCATACGTTTATCATGTGTTCAACCAAAGAGCATAATAGCAGTATCTTTTAACAATAACCTTGATGAATCATACTAACACCTCTTGTACCTTTGACATGTATTTACATCCTTACCAGGCTCAAAACATTGATCCAGCATGGCAAGAGCTATTTGATCAACTCAATATCTGTGGCGTCAGCAAACAACAGATCAAAGAGAACGCGACTTTTATTACCGATTTCGTCAATGCACATGGTGGGTTGAGTAAAAAACAAATCGAAAAGGCCCAGCTATCCAATGGACATACTTTATACAAATCTCCTTCACCCTTCACTGGTGCTAGCAGCGGTAGTGGTGCTGCTGCTGCTGCCACAACTACTCCATTACGACCTTTATCTCCACAGCAAAAACGGCCACCACCTCCACCACCTCCACCACCGCCAGTATCAACTGCGGGCGCCTCATCCCCAACTACACCTTTGTTGGCATCCCCTACTCCCTTTCATGGGTATCTGCCAAGACCATTGGTTCAGGTCATGGCCAGCCTATCTTCCTTTGGTTATAATCAGTCATCTACCACAGGCCCACAACCTACAGACTCGTCCTTGCTACCTATTGTACCTGTCGAGCCAATAGCAGAGCAATATCAACCGTCACTAGTGGGGGCGAATACAACAGATGGACGGTCTTCACCTCCTCCAACAGCCGTCGCGCCTCCACCACCACCACCTCCTCCTCCTCCTCCACCAGCATCACAGTCATCATGTCAAGCTCCTCCTTCGACAGTTGATACGGCACAGGCATCAAAATCAAATACAGGACCATCTCTCGTTATCAGCACCTCAAATCTAAATGCCATTCGACAATCGCTACGCCCATCCGGAACAAATGAGCATAAGAGCGAGACAAAGTACAGCAATGGCCAAGCAACACAGCTCAAGAGCCCAATTGAGAGTTCCTTGTTAGCAAGTATCCGAGAAGCAGGTGGATTACAAGGGCTGCGCAAGACGGGCGGCCTTCGATCTCCTCCACCAATGCAAAAACGTCCTGCTTCACCAATAGGACCGAGTAATAGTCAGGGAGATTTGGTCTCTGCTCTTGTGGCCGCCTTGAACCGGAGACAGACCAAGTTAACCTACAGTGATGACGATGATGATGGCCAACAAAGAAGCGATGACGATGATGGATGGGATGCAGATTGAAGAAATAAAATAAAGTAAAATAATTATAATAATAACCAACATCTTGGGGCGTACAAGTACCATGTGGTGTTTACGCCTGTTTCAAAAGTTATGTATGACCTGAACTCTATGAATGCAATGTAGATAATATAATGACAATAGAAAAAAAAAGAACATGTAAATGTAATGCTCTGCGCTGATTTGGCTTCCGGGGTCAACTTCCAAAGGAGGCAAGCAATCATAAAAAACGGAAGGAACAGGAGTGAAAAAAATCTTAAAGAACATATGGCTGCGGAGAATTTTACTCCGCTCCGAAATCCGACTGATGTCACCGTGCAGTGATTGAATGACATGCACAGCCTCACACACAGTCAGTAGTAAGTAGATCTTTTCTTTTTTCTCTAAAATGCTCTTCCTCCTACGTTCGGAAAGGGAGTAAACGGATTAATTCGACGTGCTCATTTTTTATTTTTCGTTCGGTTACATCTCCATCTTTAGAAAACCTTTTTCCTTGTCTTCCCTTAACCTCCCCTTCCTTCTGCGTTAGACGCCGTAAAGTTATAGTGTAATTTGTTTATACGGCAGTGTCAGTGTGACAATCACCATCACACAACGCACAAAGAACCAAAATGGTGGGTCCGTGCCATCTCTTTCCTCTCTACTCATATAAATCCCCCTTTCTATTCTTTTTTTTTTTTTTTTTTTTCCCACATCATTCTTTCAATCAAAAAATATACTCAAACACATTCAAACTTCACATTCAGGATCATATCCCAACTTCATTTTCATTGATTCATTTACATCGACATCGCTATGACCACTCTTGCTCCTTTACGATCAACACTGGTGCATCCATCTGCCCAGGCACCCATTTTCAAGTCGGCTGTCCAATCCTTGCTCAACATGAACAGCAAGCGATCTCTTTCATCCTTTACTCTCGCCTCTAAAACCTTTGCAAAACCTTGCTCAATCATCGCTCCTGCCACCTCAATCCGGTATCGTCAAGGATCACAATCATCTTCATCATCTTATCAACCATTCCAACATGAGCAACAAAGACTCTTCTCGTTCAAGTTTAAATCCTCTGCTTCAGATCTGTCCATGATCCCAAAGGCTATCCACAATGGAATCCCAGAAGTCTTGATGCATGAAATTCACCCCATGCCCATGCGTGATGAGTTTAAGGGCGACAAAAAATTATCCACAAAGGACTTGGAAGCCATTCCCATTGACCTGGGTTTCCATCGTGAGCCCAGTAATGTGAGCGATTGGGTTGCTTACCATGTTGTCAAAAGTCTTCGAATCCCTGTTGATTTGTTCTTTAGAACAAAATATATTCATCGTGTCGTCGCTTTGGAAACCGTTGCTGCTGTCGTAAGTAAAAAAAAATAAAATAAAATAACTCTATTCCTAATTTTATCGACCCCTGATCCCAATCCATCAAATCTGTGCTAACTGCTAATCTCATCTGGACTTTTTCTTTTTTCTTTTCTTTTTTTCTAGCCGGGAATGGTTGCTGGAATGCTACGTCATTTGCGTTCGCTGCGCCGATGCTCCCATGACGGCGGTTGGATTTCACATCTACTCCACGAAGCTGAGAACGAACGTATGCATCTCTTAACATGGATGAAGGTCGCTCAACCGACTCTCTTTGAGCGTGCTCTGGTCACAGCTGTCCAAGGTGTCTTCTTCAACGTGTTCTTTGCTCTCTACTTGGCCTCTCCTCGGACAGCACATCGTGTCGTGTTAGTTCAAACCTTCTGGTGTCACTATTTATTTATTTATTTTTTGCTGTATAATTTTTACTCATTTTACTTTTTTTTTTTTTTTTTTTTTTAGTGGCTATCTTGAAGAACAGGCAGTGATTTCGTATACACATATGTTGGACGAGATTAAGGCTGGCGTCCTTGAGAACGGTCCTGCTCCCAAGCTTGCTATCGAATATTGGAACTTGGAGGACAATGCCACAGTTCGTGATGTTTGTCTTGCCATCCGATTGGACGAAGCTGTTCATATGCAGACAAACCATCATTTCAGCGATCGTATCGCTTTGAAGCAAGAGGATCTTCGTGTTGACATTCACAAGTTGCAAGAGGAACGTGGCATGGTCCCTAAGAATAATGCTGAAGAAGTATGGTCCAAGCCAAACAAATATTAAGAGAACAAAAGAAAAAGTATACATTTATATCCCAAGTGCATTATCGTCTTTCATCTGAAACCGGGTTTCGACGATGGCATGAATAAGCATTCTTTCATTTTTACTCCATACGAAACAAATAAACAATAAAGCATAAACAGCACACACATATTACATAATTCAACAAATGGACTTATAAGTGGGCTGGATCACTAGAAACCTGTCAGTTTTATTGTACAATTCATCAGTCATATCTGAAAAAAATAAAAAATAAAAAAAAATAATGCCTAAGAAAAAAAAGAAAAAAAAAAAAACGAATGATAAAACTTGGAACATGAACACGATATTAAGAAAGGAAAACAAACAAGCAAAAAAAAAAAAAAAAAAAAAGTCTATGTTAATTGTAATAGGGAAAATAACAATGATGATGATGATGATAAAAAAATGGATTAAAATAATTATAATAATAATATTAGACTCTAATATCCTTCTCCAACCAGTTCTCTGCGCGACCTTGCATTACAAGATCCCGATACCACGACCCGTATACCTTCTTATTAAACTCAGCAACCGCCCTAATCTTCTCCAAAAGTGCAATCATCTCATCCTCGAGCCCTGTCAGTCCATGAGCCTCCATCTCTACCGTATTAAAACTAAGTTTTGCAGCAAGCGCCTCAGCTGCTGCCTTATTGGCTTCTTCGGCCGACATTCCTGGCGCTGCATCCTGCGATGGTGCCGGTGCCTGTGCTGATGCTGGTTCTAGTGTTGACGCTGTCAAAGTCGAAGCGGTGCCAGACTGAGATGAAGCTTCTGAGGATTGGTTTTTAACCACAGCCCCAGCCGATTGACAATCGCCATCGCCATTTTTGTTCTCCTGATCCTTAACAGAATCATTCGAGCTTGACTTTCCAACATCCATGCCGTTCTCATCCTCTTCATCTTCTTCAACCGTCTTCATTGTATCTCTCGAGCCGGTTGCCTTGGACATGGACATGGCAGAGGCTAACGTAGCACATGAGGCCGAAAGCACCATCATAGATGAGCAAGAATGCAAATAAAGCCAACGCCGGAAATGGATCAACAATCGCTTTTGAATCAATTGATAAAGCATTGATGTCTTGGTAAGCGCATTGTCCAACCATGCAGCTAGGAGATTAGTATCATTGCCAGAGAGCCCACTTGTAAGAGTTGACGACGAGGCAGATGGGCTTGGTGTCAAAGACGAAGACATTGCGAGTGAGCTCAACGGTACCGATAGAGTGGACGATGCTATCTTATCATTCTTCGCATCAGCCACTGCCCCGAGTGAAAGGCTATTGCGACGTTGCACTCCTATCAGTGTTGGGACTCCGACAGATTGGGATGGTCTTGCAACTCCAGATCCTGCTGTTACTGTAGAGGGAGTAGTCGTGCTCTTGTTTCTCTCTCGAACTTTCCTTGCGGCAAACTCGATTTGGATCACAATGTCTTTCATACCACTACTACTGGCGCTCGGCGAGGATTTGTCAGAGTCTCCTGTAGCAGCGGCGGCAGGTGCTCCCGGTCCAGGATTGGTATTTGCTCCAAAATTAGCATTCTCGTCTGTCAGCAATAGCCATACGACTTTTTTAATTTCGACAAGATCCTGCTGAGTCCAGGCATTTTGAGCCAATTGTCGAAAAAGGATCAGAAGAATACACAAGATGGTGAGGTCTTGAAAATCATTGTGGAATGAAAGTAACCTGTAGTGGTCAAACTCAAATGTTTCAGGCATGGTTTTAGTCGCCCTATGAGGACGTAGGATCATCTCCAATAAGCCTATTCACATTTGTAAAGTAATTATAATAAATGGGATAGTACTTTAGTAAATGATCCTACCTTTTTTTTAAAAAAAAAATAAAATAAATAAAACAACATATGTCTTAATATACCTTCATTGACAACTCCGTCCAAGATGTTCTCACCAATATCTGCTCTGATAATGGCAGACCGTCTTTTGTCATCAAGGATTGTAGAAGCAGATGACGATACAGTATTGGGTTCCTGTCCAGTATTACCATGATCAGTATCAAAAATCATAGTAACAGTGGTAGAAGTAGCCAAACTAGATCTTCTAGAGTCCAAATTAGACTGAGCTGAAGTCTCATTGTTAGTCACCTGTGGCCCAATAACTGTTCGCTTAACGGATTCCCATTGAATCCATGCGCGCTTGAACCAGCTTATCGTTCTTTCAAAAGATCCTCCTCGAGTCAAAAGGTCTGCAAAGTACTTTTGTTCAAAATCAACAGAGTTATTGAGTAGCCAAGGTCGAAGGGTACGTAGCTGATGGTTCGCAATATCCTGATATCAGCCAATAGAGACAGACACACAAACGAAGATAGTGAAAATGTTAGTGTAATCAGTATTCTGAAACGAAAGTTCAATTGGTACTCCAAAAAAAAAAAAAAAAAAAAAAAAACAGATCTTCGTATGCTTTACCAATTTCATCCATTCTAGGATCTCGAAGCACATTCGAATTCCACGAACAATCTCATCAAAATCCACGACAATGTTGACCATGGACTCAACCAAGGCATCTCGCATTGGCGCACAATGACCCTTCAAGCAATCTCCCAGGAACCGGAACAGCGCATGTACATCCAAGACTCCATGATCAAGCTCTTGGATAATCAGGTCTGGGTCTAACGTAGACATTAACTGAACACGCTCAGGATTGATTGGAGGAGGGTCAGGCTTGCCGTCTGGAGAAGTTGCTGGAGCTGGTGGAGTCGGAGGCAATAGTGAAATTAAAATTTCACGAAGCTCGTCAATCAACCGAGGCAACAAGACCGCCTTGGGCAATGGACACAATTGTTGGGCTTGTTGTTGAACTAAACGACTCGCTGAGCTCGAGGATGGCAAGCCTGCAAGGCTAAGCATGGTATTGCTGGCCTCACGACGGGCAGCAAGGGTTGCTCGTCGGTTATTCAGCTCAATGCCCACTTCACGCCAGAAACGATCCGCTTCTCTTCTCTTGACAAGACCCCGTTCACCATCAAAGTTGGGGCGGAACTGAAGATGAGGATCAAAGACAATGTCGTGCCGCAACTGGGGGTTCTTGAAGATCTCAAGCATGTCAAGTTCTCGAAGCGTCTCGCGAGTGATCGGTAGCATCAACGTTGCTGGGTCGCAGTCAACTGCTAACAAAGGTACAGGCTTTGGAAATGTGGATGATATAGCCTGATCAGGAACGCTTGAAGTAGTGGTCGCTTTGGCGAGGGGTGCAGCCGTCGTTTTATCATTTATATTCATTCGATGCGAGCTCTGGGCTGGAGTCGATATTGATGGTTGTATGCTTACAGCTGGTTTGGGCGCTGGAGCGGTAGCTATGTTTGAATGAACCTTTGAAGCCATACTGTGCTGTAGTGAGACGTCCTTACTGGGTAAACCATGCTGAGACTTGACCCCATCTTGAGATACATCCATGTCAAGTGGATGGATAGATGGTTCAATGTTTGCAAATTTACCAGGGCTTCGACTGTTGCCATTTTTTACGACGACGTTAGAGATGGTATCTTTGTCAAGAGGATGTATCCGTGGGGGCTGCTGCGCCTGTATTTGAAGGGTGATTTTGGCTTTAGCACCGTCCTCGCGTTGCTGATCAGTATTCTGCCATGTCATCTGTTGAGCATTTCCGTCATCTGTCGTGTCAGAGCTCTGATGTCTCGCCCTCTTCTGACGCTCTCCACTGTTGGTGCGCACTAATGTAGATGAGGAATCGATCGATGTCTCAAATACCAGGGAATGAGCAGGCGGGCTCCTCTGGCGCTTTTGATGTTGTTCGCGCTGTTGAGGGATCTGAATGCGGAGCTGATATTCTTTTGATCTATTCTGGGTGCTGTGCTGAGTATGTCGCAATGACCGTTGCGATTGAGAAAGATGTTGAACATGTATCTGGTCATGTGTAGTTGAGATGGAATCTTGCACTGTGCTTTGAGATTGTTCCATGTTTTGATCCTGAATTGATGATGGCTCCCGACTCTCCCGCCGTTGACGTTGATGTAGCAGGCGGTGGGACGACTGATTAGGTTCCGACACAGAGGCTTCGGACTCTGAAAGGGTACGGATGCGACCTGTTGACCCCATCGCTTGACCAGAACGGCTTTTAGAAGTCCGCCGTGAACGTCCAGAAGCCCTGTGTTCCTTCTTGCACCTTAGCTCTGTCACCGAATCAGAGCCCAGAGTGGATGAATTGTGCACCTTGGCGCAACCACACGCGGGCTTTGTAGAAGAAGAAGACTTTTTGACACGTTTACGACGTGAGGCAGAAGACGAAAACGGATCGCTGTGTGAAGGAATAGTTGATAATGCCGGTGAAGGATACGAAGCGCTAGAGTTGCGCCTCTTTGATGGCTTACGATCAAATGTAGTCAAGGTTGGCACTGTCGAGATGTCACGAAAACTAATGCTTTTGACGTCTGTGACAACAATGTATGGGGAAGTAGCGTCGATCGAATGGTCGCTTTTGCTATCACTATCAGTCTCAGAGCTACTTTCGTCAGAATCCTCTTCTTTGAGATCAGATTTGGAATCGTCTGGCAGACTAGGTGGATGAGCACTAGAGAAAAAATGAGGGAGGAAAATCGGTGCTTTGCGTAGTGGGTCTCGTTGGCTTGAAGACTGAGTACTGGAGTTGTGTGAGGATTGCGGCAGTCTCGAAGTGAAGCTGGATGATGAATCAAGGCTGGTATCGACAGTGATCGAAGGTTTGCGCATCTGGGTCGTTTCTACAATATGATCTTGGTTCTGGAGGGTATCTATAGAAGTATGGATGAGGAGAAGGAGTAAGGAATCTGCTGGAGGAGAGATGATCTGATGATCGCACTGGGCAACTATGGGGTGCCCTTCTTTAGCAAATGATAGAGTTGAAGATATCACGGGTATAAGGGAATGATTGATGGAAACAGTAGATGGATCGAAAGGAGAAAGAGATGGTGACCCTGGAGTTGATGTCTTTCCCTGAGATGGGGAACAGTGCATATCACTAGGAGACATCGTAGAATAGTGCAGGTTTTTTTATGTTACGAGAACAGTGCTGACAGATGACGTTTGTAAAAGAAGGAATCAGAAGGAGTATAGGAGGGAGGTAAAAGCAGAAATCGAGATGAAGGTCAGGATGAGGAGTCACCAGAAGTAGGAAGAAGAGTGGAAGGACGAGGAGTTACTGGAACAGAGAGAAAGAGAATTGGCGAAATAAAGAAAGTCTACGATTACCACCATGGGATTTCAAGCTGTTGATGGTGAGTTAGATCCGTTGTTGCGTGTATGTAGAGATCGTAGATAATAAGAAAGACACTCCATGCCATCAGCCACAGGAGGGAAACCACAAAAAGTTCAAGTTTGAAAAGACGCGCGTGTAGATACACAACCCTTGTGAGTGGTCAAAGAACGGAGATGCGGTGTGTATCCTTTTAATAGTCTGTAGTAAATCCAATACGTTTAAACGTGGTTGGTACGCGAACACAAAATCCCGAATGTGCCATTAAAACAAAGTTTAGTATCGTAATCCACTGCGGATATAATTGTGGTAGGTATTCTTCACCCTTTTCCGCCATGCCACTACAAAATGCCAGAAAAATAAGAAAATAAGAGAAAAAATAAAGAGACCTAGATGTGGACAGTACATGGTCTTTGTTCGACTACAAGAGTAATGAGGCGTAACAGGAAAGGGGAAGGAGAGGATGCGCGAGTTGACTGAAGAGGGAAGAAGGAATAGATACGAGTAAGGTGAGATAGGAAGGAGTGGGATGAAAACACCACATTACGAGACTTTGAACTGTATCTCGCCAGGATACAGCGCGCACACACAACCTATCCTTTCTTCTTTCTTTCTTTTGTCCATCCTGCCCTTTGTCTTTTTAAAAAGATATCCATGGCTCCTATTGACTTTAGATTCTCATTGTGACAAGTATGAATATTTTGTTGATATCTCTGATACCCGATCTTGCTATCATCACTTCGTATATCATTCGTGCCACACATATGCCGAAACGGTGTGAAGTATGGAGCGGACAAAGGGGAAAGGGGGGAGGGGAGGCAGTACCTTGAATCTGTTTGACTGTGCTGTTGTTGCTGCTGCGATTGTTGTCATCGTTGCTCTTGTTATTTTTAGAGGTTGGAGCATCTTGCCGCATTTCAACATCATTATCGCTTTCAAGGTCATGATCGAGGCTACTTCTGCTTTCTGTACCAAGATCTCGCAGCTCTCTCAGCGAAACAGTGACCGTTGTGTTGTATGGCAGCCAGTCTGCTGACCTTTTTCCTTGTGAAGATGGAGATGTAGTATCATTTTGAAGAGTGGTCTCATGTTCATGTTGATATGCGACGATGGCATTGATAGAATCTTGGTGATCAGACGAAGATGTAGGAGAAGAAGGGGGAGATGATAACGAATGACCCGAGTCTGACGAGGAGGGAATACTCAGATCAAAACTGGGGTGGATGGCGAGAACATCTGCGTGACGGTTGGTATTTGGCCTGACATGGCTCGAAGTGAGACAGGGCGTTGAGGCCGGAGATCTTGAGTGAATAGAGGGTGGCAACGCTGAGGATCCAGAGGTAGAGCCCGTTGAAGTCGCAGTAGAATTAGTAGCGACAGCAACGACAACAGCAGCAGCAGCAGTGGAGGAGACGGTTGGAGTGGTGGCTGTGGCTGCGGTGGTGGTGGATGTCGTTGCAGCCGACTTGTTGCGATAGAGGAGCGGTTTATTCCAGGAAGAGGAGGGATCCTGCTGCATTATTGCGGTTCAAGTCGCTCAAAATTCACCACGCCCCGCCGGTGGCACTGAGTCGGGGGGAAAAGAAGAAAGGAAGGAAGAAGAAAAGGAAGGGGGGAGAGAAGGGTGGAACGGATTGTGAAGTAAAGGCAAGTGAATGGTTAGAGAGTGGACTTTTTTTTTTTTTTTTTTTTTTTTTTTTTTGGGCGCTAGAGAAGGAGAGGAAGCGCAGGTGTGCAGGAGAGGTTGTCGAAGCAAGAGTGAGAGAGTGAGAGAGTGAAAGAGTGAGAGAGTGAGTTGGAGGAGTAGGAGGAGCGAGGGAAAGGGAAAAGGAGTTAAAGTGAATAAGTGGATTGGGTGAATGAGTAGGTAAGACGAGGAGGATAGAATGAAAAAGGAGTTAATGAGCAAAGGAATTTAACGAATGAATGGATGAATGAATGGATGAATGAATGAATGATTCAATGAATGAATTTTACAGATTGAGTGAGCAAATTCCTAGATGTAAAGAGAGAGCGAGAGAGAGAGTGAAAAAGAGAGGGGGCGGGTGCAAAGAGAAAGAGAAAGCAGACATGGAGTGAGGAGAACGAGGAGTAAGTGAAAGCGTAAGAGAGTTTAAAAGAGAAAAGGGAACCAAAAAGAGCATGCACACACATGCTGGAAGATATCCACAGACACCATACACACACCATACACAAATAAATATGAAGCTCAATGCGCAAACACACAAAAGCACGCTCGAAAGAGGAGTGAAGAAAGAGTCTACTACACTTCCTTTGAGCCATTGAGCCTTTTATTTTTTATTTTTTTTTTTTATGAGTGCAGTGATCATTGTCGTTGCAAACATGCCCCTATGCTCCTATTTCCTTATCCTTTACTTTCCTTTAACTTGCTTCTCTACCTTGTCCCTGTAAGAAAAAAAAAATTGTGTACATGTACATGTAATTCAGATATTACTTGTACATTTATACATGTTGATGTACCATGTTTTGGACTATTTAATAGTCTAATTTTTTCCATTTTTTTATTTTTCGTCGGTTTATGATTGATTAGGAAAACAAGGGTGTTTGAACAGGAATGAAATGAACAAAATCAAATAGCATGAACAATTCACCTTCACCCATGAACACTTCAACGCAGTGACTATGGTGCTGTTTCTGCCTTTGACACGTCTCTTATACAAGTCAAACTACATGTACATTTGCAGCAATACGAGATCTGAAATAACTTTTTTTTTTTTTTTTTTCTCATTCATTCAACCCCTTTCATTCCTTTCAACTGCTTTTTTCCTTTTTGCGCAAACTCTCTGTATATATCGCTAATACTCCTTCTTTGTCGTCTTTCCCGCGACCTTGTAAGGTTGAGACAATAAACTGCAAGAACAGTTCCGAGAAATAAGAAAAAAACAAATCAACAACGATAATAGACTGATGACAACTATTCCCACTGTTGCAGATGCTCGTGCACTGGTAAAAAAAAAAAACTTTAGCCTTGCTTGTAAAAAAAAGAATGTTGAAGACACACATTTACATTTATATATAATATGCATCATTTGTATTTTAATGCATATTATCCAGAAGAGAGTGGCGGATGCTCTCTGTCAAAGCCGACATTTAGACACAGCAGCCAGCTTTTGACTGGTCCCCTGTTGGTTGTCCTTTATTCAACTCGGTTTGTTTTCTCGCCCCCCTTCCTGGTCCATCATCACACAAAAAAGAAAACATGGTTACATAGACCGACTGCAGCTTTTTATCTTTTCCTTTATTATTTTTTTTTTTTCTGCAGTTCTGCAGATATGGTATGACACTGTGCATGAGTGGAATGAAGCGCATCCATCTTTTTTGTGTAGCTGCACCGGAAACAGCTCCCGTCTCCCTTTCCTATTCCTATTCCTGTATCTTTATCCCCTGCTCTTGTTCCCTGTACAGGACTATACATACATTGTTCCTGTGCATGCTCCCTATTCGTGTTCCTGTCAAAATACATCCGATAGCAACAATAACAATCACAATCATAATAAGCTCGCCTGTGTGTTTGCATTTTTTTTTTTTTACACAACATTGGCTAATCATAGTTTACATCTCGTGTTCCGCTGGGTTGGGGGGTTATATTTTTCTAGTATGCATCTATGCATCACAAATAAATTTGACACGGTTTTTTTTTCAGTTCCGCCCAATCTGGAAACAAGAGAGGAGAAAAAGCAACTTTGTTATATTCCTAGCGCAATACCATTAAAATGAATTAACAAAAAAAATATAGGTCCAGGCTGTCTTGTACGCTCATGTCTGTCAGAGGTTCCATGATTTGGCCAGCTATGCCTCCGAACCTGTCAAGCAAAGAATCCATTTTTTGACCAAGCCTGATGGATCAAACCTCAAAGAGCTCTTTGTCTGGGATCTACCCTTCTTCTCATCCACACCCGTAGTAACATGGTCTCCCAGCCACTTTGAAAGCTTTATTCTTCAGCATTGGTCTGCAGATCAGTCACCGCTCAACCCTCCAGATATTGCAGTATCATGGGAAACCACCCCCGTCTATCACAGGATCTTGGATTCAGAAACTGTACAGGCTATTATACCAATCGGATCCGCCAATCAATCTGGAGGAACAAGTAACACAAGCTCGAGTGCTCGTGATCATGGTCATGACCATGATCATGATCGTAATGCTGATAATGACCCGCCATTGCTTGTGTTCATCGTCTTGACAATGGAAGAGATTCGTGACGAAGAAGCAGCAACATCCTCATTATCCAAGGCACCTAAAAAATTTATCTGGAGGTATCACAACATGATCGTTGCTAAAGAGAGCAACCTGAAAGATTCTGGATGGATACTGTTGGAGGAACACGATCCACAGTCCACATACACTATTTTCGGATCACCTTATGAACTTCATAGCAGTACCCCAGATATCGAGTTGCAGAACGAGGGTCATCAGCCTAGAGACAAAAATGATAATAACGATAGCGATAACGATGATGACGACAATTATTGGGGCCAATACGGAGATACAGAAGACGAATCAGCTACCGAAGGGGAGGCCCTCAGGCAGGGCAAAACATCTCTATCTAAAAACACTGTGGACGGCGCAAGCAACACGGCACGGGAGATCCATGCGGATGGTGACGATGCGGAGGAGGAAGCATACTGGAAAAAGTATGCGGAGCAACAGGAAAAACAGGAAACTTTGGAGCGCAAAAGGAGGTTACAGCAAGAACAGGAGCAACCACAACAGCATGACTCGCTATCGTCCTCAACCCCCCAAACTTTAGGCCATGTTGATCCAGCCATGCTATCGTCTCTTTTGAATATGTTAATCCCCAAAGATGTAGGGGTAGAGCACCGTACCTCCGGTTCTGAACAAGACTCTGTATCAACTTTCATAGGAGCAAGTGAGGGAGCAAAAGGAGAACAATTTCCCGACAACAATCGAATTCCAACTGTTGCCAATGTTACATCTGTCAATGTTTCTCAACAGCTGCAGGAGTCAATGCAGGTTCATGCAACAGCCCTGGGAGATTTACACTTGTCAACTCCAACCTTTCCTTCTCAATTTTCTCTCAACAACAGTATCCGTTCGAGATCCGAAATTTTAGACTCTTTGCGCGTCATCGTGCAGCAGGCCACCCTTTCAGGATACACCAAAGATGAAGTATTCAAGATGCTTGGCAATGCCTACAGTTCTCTTGAATAAGCAAAGATTACAAGCATATTACAAATAAATTAGGTTCCCCTTGGTATTCTATATAGGCTTTTTTTTTTTTTTTTTTTTTTTTTTTTTTTTATGATTGCAGGCAGTTAGAGACAAATATCCATTGGGTATCTCGTCTATTTACAGATCCATGGCCATGTCATTTGCAATCTCTTCCAACAAAGCCTCATCTATGCTGTCAGCGTCTCCATCTGGATCATCTCTACCTGCCTGAGGCTCAGCTTTAATGCTTGTTCCTGCTTGACTTGGTGATTCTTCTTTCTGTAGCGGACGCTTTAGTTCATGGATACTGAACCATCCAGGGCGGCGCTCCTGGCTCTTCTTGCCCCATATCTCCAGTAATCTTCCTCTTCCAGATTCGGGCATGTAACGTGCATCTGGTAACAATGTCTCCATCATTTCATACGCACCCTCGGGCTTGGGCTCTGTATAGTCTTCTTTTATCCAGCAGCTCGTGGGCTTTTCAAAGTCAATAATCACATCCGCTGTACGCTGATGGCGAATATCAAACCCGTCACCCTATTTAAGTAAACATGGTGAGTTTTTTTTTATTTTTTATTTTTTTATTTTTTTTACAGATAATGGACAACTTTACTCTGTATACCTTTTTAAACATGAGCAGGATTTCTTTTGATGATCTGAAAAAAGGTGAGGGCCGATTCAAATTCGTGTTGTTCAATGCCATCTTGTACCATACGAGATTTTCAACATAGCGACAACCTTTTGTCCAAATACCTTTGAAATGTTACTCACGATACTCTCTCTCACATAAAAAAAAAGAAAAAAAAATCAAAGGATACTCACCAAGACTGTGCATGATGGCGACTACCTCGGGCAAAATGTTCTTGTGTGTCCAGACACTGACAATCCCGTTTGGCATCAACTCGAGCACCTTTTCCATAATTGTAGCCTATTATTAAGGTAATTCACGATAAAATTTCAGCAAAATAAAAAAAAAAAAAAAAAAAAAAAAAAACTAAAACACAGTATCAAACCCTTCGTCTTAGAAGTGCTGAACATACAAAGTCTCTTGTGGTTAGTTGGCACAAGCCATCATTCCGTCCATCTTCAACAATAAAGTTCCATGGAGGGTCTGCGAGTACTCCTTGGATATCTGCAACAGGCTCTTCGAAGCCCTCTGAAAGCGACGTCCAATCAAAGTCAATCATCTTAGGAACTTCCTTGAAGCTAATAGAAACAACAGGAACATGGTCAATGGAAAAGAGACGTCTTCACATCTCAATCTGGAAGTAATAAAACGCGGACACAGATGTGCTTACATGGATCCTTCGACAGATGCTGCATCTAATTCAGCAAAAGGTTGGATCCTGTGCGCCCATGTTGGTCTCAGTTCAACATCCTTCGGGATAATATATTTGGGTATGTCTGGACATTCTACCCGCACAGGCCTTATGTTCTTCCAAAACAATGAAAGTCCCGTCTGCCCTTTAATTGAGCTTGTTGCCAAAGGCGCCTTCCTTACTTCAACTGGAATAAATCCTCTAGCTGGTGGTGTAGTGGTGGGTGTGACATTCCCTGCAACAGTAAGCGAAATAGTCTGTTTTTTAATCTGCTCGGTTCCAGCTTGATTGGATATATTCGTAGATTTTCTAAATTGATTAGAATAAATGATAGATACGATCATTTCCATTACTATGTCAGCTGCAGCACTCGGTAACATTGTGAAGAAAGCAGCATTCTCATTGTCATACTTCATAAAGGAAGCGTATTCAGCCAGTTTGTCATTAATGTCAATAGCGGGTATCATTTCAATTTCGTCTGGAGCTGGCTGTTTGCTCGGTCGGATTGACAAAGCTTTAGGCATTGCTGGCACTGTGGTTGCTTTAACTCTAGGCGCCTCCATAGCTGACTTAAACATGGTCACGGTTGACTTAGGAGCTGTGGATAGCATGTTTAATTTAGATGCCGATGATATAGAATCCGTTTTCTTGGGTCTACTGGCTGTAATTCGGGTCCTGATTACCGTTGAGAAAAATGAGTAAGAAATCATTAGCATCCTAAGGTCTTTTTTTTTTTTTTTTTTTTAAAAAAAAAAAAAAAAAAAAAAAAAAAAAAAGTATATAGGTACTCCAGCTATGTATTACTCACCCAACGTTGCTATGGTACTCCTTGATCCACCGGTTAACGTTCGCCTCAATTTCTTTGACTTCATCCGTGTTCCAGCGTTCGCTCAGTCCGCTGATAGCCATTTCTCCTCCGCTTCCTTTACTGATCATAACAAGCTTGCCTCCTTCCCAGGCATACGCAGGATCAGTCAATTTCTTAGTTTCTAAAAGTTTACGATAATATGAACTGCATTGATATCCTGCTTTGTGGCTGACAGACATGCTGAAAACGCCCCAGGATGTTCCAATGCGGATCCCACGTGCTTTCCATTCTTCCAATCGAGCCATAAACTCTCTTATCGATTTAGAACTCCATGGTCCATTTTGCTGTCCTTCCGTCGGGTCTAAATATGCAGAGATGAGGAACTAGGTCAATACTTTACCACTAAGATCTTTTAGAGCCCTTGCCGAATCCTTCAAACGTACCCACAAATCGATAATAGAATCCTTCTGTATTAGTCCTTCTATTCTCCCAGGTCTTTATACGCACTTCTGACCAGCTGCGGACCTGGGCTTCAGAAAAGACATCTTCCATGCCACTATGACTACGCGCTGGTTTCTGTGTTTTGGTTGGCTTTGCTTTATTCTGAGTCTTGCTCAATTGACTCTTTTGCCCAACTGTAAATAAGGATGAGGTCGAAGATATCATATTTCGATCTGCGGTTGTATTTTCGGAAGCCACTCGCCTATCAGCACTGGATATAGTTTCTATCGTCGCTCCTATTGATGATACAGTTTCTCTAGGCATAAAATCATCCATGTCATCCATGTCATCTATACCGCTGATGCCATCTATGTCATCTATATCACCGATATCATTCTGTTGAATATATTCGTCCTAGAAAAGTTTAATAAGTCAGGACAAACGCGTTAGACAGTTTTGCGACCTAAATCCAGAAAAGGTCCTGGTTGCATGCTATTACCTCTTTGCGAGCCTTTTTTATGGTAGAGGATCCTATCTCCTCGCTGAAGTCATCCTCGTCTAGTTCAGTCAGGTCGATAACTCCCTGTCAATCGATCAGAACGATTTGTTGTCAGTTTGTGAAGAAACACACCACAGTCCCGCTACAGTGTAATGACAAGGAAAAAGTGCTCTCCTACCCATGCCTGCTCAAGGGAATCAGATCTTGTCATAGGTTCTCCTTTCTCATCTTTTGTCTCTTGAAGCCTAATTCGTTTTAGGGACGAGTTGAGTGACTGCAGGGGACCAACGATGTTGCTACTGTCATTGCTACTGTTGGCTGTAGATGAAATGTCATTATGGGTGTCCAATCGAGACCTTGAGGCTTGCATTGCTGGTTAATGTTGAGAGTATTAAAAAGAGAAACATGTTAAGTTTATAAGTTTAGAGAAAAATAAATAAATAAACAATCGCGTCCAACACGCTTATTGAAAACGCCACTATTTTTTTTCTCCGAAGTGTATGTACAATATATGGGTGCACAAGCAAGAATGAACGGCGTGAACCTGGCTCGCCGCAGGGTCCGCTAAGAACCATGTGCGCTCCAATGTTGATCAAGGTGCATTCGGATACTTTGCTGGGGGAAACTATCACAGATATGCTGACCAATATTTTTTCACAAGCAGTCGCAGCCCATGCAACAGAACAGACCAATAGACCATGGTTGGACGGAGAAGCTGGAACCAACAGCTGGGACCACCGTCAATTGTCCGATCTTGGTGTGATATTTCCTAGTGTACATCATACTTTATATATACACCCATATTTTTTTTAAACCAGTACCCAACATTTGGCTTTTTAATCCTTTGTTTATTATCTGCTCTTCGTCAACCCCTTCTATCCTTCTTTCTCTCTTTTTATGTCCTTGTCCTTTGACTTTACTCCCTCTTCTCTATCCCATTATGAAGTTGACTATAGCTTCGAGATCTGAGAGATCACAATTCATATTGGATTTAACTGGCTCCCCAGAAGATGTCACAGTGGAAACTGTTCAAAATGAAATTACCAAACGATACTCAAGACTCTATCCTGCTCGCCAGCGCTTGACTACCGAGAAGGGTGTTCTCGAAAGAGGCAAAACTCTAGCGGACTACGGTATCATGGACGGTGATACTGTTTTATTCAAGGATCTTGGTACTGAATTGTGTTTTTTATCTGTGAACCATGTCATTAAGCTTCTCTTATCCTTATGGTCATTGCTAATAGTCAGCGGTTTTATTTTTTTTTTAAAAAAAAAAAAAAAAAAAAAAAAAGGCTCTCAAATTAGCTGGCGTACTGTATTTCTGATTGAATATGGTGGACCTCTGGTGATTCATCCTCTGGTCTACTTGCTTCCATCATTGTTCTATGGTCAGAATTTTGAACATAGTTGGATGCAAACGTGAGTAATACTTGGACTGGACGATTTTTAAGAAGATACTTTCCATAACTTGATCTGACTCTTTTTTTTATATAAATATATAACAAGTGTGACCTTCTGGATGGTGATGCTTCATTTCTTGAAGCGCGAATATGAGACAATCTTTGTCCATCGATTCTCGCATGGGACTATGCCCTTCCGTAATGTCTTCAAGAACAGTGCTCATTACCATTTACTCTCTGGCATCAACCTTGCCTATTGGGTCTATGGTCCCTGGAACGCTGCTGGCACTAAACTCGCAGAAAGAAGTGATCTACTTATTTATGGTTGCATTGTCCTTTATGCTTTTGCTGAACTCTCCAACTATCACACACATGTGACCCTTCGAAACCTTCGCCCTCCAGGAACCAGGGTCCGTAAAATTCCTCGAGGCTATGGCTTTGATCTTGTCTCATGCCCCAACTACTTGTTCGAGACCCTTTCATGGCTAGCGATCTGTATCTTGACTCTCTCTTGGTCTGCCCATTTGTTTTTCTTTGTAGCAGTGGGTCAGATGTACATCTGGGCTGTTAAGAAGCACAAGATGTATCGTAAAGAGTTTTCAGACTATCCTCGTGGACGCAAGGCTATGATTCCATTGATAGCGTAAATTAGATAATAAAGGAATATGACTTGAACGTATTTCCTGTACTTGTATAATTATGGATTTTTTTTTTTTTTTTTAAATATTTCTCAGAGATTGGGGATATTGTTTATTGCAAATGTGGCGAAGCAAACTTGGGGGTCCTCCACTCATGTAAAAAAAAAAAACTCGTAAGGCACAAAGACAGTTTTTGAGAGTTGTAAGGAGGGGATGAATACTGGAACAAAAGGTTTCAGGGCGATAAGCGAAGTAAGGTTAGAAGAGGAGGATGAAGACTTCTGGTTGTTTATGAAAGCTCTCAAGATCATGGAGACCAGAGGGTTAGAGGCCCCACGAAAAACAAAATTGAGATATGACATCATTTTTTCAATTGACTGTTTTTTTTTGCCACACGTCCAGTTCAGTTGTCTATTTTAAATTCAGCATGGTATGGGATACACGGGAGAGAGTGAAATCCATTTTTTTCTTTTTAAAAAATAAAAAAATACTGTTACTGTTACTGATGATGATGGTGACCTTGTTGATTTGAATCTGTAGGGCGCAGCCAATAAAAAGAAGGAAAAAAAAAAAAACGAAAGTGATCAAGGCAAGGTCATGAAGTCATGAGGATATGGAGTGAGTGGGAAAGCTTTGCAAAAAAAGAAATATTGTTATTCTTCCCACGAGTACTTTTGTGTATATATCTAAACATAAGGTTAAAAAAAAAAAAAAAAAAAAAAAGAGCTTGTTGGTGTCTTTTCTTTTCGTGGTTTATTCTTCTTTTCTTCTTCTTCATAAAAACGAATGCTAGCAAGGATCGTCGAGATCAGGACGACAAAGTAAGGCACCATAATGTCCTCTTTGCTAGATACAAATGTGATGGAGGAAGAATTACAAGCAAACTAAGCCCATTGTTCCCCTATTTGAGACTAGTCTAAAAAGAAAAGGCAATTGATGAGGAGTCCTCATAGGGTGAATGAGGCAATGACGATGACGACGATTGACTAAAGCCTAAGGACGTAGCATCAATAGCATGAATAGTAGTACAAATGGACAGGAACCCAGGATTTGATAAACAGGGTCATCTTATTTTCGAATATAAACCAGTTCAGACAAAGAGCCGTGTGAGGCTTGTGTTGGGCCATTCAAAATTTCGGATTCCAACCAAACGCATATAAAAAGGAACGGACTTCGCACAATTCGATCCTTTCTTTTCTTCCTTTCAAAAACCAACAATACCAACTCTCCACTACCTTTTCGCTTTTCTTCACATCACATTCCCGTCTTTAGTCGACCCTTAAAATTTTTATTAAACTCTTTGTCTGCTGAAGAGTCATTCATTCTAACATTCAAACACACCCATTCCAAGTTTAATAAAAAAAATTAAAAAAAAGCACAACCATGCCTTCGCACGCCCTTACCAACAAGGAGGTCATTCACCTGGAGCACCAGTATGGCGCCCACAAGTAAGTCTTGCTCAATTCACATCGTATGCCATATGATCTGCTCTTCCGACTAGCTATTCCATATACTTTGCAAACATTGACATGTGGATATCATTGCTACATCTTCAAATCACAGCTATCATCCTCTTCCCGTTGTCTTCTCGAAGGCTCAAGGCATCTGGGTCTGGGATTGCGAGGTATGTTTTCACTTTTTTTTTTTTTTTTTGCTTTTACTCTGGGCTGCATTGTGCTGCACTGCCCATGTCTGTTTTTGAAGAAAACACATGTTCCATCAAGGAAATAGAAGACAAACACATGTCCGGTTTCTTATTCCGGTTTCTCCTCTTCCTGCAATCAAATTCTCGTTAACCTCTAATGTTTAATAACCATCAATGGACTTATTTTGTGAACTACGTAGGGCAACAAATACATGGACTTCCTGAGTGCCTATTCGGCCACCAACCAAGGTAAATTCTCCCCCCTTTTTTTTTGATACAAGTATAAAGTTCATGGGCGCACAAGAGACTTTAGACTTGATGCAGTCTTAGTCTTCATTAGATCATGGCCAAATATAGCACAGACGTTAACAGACCCTCATCTCATTTTTTTTCCCCCGTTATTCTTCACATCTTATTTCAGGTCACTCGCACCCCAAGATTGTCAAGGCCCTTTGTGATCAGGCCCAGACCTTGTGCCTGAGCTCTCGTGCTTTCTACAATGACGTTTTTGGTCAGTATGCCAAGTACATCACCGAGTATTTTGGCTATGATAAGGTTCTCCCTATGAACACTGGTGCTGAGGCTGTTGAAACTGCAATCAAACTCGCTCGCAAGTGGGGTTACATGAAGAAGAAAATTCCTGATGGTGAGGCCGTTGTCTTGTCTTGCACTGAGAACTTCCATGGACGCACTGTCGGTGTCATCTCCATGTCAACTGATCCCGATGCTCGTCTTGGATTCGGCCCTTACCTGCCCAATGTCGGTCCTGTATGCCCCAAAACTGGTCGTACCATTCGCTACAACAACATTGAGGATTTAGAATACATCTTGGAACACAATGGCAAGAATGTTGCTGCTTTTTTGGTTGAGCCCATTCAAGGAGAGGCTGGAATCGTGGTTCCTGATGATGGATATCTCAAGAAGGTAGAGCAGCTCTGCAAGAAGCACAATGTCCTCTTCATTGCTGATGAGATCCAGACCGGTCTTGCCCGTACTGGCAAGCTTCTTTGCATCGATCATGATGGCGTCAAGCCTGACATTGTTTTGCTCGGCAAGGCTTTGTCTGGAGGAGTTTACCCCGTCAGCGCTGTCCTCGCTAACGATGAGGTCATGCTCTGCATTAAGCCTGGTGAACACGGCTCTACCTATGGTGGAAATCCTCTTGGATGCGCTGTCGCCATGGCTGCTCTTGAGGTTATAAAGGAAGAGAATTTGGTCGAGAAGGCCGCTGACTTTGGCGAGAAGTTCCGTGCTGCCATCTCCAAGATCCAATCACCCGCCTTGGCGCTTTGCCGTGGCCGTGGTCTCTTGAACGCTATTGTTATCGATGAGAGCAAGTCCAATGGCCGCACTGCCTGGCAGTTGTGCCTCTTGCTCAAGAGCAAGGGACTTCTCGCCAAACCCACCCACCGAAACATCATCCGCCTTGCGCCTCCTCTCTGCATCACTGAAGAGGAGCTTATGGATGGCGTTCGTATCATCGAGGAATCGCTTAAGGAGCTTATGACTATGACTGATGGGGAGGCCAAGGCACTCGAGGCCGAGGACTCGCACTAAGTGTGGTCTGGTTATTTATTTCACGGCCGTGAGAGCATCGATGGGGGAAAGTGGGTTCTGAAATGGAGGGCTGAAGAGGAAGGGAAAAGGGTTATCGAGAATACAGGATAGAAGATGAACGGAGAACCCAGATCGGCTTGGACGTTTTGTTCAAGGGTGGGGGAGAGAAGAGCGCTGAACGCGAATGTATTAACTAGATTTCCTTTTTTTCTTTTTCTTTGAACCCAGCTGCTTTTTAGTAGCTGGAGATTCGAAGGGAAAATGAGTCTGAAGTGGTTGGGCATCCTTTTTAAGGATCCTGTTGGATTTCTACGTCGGTTTTTTTTTTTTTTTTTTTTTTTTTTTTAAAAAAAAAAAAAAAAAAAAAAAAAAGAAAGCGAACGAGTTCGATGGGAGGGGATGATCATTACGGGCGTAAAAAAAACTTTATTGTTGTTTTGCGGCTCCTCTTTTTCCTACCTTTCAAGCCTTTCACGGTTTTTTTTTATTTTTTTTTATTTTATCAGTTCATTTTTCAACGGACATCTTCTATTTTGTTGGGACCATGCTTATATATTACTTTCTTTAAAGCTGGCCTAGCAGGATGTTGTAAATAATCATCCCTGTCATTACTATAATTATTAGCATCATTATGTATTTTCGATTACCTTTTACTTTTTACTTTTCTGTACTTTTATCCAGGACATTACTTCGTCCACACTTGCTTCCTATAATAATAAATATTCAATCGCAATAGCATCCAAAAACCAATGCCAGTACTTACGCTCTTTGCATGGTATAACATTATTATTTAAAATATTTATTTTTGTCAATCTATTCTCCGCGCATAAACTTCATGGTCATTTCATAGAAAAAGAATGTGGCAGCGTTGGCAGGGAATGCACGCGCCATCGTAGGACCGAAGCCCTTGAACCAGACCTTCCAATTACCACCACTCGCTTCGACCCGGAGGGAGCGGAAACATTCTAAAGAACTCTTGTAACTCAAGTTGCTTTGCATCCTAGATTTGATCACATCCTGAGGGTAGCAAGGAACCCAAGCTCCAAAGCCAGCAATACCACCTGCCAATAACAACTCAGGGGTCGTCAACTGATCTACACGTCCATTATGGTTAAGATGAGCCAATATCCGTTTGCCTCCTTCATAAGTTACTATGAGAATGTGAGTAAGAAAAGAAAAAAAAAAAAAAAAAATTAATAAAAAAACATCATTTGAACACTCGACCCCTAGAAATTTTGACGTTTAGAAAAAAAAAAAAAAAAAAGTTTTACCAAAGTACGAAAAGTAGGAAGGAATATCACGCAGCAATGTAATGTCCATGCCACGATAAAGACCTCTCAATCCCTGCTTGCGGAAAGTCCGGATGCCTGCATCCAGTACTCCCTTGTACTACAATGAAAATGAGGAATGATAAAAAGTTGTTTGTTTTTTTTTAACCTGTGTAACCGTTTGCCATGTGTCAAGATTGGGAGCAGATCATTTTTTTTTTTTTTTTTTTTTTTTTGTTTTGCTTTGTTTTTTTGACCACTTACAGGTTTGACAGCGATGGTGGTTGAAGTTGAAGGTGGAATGGTGAGGATGCCTGCTGATGGACCATACTGTGTCTGAAGCTTGACTTTTAAAAGCTCCACGGGACAGTTGACGAACGCCATCACACCTCCCGCCATGGATCCTGCTGTCCCAATTTCGACTATAGAAAGTAAAAAATAAAAAATAAAAATCTGATCAATTTCAGTCACGAGTTTTTTTTTTTTTTTTTTTTTTTTTTTATCATGTTATCGTTAGTATTATATATAATAAACTCACGCAAGGAAAGAGTCTTGGTCTCATCGCCACCTTGGAGAATGCGTCTAAAAGTCCCATTGGCTGCAAACATCACAGCATTGCTATCCATTGGAGATTAAGAAATTGTGAGTCATCCTTTGTATGAACAGTAACATAAACTCAAAAAAAAAAAAAAAAAAAAAAAAGGCTGTTAGTTAGCCCTACCAAATTCCGATTCCCATTAATGGCGAAGTAACACCCTTGTAGAGACCCAAAGGCTATATATATATATATATACATATAAAAAGCAAAGACGGTGAAGGTGAACAAAGAGTCCGCTGAATAAAGTCAATGATAGAATAAAGCGTCCAAATCCAAACATTACGCCTTCCTCCTTAATGGTCATTCTTAAACAATCCATGGCTCCCTTGTACTTTGGTGGATTCGGTTGTGTCTGTAGTCGGACCTATTTCAATAGGGCCAGAAGGTCAAAAGAATTAATATTACAACCTCCCCTTTCTTTTCCAATTTTTTTTTTTTTTTTTTTTTTTTTTTTGCAATTCAATCCAACAGTCTGTTTGTAACGCCCAAGGCTTATTTACTTTCAATGTATCGAAGGGGTGACCTATAAGTTATGAGAAAACAAACGAGGGAGAAAAACTAGTGAATTCGCTAGACCATTATGATCCATAAACGTTACGTCCACAAGTCTTTTTTTTTTTTTTTTTTTTTTTTTTTTTTTAATAAAGTGGATTCTTGACATGGACTTGCATGAATGAGATTCCTGTACCTGAAATGACCTGTGCCCAACCGCCGACTGTGCCTGCTACGACATCATTAACCCAAGTAGGAAGAACGAATTCGTTCCTCTGCAATGTTAATCCTGACATTAGATTTCAGCCTTTCTTTTATGTTGAATTGAAGAAGACAGGGAAGAAGAGGTGAACAAACAAACAAACAAAAAAAAAAAAAAAAAAAAAAAGGCCCGGAATTTTTATTTAATTGATTATTTGATGAGATATCGATATGATTCCAAGAACCCAAAAAACAAAGTCAATCGCTGGCAATAGAAGAGGTGAATAATAGTGATAGGCACCGTGGGAAAAACAGACCAATAGGGCGAATTCACCAACTTGATCATTGATCTTTCTGATCTCTATAGTCCGCATCTAAAAAAAATAGTAGAGATATCTTATACAGGGACACTGGATGTCGAGCTATAGTTGCGACCTTCGGAAACAGATCGAATAATAACTGTTAGATCACTCTTCAGACCCATTACAAACAGCGACATTGCGAATCATAAGACAGACCATAAACACTTACTATCAGCATTTGCGAGAAGTCTTGCACGAGCCTCATCTTGCTCACGCTCCCGATGATCTCTCACATTGGCAGATATCTGATGAGTTGATGATGATCCTTGATTTGCTACTGCCGAGTCTTGAGTACCTCCTGCAGGCTTACGACTTTTAAAAAACCTATCGCGCTTCCTGATACGAGTAGTATGGGCTCGCTGTAGCTTCATGCTCAGATGTCCATCTCGAACAGGCATAGGTTTGCCCTGGATCATGAGCACAGTATCCTGACAGGCCCACACAATTTCACGCAACATGTCCACTGGATTGAAACCATCCCATAGTGACTTTGTGATTGGTGTTGTAACGCCCGGAATGACATAGGGTCGATAACTGAATGAATAGACATGCAGAATGGAGAAAACGACCATTTCAATGCAAATTAAGACGGATGAGATCCCGAGCTCTACGTTGAGGATGGACCAGTTATTCTCTGGCTTGAAAACCTCTAAAAAAAAAAAAAAAAAAAAAAGAATCGTTTTGTATAAACTGTGTTCCTGATATTGTCAACCGGACAATGGGGGTTTTCTATGAAAAAAAACCCCTTGATTAATCTGTTACGATTATGAAGACATACCAAGCGCGCCCAAAAGACTGAGGACACATGTCTGCCAGTAGCAGAAGAAGACGACCATTTTAACGCAAAAGAATTTCATGAGAGGCGCTAGACGGAAGGGAAGACCAGAAGGACCTGGTTATTATCTTCTTGACCATAACATGCTACCATCTCTTTAGCTCTCCTGTGCCAAGGATGTATTACGCAAAAACTTACAATGTTCCTGGATCTCCAAGCTGATGGTTTCATAAAAGAGGACCTGAATATTAAAAATAACAAAAACAATAAAACGACAGTCAGTTGACGAGTCCAGTAATAATAGCTACACGTAACCGACACTTGACCTTAGATAAATTCTTGGGAAAACCTTACAAGACAGTAAAGTGCCACACTTGCGGAGAAAAAGTTGATGATGGTAATGTAGATCATTCCAAAGTGAAAATCATATGTGGTTTCACAGTACAGTCCATAGTATTGCAGGATGACAGCGGCTAGAGTGCAGAGAGGTTTGATGGCCACATATTGCAGGATACCATACTTCATGTAATGTAGAAAGTTTTCATTTAGTGGGTTGTAATAGAAACAGTTGAGTGGATATAAAAGTTTCCGCCGATCTGATCCAGTGATTTTAGATCGTTGCGTCTCATTGTCGTCGCCCAGGTAGGTGAGCAAAAGGATGAAGAATGAATAGATCACAAATGCCTCGTAACAGTCGCGGATTGTTTCGAAATAGACGGCCTCCTTGTAAAACCGGTAGGAAAGAAAGGAAATAATGGCATAGACTGGGATCATGAGCACGATTCGCATGATATGGCCTAGAATTATTTATCATAACATTTTAGCAGAATGTTATTTTTTCTTTCGGCTATCTATCATGAGTGTGTGTAAATGCACCTCGCCACAAAAAAAAAAAAAAAAAAAAAAAAAAAAACATTGCTTACGTTGTTCTGATGGCTATGGGTCAGTAAAGATGCACCAAAAACAATTAGATAGAGTCAGCTTCAGCTCAGCCATAAGAAAAAAAGAAAAAAAGTTGGCAAGCCTTTAGTTATACTTGCCTTATTGTAGTTCTTTGCATGTCTGTACAGAAGATGGAACGAAATCACTGTAGCGAAAAAAGCACATGTCCCAGAGAGGGCCCATCCGATGAGATGGCCTAACAGGAGATACAAAGATAGAGATATAAGGTAACAACAAAGTTGATCAATTGAGCATGGAGTTATAAAAAACCGATAACCAGGAGAATGAGGAGAAAAATCTCTCTTCATTTCGTTTTATAAAATCATTAAATGCTCAAGTGTATCTTTTCAAGGAATGACAGGGAAGTATCTCTAAACAGAAGAGAAGAAGAAAAGAAAAAAAAAAAAAAAAAAAAAAAAAAAAAAGAAGCCTACGTTTTCCATTTAAACCATTGTGATCTGGCCATATAGTTGAACCTGAGGGATCATTCTCGGGAGAATCATAATCTGGACATTCATGAGAGTAAAATAAGTACATGTCTGAATGCAGAGATGGCCCGAATGGGGGAGATGAGAGGAGGAAAGAGTGGATAATAAAAAAATAGGTTGGATATCAAGGCATCTTGCTTTTATTTTAAGTCCGTGCACCTTTGTCGGATCTCGTTCCTGGAGGCTGGCATAGTCAGTGGCATTGCACTCTTGTCAAATCCCCGATTAACGTTTAACATGTATACGTCAACTCATGTAAGATTGTTACCCGCTTTCCGCTGGTTAACGACGACCATTCATCGATGTTCGCCAATTTTTAAGCCTAGACGTTCACCACTTAGGTGGATCATTATAAAGACTGCATTTTGAGTGGCACAGAGCACTCAGTCTTGAAACCAAGACACACAAACGCCATGAAATTTTATTGCCTTCAAGGTTTTCATTGCAGCTTAAGTAAGCATGTTGTTATGAGTCGTGTAACCATTTTCCCTAGTGCTTCATCTAGAATGGGCCTTTGATGACACGCGAAAGTGCGTGATCGACGATAGAATATAGACTAAACTAGAAAGGAGATCTGCTCGTTGATTATGATTAATGATTAATCTTTCGAACTAATATCTTCCGATCTTCCTTAGGCTCTGGTATTTTGTCTACGGATCCTTCTGGTTCATTGAGTCTTCTCGGCTCGATATCAAGCCTGATAGTGGGCCTAAACAGTTGGTTGGTGCATATTTTGTTCTATACAGTGTTTTTAATTGTTTTCGCCATTTTAAAAAATGGATTCGCTATTTTCAATTTGAGTTTCTCCAAAGAAAAACAAGATTTATCCAATTTAAGCTATTAAAATTATCCCACAAGTTATCCGAATGTGTCTAAAATATTATCAAGTTCTCCAAACTGATAACCGAACCGATTATTAGAATTATCTAAACATCATGTCTTTATTAGCAAGATAGGCGACCAATTTGAGTAACTTTACATACATATTATCCTAAATATTAGCGTTTTTTTTTTTTTTTTTTTTTTTTTTTTTTTTCACTGAACTCTCACAGACCTAGAGATTATATTCTCTGTTGAGACACCTTGGGAAGAAGGTGGTTGCATGACGAATCCAACTTTGACAATCCTACCGAGATATGGACTTGAATGCGTCCTGAAACCTAGAGCGCATGGTCTCACCAGCCTCAAGGCGGCTCCTCTTGAACGTGTTCTTGACTTTTGACCAGCATTCTTCAATCGGATTCAAGAACGGTGAGTATGGGGGTAGATATTCACAAAAATGCCCTGCTTCTTCTATGAGGTCCCTGACTAGCGGAGACTTGTGAATACGCGCATTATCCATTAGGAAAGTATATCCATGCATCTCTTTAGCCTCCAATATCTCAAGGACTTCACAAATGAAGTCCCTAAAATAGGCACCCGTTGTTGAGCAACCAACTATACCGTCCTCGGACACCTGCGGAGGTCATGCTGCATTCCTACCACGGCCACGGCCCCCACGACCACGACCATGGCCACGACCACCATTGCCTTCTGGTATTGTGCCAACGCGCCAACGCGCCATGCTCTTTACAACGCGTTTTTTCTTTTTTTTTTTTTTGAATTCCAAGAAAAAAATTCAACGCGGTGGATAATTTTCAGGACGCGCCGATAAAATCACAAGGTTCCATGGTTGTTTCCGCATGACCTTCTGGAATGTTTGAACTGCATGGTTGGACAAAATTTGTAAACACTCGGATAAATTTCTCCGCCCTTTTCGGCTAACTTTTTAACTTAACTTTGGACAACTTTTTTATTCATTGGAGAAATGTAAAATAAACATAGAGAAACTTTATTTTTACTTAGCGAAAACAATTAAAAACGCTGTAACTCTGAAAGGAGCTTTTGCAAATGCTTGCTGTGCTCAATCTCTTCACCCGCGATGTTCGAGAGACAAGTGACGCGTCTCGCGCGTCTCTGGTTTCGTGTTTGTTATCAAAATAAAAGCGTTCTTTTTATTCTTGTCTAAATACTTTGTTCTCTTTTCTTTCATACTTTGACTGGTTCCTTTCTTTCAAAGACATTATTAGCTTTTTGATCATTGTCATCAATGGCTTTCATGTCTTTCATCCTTGTAAAGAACTATACCATTTCTGTCTCATCACTATAGATCACAAGGCTACCCTTCATTGTGGAAACGTATTTCATGAGCCCAGCGTGCAGAAAAGTAGAATGAACTGTTATGGCTGTATTGGTTAATAACGTACGATCCACAAAACCTTGAGACGTAGGGGAAGTTGCATCAAGAGTATCACTAATTGTAAAACAAAAGAGAAGATGGTTAACCTAAAATATTTGTTTAATTCAAATAGCGCCGTTGTAGCATTCTTTTCTCAACGTCGTACGATTTGACGGGGCTATCGGCCTGAAAAGAGCCACAACAAGGTAACAGACGCGTTAGATTAGTCATTTGTCTTTTGACGCATTATACACAAGCTAGACATTGTCATTTATGGGTTCTTGTTTTATTGCTTATCAGCCTGAGTGAAACCTGGCTCTTTTTTGTGAGACGCTTCTCGATGTCAGACTTCTCGAGGCATGCTCCACGAGAATCCCTTCAAAGGTACGCACAGAGGCTCCACGGCCGAATCGCATATATCCAAGCGAGGACAGATCTTAGGCTCGTTCCCATCCATCTCCGTAAGTGCATCTTTATAAAAATGTTTCCATTTTTGGATGCTACCTACTGGAGGGGCTGGTATAGGCTCGGTGCCATCCTGTCTGCAAAGCGGCAAGCCACCAATCACCGTTCCATAAATGGAAGGCGGGCTCTCTACTTTGCAGACAGGATGGCACCGAGCCTAGGGCTGGTAAACAACTCGACCTTTTACTATACCTTGGCAAGAAAGGAAGGTGATTAAGGGCCGGAATTATTTGTTCACCTGACTGAATTAAAAAATAAGCTATCTCTTGCCAACTACCTTAACCTCAAAGAAAATTTACTAAAAATATTGTTCTCAAGCCTAGTAACCATCTTTTGTTGGAAATTGTACCCCGACAAGAGATATCAAAATCAACACCCATAAACTTAAAGGAAAAGGAAACTGGAGTTCTGGCGTCAGTTCCCGAGGCGATCACCATGATTAGGTCCAACAACACCTTTATCAAGGGCTATAGAGCACAAAGGAAAAAAAGGTTCATATATATTTATAAAGCGGTGTGCTACTATCACGGGATGTAATTTTGGTGGCATAAAGAATTACAGTTTTTTTTTGTAACCTTCAGTTGCATCTCACTACTCAAACAGATCTTTTTACTCTTTTATTCTTGTACAATAATGCCGAAAGCAAAATCAGTCAGGGGTACTCGGAATTCGCCAATCTCTAGATCTTCAACCACGGACAACAAATCTCCAGCAAAATCCAAAAACAACGAGTCTCCCAAGCCAATTAAACTGAAACTTTTCTGCCTTGTGGAAGGAGAACCGGCATTCTCAGTGAACATTAATTCCGACCAAACTATTGACGAATTAAAGAAGGCCATCAAAGCAAAGAAGCCGGACCTCGATCATGTCGCCGCTAATCTGCTCACTCTTAAACTCATCTCTGGTGGTGCAACAAGGGAGGGAATACGCAAGTTGTCCAAAGGGTCACTCAAGGTCCTTGACAACGTACTTGAAAAACTCCACACTTTACTTTCCTGACGGGGCAGCAGATAATCTCATTTACATTATTGTTGAAGTACCGAAGCGAGGTATGCCTTTAGTTCTTGTTGGTGGTCGACTGATGTTTTCGCCTTAAGGCTTCAAAACTACCTTCTGAAACTATTCTATTTGTTTATATTTTGACAAACAGTTTCGAAAAGAGATCGAGATCAGCTAGAGGATGGCGAGGGTGATAGGAGCTCCTCCAAAAAGACCAAGCTAGACGAGGACAACCTAATGAGGGCAATTAGTGCAGCGGGACTTGCCCAAAAGGCTATAATAAACGGCGATCCTGATCTCTCCGTGCTTACGAGTAAAGAACTGGTTTCATTACTTGCTAATAATGGCGCCAGGGTGAGTAGGACTGATCTGCACTATTCAATATTCCGAACGGCCACTTCCCTCCAAAACGGATCATTTCAAGAATTGGACGTGATATCCAGCCCTTTGGGGACAAAGCTTCCCGTGATCAACATGAAAGATCTGTACGTAAGGTCAGCTTTCAAAGAACTCTACGACACAATCGTCAAGGGTCTTTATATAAATGGAGATGATAAAGGGCCTGCAGCCGACAAAATTGTTGTTACAGGGACAGCCGATATAGGTAAATCATCCTTTCTCGTATACTTCGCTATCCGAATGCTTGCCACGAGTAATGTTGAAGACCCGCCTATTATTATCATCCAGAGAAAGGAAAGTTCAAAGTGTTATGCTTTTGGTGGACGATCTGTTGTTCGGTATGGGGACATAGAGGATTTTAGGCCCTTCCTGGATCTACCCAGCACTTGGTTCCTAGTCGACGGTCCACCAACACCACTGCTCACGGAAGCCAGGACTATCTTTTCAGTGTCACCAAAAACTTTCCATGACAAGAATCCGTATAAAGATATTGAAAAGAGAGTCGAATGGAAGTACTACATGGCTCCGTGGGAGCTAGATGAGTTAAAAGAATGCAGAAGCAAGGTTGAAGCCTTTCAAATGGTCCCTGAGGATTTTATGGAACACCTGTATGATTTGATTGGTGGAGTGCCAAGGTATGTCCTCGAGGTGCCGCAGAAAGGACTGCGCAGATACCCCGCAGAGGATCGTTGTAAAGAAGAAGTGAGAGCAAAAATAGAAATGAGTACACTTGACCGCATTCAGCAAGCCCTTGTCAACATGAAGATACTTCAACACTTTGAACAAGCTAAGAATTCACTATGGTACAGCAGCCGTCTTCTTTACCGTTATCCGACAGAAGACCATGACAGATTTAAATTAGTATGGGCTTCAAATTATATCATGGAAAAGGTGTATGATGCAGCGGACGACAATACTTGGAATGAAATATTGAATCGGCTTGCCAATGGCAAAGTCGGTGAAGATAGAGGAGCAATGTTCGAGCTTTATATGCGGCGCATACTACGGATAGGCAACCGTTGCTTTCAGGCCAGGAACCTTGATGACAATACTGAAATAACCATCGATATCAAAGCTCGCCCGGACGTTAAATGGTTCAATACTCTTGAATGTTACAAGGACAAGATGCAAGGATCGCTATGGATCCCAAATAGCAAAAGATTTGCCTGTGTGGATATGTTACTTGCTCCGAACTATCTCCTTCAAGTTACGACGAACAAGGATCATGGCATCAAAAGCAAACCCTTCAAAGCGTTTTTGAAAAGTATGCGAGAAAATAAGTGGATTCACTCCTCTGAGGAGGTTGCACTTATTTTTGTTGTTCCACAAGACCAGATTAAGGAGTTCATGAAACAAAATTTTAAGACTGGGACAAATCGTGTGGATTCCAAAGCTACAAAGGAACTCCTAGATGTCAAGCAATATATTATGGGGATTGATCTGCAAGCAGAACTTAGGCACATGAGAACAAGAACAGAGCGGTGAATGGACATGCGAATTAAGGTTATTATAGATGTACATTATTAATAATATAGTGAAGGTGTGATCCTATCCCTATTGAAAAATAGCTTTTGAAAGAATGCAGGATGTTAGAGTCCTCGTCAGAAAGTCAGAGACACGTTTCTAAATTGGATAGAATACTTTTTTTCGGATACCAAAATTGTAAAGGTTAAGTCAAATTGAGTATTTTAAAAATAGAGCCTGACCACGTTCAGACGTGAAAAGTTGGAAACAGACACACCCATGGTGCCATGAAAAGAATGCATGCATCCGTGTAAAGCGTTCCCTAGAAGATGTATGTTTATTGATACAAGGGACATGCTCATTGATACAAGATGTATATGTTCGTTGTTACACAACAATATAAGATTAAATTGTGACATGTTCATGAATAGATTACCCCTTGGGAGTGGTGTATGGATCCACATCTATGGTGCGTGCCAAAACTGATGCAATAATTTGCATTTTTAACATTCAATCCTCATTCTCCTTTTCCTTTCTAATGATCTTCCCTACCATCACCGCTTCTCATTCTCATTTGTCTCACCTTCATGGACTCTCATCGCTGTTCTCATTAATGACGCAATTAGCGAATAATCGCCATTTGTATAGTCATGTCTCATTGCATCAGTTTTGGTAAAAAGTACATGTCAGGTTTGTCCATCCCTTACTTCTTTCTTATTCTTTATTCTTTCTTTATAGCACCATCACCACTGATACACCAAGCGACACTCTACATATCTGCCATATCTTTATCATAACATGAAATCACTATCCAAATCAACTATCCAAAATGCAACTGCTCTACTT